TTTCGTTTTCGTCCTCTGGCTTCGCCGTTTTGTTTCCACGAGCTGCCCAGTTTTTGTCCCCGCGTGGATTTTTACTTGTAGTCCACTGAGTTATGGACGTCTGCCGGTGCAGAGGCCACGGCAGAACCGCAAGACAAAGATTTAGGGTAACCGTCGTGTCGTCCAAATCCCCATCGGTTTTTATCGACCACCAATATCATCAATGACCGTTCCCCCGGTTTTTATCCCATACAACATCTCTATACCACTAATTATCAATTAAATTAAAACAACAACAACTTTTATGTCTCTCTTTCTCTACTCTACAAACTAAAATACCAACATACACATAATTAATATACACTTATTAATTGAAAAACTTGCGTTCTATACTGTTATATTCATATAAAAATATGAATTATAGAAATATTCTTAATGAAAATCATTAATTATCAATCAATCATAACAACCATTTTCTTGTCACGACACACTTCAGAAGCATAAATAAGCCGTTACTGATAATCAGAACATTTTCCGCTGCACACTTCTAGTCCTAGTCCATTCTAGGCGCTTCGGTTAGAAAGTACTGCATTATTTTGTAATAGTATATTGAGGCATACAATACATCAATACTTTGCATGCATCAGAAAACATTATTTCTTAATGAATCGTAAGAACTTATACTCAATTTTGTTCATCTTCCTTTTTTCCAGAAACTACTATAATTTTTCAGATTTGATGAAGGATTCGTTCCTCTGGTTTCACAAATAAACTAAGAATTTTAAACGAATCCAATCTTAGCATTACAGCAGCGGTCGGGGAAACGGGATAAATTACCCAAAATGGGGTAAAAATGATTATTTTTTGGGTAATTTTTCTAATTTCATCTTACCAAACTCAGAGAGCGGTTCTCTGACTACTTTTCAGATCTTGATGTACAAACTGTGAATTGGGTTGTAGATCCTTTTAAATGTGAAATTACTAACATACCAGAAGAACCTCCAGGTTTGGCAGAGGCAATTCTTGAACTTCCATCCAATACTGTATTCAATTTGAGACCAAAGCAAATCTTGTCGTCTTTTTGGTTGTCAAAGGCTGCAATTTGCAACAACCTACCTTTGTGAACAAGGTTTTTCCATTCTAATGAACATAAAAACGAAAAACAGAAATCGATTAAAAGCCGAAGACTGTATTCAAATTGCTCTTACATCAAAAGTCCCAATTTTAAAGTAATTATATCAAACATGAAGCAACATCATGTTTCCAAAACCTGAAGGGGGAAAGTTTTCAATTATTTTTTGTTTGTTCCAATTTAAGAATTTTATTTTGTTTGTCTATTACTATTTGTTACTATTTTCATGTAACTTTTTTTTAAAAATATGAATATGCAAATTAATTCAATAAATAATGTTTATTTAAAATTTACATTGATTGTTTTCTATTCAAAATGGGGGGGTAATATCGACTTACGCAATAATATTTTGGGGTAATGGTTAAAAAAGTTCCCCGACCGCTGCATTACAGATACATTTATAAATGGAGTAGATTCTTTTAAAGTGTAAAATAGAATAGGAAGATATTTCTTCTACAATTGTAGAAGACGAAAGACTATCTAAATGAGTAGATGACAAAGGATTTCGTCATGGTTCACGGGATTAAAAATGTCTGCGACTACTATTTAATATGATTATCATTAAATTTTACTAGTACTATTAGTCCTTTATAAAAATATGTTGTTTGATGTTCGTAGATATGATGTATAGTAGTACCTCCTTAACTCTTTGAGGGGCGGTGGTACATGCAATGTACCTTATGAACATGCCTAATAGGGCATTATTATAATTTTATAGAAAATGTACGTGAATGAGGAATTACCGATTAATTTGATTGGTATGTCAAGTGATGAATCTTGATAGTCCATACTTTAACTTCAAAGAGTTAAAGCGTATATAATTTAAATTGATAAAAAAATAATCAATTTCTTTACATGCATGAGAATTGTGTGTCTAGTTACGAACATTCGCCGAGAACTGAAACATTTGTCTGAATTTCTAAAGCTGTCGAGTTAATTCGGTACTTGTAGACCAAATTGTATCAGATTCGCCACTTCATGAGCTAAAATTTCATATGATTTAAGTCAGTGGATTCGAACTGGCACCCTGCGTGCCATATTCAGCCTTAAATCAATATTACAAGGCTCGTGAATACATTTCAATTATGTATTTATTGTAATTACGTTTTAGAGACAAGATACATGAACTAAGCTTATGTGCTGAATGTTATTAAAGGAAAAAGAGATATAACGAATAGATTTATATACTTCTGATTTATATAGGAAATATGAGTAGAAACTTTAACTATCACACAAATTTATTTCATCGATATTCCTGATGTTAACCTTTTAATTAAAATATTTTTGAGCTTATCGTCTCGACGATCGTGCTCGGATCTCACCTCGGTTTGGGCTCATTTCAACGTGCAGAAGGAATGAAGCTGGAGTGAAACTAAGAATTAAAAATAAAGAAAATGTGCGGATTTATTGGAAACGTCAGTGACATTTATCCAGTTGTGCGCCACAGCCAATCGTGATAAGTCATCACATTTTCTTCATCTGCTCAAACTTATAATTGGCGTTTGCGAAATCGGAAACATTAATTAAAATGGTTCGGGTTTTTGGTGGTTCTTATGGCATGTCGTACCTTCACATATACATATATATATTTGGACCTAATGGTCCTAAAAATATAAATTCGCCTTTAGAGTTTGGACGGAGGAGCAAAAAGTGGTCGGAGTGTGTCCGTTTGTGTGTGCAGAGTATCCTGGTCTGTCATGTCACTCCAAGAGATCACACATCAATCACACAGTGGATCGGTGACCAACTGAATTTTAGACTCGCTTAGAATACTGATCAATGCCACTCAGGAATTCTGCATCAGATATGAAACGGCCGATGCGACCGAGCAGGAGATGAGAGGATCGGAAAAGGGGGGAACCCTTCATTCGAAATTTATGACAAATTTTTGCAGGTACATTATGTATACCGCCAGTCTAATTGATCCGCGGTGCTTCATACATTTTCATGCGGTTTGTTGTCTTCGGACACTCCGAGAATCAATCATTTGTCCTGCAAATAAACAAATCACATTCTCATTACTAACTTCTTCTTCTTGCGCTTGGCAATTAGTAGGGCCTCTCCATCTCTCTCTCTCTCTGTCTCTCTCAATTTATCCTTCTCATCTCTTCGTCGAGTCAAAGCCAGGAAAGCGGTCCCACATGATTGATCACAAATAAACCACTCGAACGGCTAAGGAAAAACGGATCGACCTTACATAAATATAATGAAAACGAAATGTTGATTTAAATTCATTTAATTTGTATTTATATATAGCGCGGCTGCTTAAGTTACAACGTAATTGTGACCAGGAGTCAATTTAAGTTTATATCCACGAGCCGACCAAAGCGGACTAAGAAACACAATTTAACATTTAATTGGTTATATATCTTTCAAACTAATCAATTTAATGTACGGATTGATCGCCTCGTTCGCAGAAAATATTTTACAACTTTTTTTTCTCAATTCCAATTTGAATCTCCCTCCGCCGCCGAACAAAACAACCGCACGTCGCTGCTTATCTCTAAACCAAACAGCAAAGTAGATAATTGTTATGTAATGTATTAAAGGCATATCAATAACAGATATAAGAGCTATTAATGTTACTTATTACATTACAACGGTCTAAGTTAATAAACTACTATTTAAAGACGTTATTTCTAGAAAACTTTATCCATTATTATTTTCTATTTCTTCGAAATTCGTCATTTTACGACTATACAATTACCACAACTCTTTAAATACAGCTTAAACAATTATAATCAAACAACTTTATAAAATGACCATTTCTTGTTCTTAGTTTAATTATTATTATTTAATATTTCAGTATCAGCGTATTTCATATAATAAAAATAACTATTAAACCACAAAGCTAGAGATTTCTACAAAAATATGGTATTAAAAATGCGTTTATGTCATGCATATTAGTATATAGTCTAATGTAAATGTATATAATGTATGTGAAATATAAATATCTAAATACATGGTATTTTATAATAAAACAAATACACAGTGAAACCTCGCTTAACGAGCAAAATGAATTGTAAGAAAAACGACTAGTCATTCTAGTCGAATCTTAGTGTTGTTTGTGATCATACATATTTTCAAACTTGTGCAAAAGTTAATAATACTTTCATGTCTCCGAATAAAAAGCTAAAGATTAAAAAAAAACATGGATAATTTATTACATTAGAGTAGTTTATCAACAATATTAAAAATTATTAAACGAACACATAAAGGGTTATTTGCGCCATACTAATATTATTATAAATATACTAAGTATGTTAAAATTTTGTCAATAATTTAATGTAAATTATACTTGTTTTCATTAACATTTATTTTAATAGTAAATGCTACACAAATACATTAGAAAATACATCATGAATGAATATTGTATCGATATAATGGATTTTTACTAGTTATAGTTATATTTTATTATGAGCAACTGGGTGAATATGTTTTTCAAAATATTGGCAAATATTTTAGTAAAACAGATATATATGAAACAATTAGAAATATTCTATAATATAGATCTACGTATATTGAGTTGCCTAAGTTTAAATACCTCGCTTAACGAGGTCCTGTATTTTTATTTTCAAAAAATGTGTTAAAAAATGACTACAATTGAACCTCGCTTAATGAGTTTAATCCGTTCCAAAATTTCCGGATTTTTACTCGTATAGTGATATTTCTCTTATAATCGTCACTCGTTATGCGAAACGTCGCTTGTTAAGCAATTTTATAATATAAATAATTTCAAATATTTTTTTTTATTTTAAATAACTATAAACATAACAACGTTAAAAAATATTATCCAGGCTATTGTAAAATTTGAAACTGCAAATTATTGTGGTAAATAGAAATAAAAGTAACGTTTCGTAACGTTAAAATAAATATATACAATTAAGTTAAAATGTTAATTAAAATAAGTCACTTGGAATGTAGAAAAAAATTAGTTGTACATAAATGACTTCCTAGAACACAGTACCTAAAATTTACTTGTTTAGACTTAAAATGTATCCTTTTGTGGTTAGCACTCCTCTACACTTGATATGTACCAAGAACCGGACAGCCCAGTTAAAGTTCAGAGGTGTATCAAATATATTGAAGATTGAAGTGGATGGTAAAATTTCTAAAAGTAAATTTTGATTAGTATTTACTAATTCTCCAAGAGCATCAAATATTTACCAGCTGGATCACTGTGTGTGAGAAGCAAAACTTCATGTTCCTTGCAGAATGCTTGCAATGTAGGTGGGACTACACAGCAGGTAGCCAAGTTAATTTGAATTATACTGGGCTTTACTTTCACAGCTTCATAGACTGAACGAAATCCATTTTCCTCAATGTCAGATAACCCAATCTGTTGCACTTTCTTTGCATTGACAAATTCTTCTAAACATGACCAAATGTTTAAAATCTTTTGCACCTGCTCATCTGGAGTTCCCTTATTGTATAGAGATACAATAACATTGTGCACGGAACTCACATTAAGGGCAGCAAATGCTGATAATGAAATAATTAATGATAACTGTAGTTATTATAAACTTCTTAATATTACCTTTATCTAAAGCCTGTTTGATGTAAGTAGCATTGTCAGTGGTCAAGAATATTTTAATACCAATCTTCAGGTTTTCTAAATCATGCTCGGACATTTTCTCCACCAAATCATTATGCTTGCTTGTAATCAAATTGGTTTCTTCAGCTGCCAAATTACTGACATGATTGTTTGATATTGTCAACTTGATGGCCTCTTCAAGCTAAAAAAAATATAAACAAACGTCAATAATGTGATGAACTAGTTTCTCGAAATATAACCTCTTCTGAAGGATTTTGTCCTGGATTTTTAGTAATATCGTTGAAGGACAATATATTGCCAGTGTTGACAATCAATGTCTTCACGTTTTCAGTTAATACGTTTGCCATAATGCACCTTTCTTTATTGATGATATTTCACTTGTAGATGTAATTGGATGTAATAAGTTGCGAACGATGTTGTAATCGAGGAGAAATACAAACAACTAGTTGTTGCGTTTGCGTTGCGTTCAAACTGAAAATGATCGCGTCATTTATCTGAACTGTGCGACGACCTTGAATGGCAGGCAATTATCTTGCAATTATGGATATTTTTTTCAGCAATTACTATTTTAATTTCGCATTCATAAGATTATTATCAGCTAAGTTATGTGTATATGGTGTTATTACAATTGATTTATTTTCTGTGGGACATGTCAACGGCTTATAGGAAAATAATCATCGCGAGTTACGTAACACAATCTCGGTAAACGGGATAATAATAGCTAAAATAAAAATAATTGCCAATTAGATGGCTTAATAATGCGTCTCATAGTTTTATTACTTAGCAAGTAAAGTCATTCGATATAATTACGTTGCCTATAATTTAATATAGAATTTTTACGCAGAATTAAAGCTATACTTCTTGAATTCTGCAACATGCACATTCCGCTAGCAACTAAGCACATTTTCTGTTATTTAATAAGCAAGTATATTAAACAAATCCTATTTAACTGTTTCATTTTTGTTTAAAATTATGATAACACTTTTTTGTGCTTCTTATGTAATCTTAATGTACCTTAATATAATAAAAATGTAGAATATTTCTACATGGACTGATTTAAACAAAACGATTTGTATTACATTTGTATTACCATTAATTATTTGAACATTGCTGGATTAATTTCTATTTATACTTTAATATTAGTTACAAAATATATTGTATAATCATTGACTTAGTTAATATTGTAAATTCTTCTGCATTGTTATTTAATAATATATATAAAAAAAAATATATCATAATTAAGTCCTGTATTATAATTTGTAAATCTTTTATTATAATTCTTGATTTTTTTCAAATAAAAAAATAATAGAATTTATTATATAGAGTGGTCAATAGCCCTTTTGTATCAGTTAATTATATTTGATTATTAAATAAAATAAGCGATACTATAAAAAAATTATAACTATAAATTATTTAGTACATTTATTATATATTTCAAATACTATATAGCTTCAGTTAATAATTATATAATACATAATTTATATTTCTTGTTATAAAAATCACTTTAAAATGGAAACTCATAAAATAAAATCTGTTTTTTTGAGAAATTCCCAACATTACTTCGCGTAGTTATATATCATATGTGTTATGCAAGATAAGTACTTTGTTAACATAATTAAACTTTCTTGTATCCCCAAATCCTTATGGCGGATAACGCTTTATTCAAGTTACGGCACCACTCGAGCCGCTCATCCTTTGTGTCAGCTGATAGTAAATGCCTGAAAGATAACATAATAATCAGTAACTAAATACTACTACAATCACTTTCAAATCACTCACTTAATTATCGTTCTGTCACCTTCCGGTGTCATTGTGAGTGTTTCTCTGTCACCGTTCATTGCAGGCCGTTCTCTTTCCAAAAGGAATGTATTCAATCGAGCACAAATTTCTCTGCTCACCTGACCCACATTAGTCGTAGTGCAAGATTTCAAATCAATTGAATCAATAGGAGCCTGAAAAATAATTGAATCTTAGTATATTTTCTCGATACGATCAACGCGATATTCGTACCTTCTTGCGCTCGTCTTCTGGGTATTTCCAATAACTTATTGTTTCGCCTTTCAATAAACACCACCTTCTATGCCAAGCGCCCAATCCTGAAATATCCTCGAACATATTCAAGAAGCCGCGATGTTCGACAGACACATCCATCTTACAAGACACCTTCATGATTACAGTACCTTCTAAAGGACTGATGGATGGTATCTACAAATGAGAAGAATGATGTTTAGCATTATTGTTTTCAATTAATGTACATCATCATTACCTTATTTAGAGTCCACGAGAGTTTGTTAATCGCATTTATAGAGAAAACGACGTAACCGTTTAACGCGAAAGTTGATGTTCGGATAGCTTGAGGACCGGCCGGTGACTCTTTCGGCGGTCGAACCAATCTCGAATCCTTCATTTTCTTAGGCGTCATCTTGTTACTTCCCTAAACATAACATTAACGTTACAAATATCTTCACACTCAAAACCAAAACCGTCTTACTTTCTTATTAATGTGATATTTAACTTCGTGCGGTAAAACTTCCTCTTGAGCCTGAAGGCAATATATCTCAAAACAAACTGTGAAATCGCTGTAGATATTATCAAATTTGATCACATCGGGAACGTTCAATTCGAGATCCAAGTTCTTCGGAGAACTGGCGACTGTAGATACAATTTTTGTAGCAGCGACCTGCTCGCCGCATTTGACCAAACACACAACGTGGTGTCCTTTGCCGCCAGCTTATAAAAAGAGAAACAAACATTTAATACCATCATTTCAAAATGGAAAAAACTCTAATATTACCTGCTGATAAAGCCCTCACGTATTCCTTCTTCAGCGGAATTGAAATATTTTTTATTATGAGAACTCCTCTCTCCAATGGCACATGTTCGGCGTGAGAGGCCAAAGGCCTCAAAGAATCTTCCACTTGCAATCTCTGTATCTCCATGGACGCAACTTGCCTTCGGTGAGCTTTAACATAATGGAATAAGTAATTGATTTCATTGAATCTGAATTATTATTTACTTGCTAACAACAGGAGTTTTTCAGCTTCCACCTGCTCAGTGGATCCTGTAAATTCTGGCGTTGCGTTGCAAAGATTGAGAGCACAACTCGTTTGCGATATGACCATTTGTTGTTTGTTCATTTCTTCTGTTAATTCTTTAATTTTATCAGCGACTTCCTCGTTTGGACCTTCAGGAATCTCATCTTCCTCGACGATTTCTCTGGTTATATGTCGCACAGGTGTCGTAGACTTCTATAAATCAACACATCACTTAAGCATAATGTATAATTTCATTAATATAATTACCTGTGTCTGTTGCTTCCTGTAAAAACTGACTGTATACCTCAATGGTAGAACATCCTCTCCATCTACCACATGAGTAGGTAAATCTCCTGATGTTCTTCTTGACGGTGGTGACGTTATAATCTTGCAAGGAGATTGGAAACGATTCGGTGATTTTCTTGGAGAGAAATTTTTATACTTGAATGATTGTGACGGTTCGCTGTGGATCTTCTTTAAAAAAAATAAAAAATGAATAATCGTATTAATTTAAGAAATAATGCACATACTTTGGGCGACGAAATTTTTATATTCTTTGGAGGTGTTGGCCCAATACTATCAGTGTCTGCATCGACTTCGTTCAGATAATCGTCCATGTCGTCCAAGATATTCGAGACGTCAGAATCAGTATCAGTAAAGTTCTAAGATGTAAGAAAAATCATTGAATAAAAGGTGTTTATAGTGCACAAACAAACAACTTACACTTACTCTGCGCTCTGGAGTTTTCTTGCAAACAGAGTGCATAATCTCTCGTTCGAAACTTGTGCCCACTTCGCCTTCAGAGAACGAAAAACTATCCTCGACAAAGCTAAATACAGAAAACAGAATGTTAGAAAAGACTAGAGGTGACTTACAAAGAAAATCAAGCAATCTTTATTTTCTCGTTTATTGAATGTATTCGATGGATGAGTAAGGAATAATCACAGACTTATTTATAAAACAAATTAACTTATTATAACTATCTCGATATATAAGTATTAAATATACAGTTAAGCACTCTGGCCATTAATCTCTTTAAACTTATCGTAACACAACCGATTTGTTTCGTCCAGTATTATCAAATTGTATTGGGATTTAATACAATTTCATAGTACGAAGAATTAAGTACATAAATTTAGCTAAGTAATTTTAAATTTAAGTAACAGGATCAGGCAAGACAAAGGAGAAACAATATCCAATCAACAAATGAATCGCACCTGTTTTTTGGTGATGGTGATATCGTAGGTTCGGGTTCCGTTTCAGTTGCATTCTCAATGTCAGATAGACAGGGATACAACTTTCCGTCCTTCGGTTGGGTCACCTTAATTCTCTTCACGTCACCCAACACGGCTTGCACGCGCGGACTATCACCTTCTGCAAAAACATCAAAACAAATTCAGGAATAAATATCTATTATTATTATAACAATTTGTTTTAAACTCACGGCTTCTTTTTTCTCCGCTTCTCCTGCTCACGTTTTCCACTGAAATTATTTTCGGTGACTTTGATGCAATCATCGCTGTTGTTTCATTGTATTCCTCCTCATCTTCTTCTGAATCCACCTCGATTTCTTCGTTATTTACCTAGTAAAAAAATATAATAAGAAGCTGCTTTTTTTTTCTACAAACATGTTAATAATCATACCTTTTTATTTTCATGGAACCTATTTAGTAGTACCGCCATTTCATTTTCTCGTTCCTCTTTCACCTTATTTTCAATTTGCTGTTGCGAAATGGTATTCACATTTTTATTCGTAAGCTGAGCAATCTTTTCAGCAATCGATTTTGAAACTGGCTCATCTTTTTCAACAACTTGTTTCATACAAGTCTTAGTTTCGATCACTTTCTTGTCGATATTCTTATCGTCAACAGTGTTACCTTTATTCACAATATTCATACCAAATGGAGCTTTTGGTATTAATGCCTCTCCACGTTTCTTTTCGAAGAGTTTCATACGTTCAGATACCGACAACAAGGCTGGGTCCTTTTCTTTCACATTCGCAGGAACAGACGACACTTTCTGTTCGAACATCGCCGCCCTGCTTGCAACTTTGCTGGTCCCTATAACCCTCGGAGTAAGTTTTTGTTCCTCCTTCTGCAAACTAAGAGGAACAAACTCTTTTTTACCGACTTTGGGTTTTTCCGAAACGGCAGGTTCGTTATCTTCGGCGATAGTATCGATTCGAGCAGTTTCCTTCGATTTGTCAGTAGTAGAGTCTTTATCCTGCGAATTTTTAAAATTATAGACTAACCGCGTATTTGATGTTGTACGAGTAAAACCCTGCGATTCCTAAATCCAGATAAAAAAATATAAATAAAATGATAATACCAATCACATAGTTCATATTTAACCCAAAACCCATAGACAAATGCAACAAATCGCAGAATTTTTAACGTCACAACAAGAGGTAAAGTGTGAGAAATACTACAGAAAGTTAGTGAAAATTGTTAAACAAATTGAATATTTACCAAACTTTCTATAACGGTTGGATCCCATTGTAACTTTTTAATACCAGACTTAATCTCTGGTTTAGAAGCCTCACATTCCATATTTGTTGATTTTGATGTATTTGGAGGCTGTGGCGCTGGTTGTTTAGATCTTGTGGTCACTTTAGCAGGACTATTGTTCCTGGATGATACATTGCTTACAGGTGGTTGAGGTGCTGGAGGTTTCCACTTTTTAGGTGTTGGCTTCTTCTCACTTATATCCTTTTTAGACTGTAAACATTTATATTTAAAATATACTACAAACAGGACATTAACTGATTATATACCATATCATCTTCCCATTGATTAATATCATTTGCAAGTTCTGCAAGTCTACCCAAACCTTTCTTGGATCTGACGACATTGGATGTACCACTTTCAGAATCTACATGAAACTTGGCTTCATTCTGATGAATAGGAGATGACAAATCTTCTTCACCTAACAATAAAACAAATATTAACTAAATGACCACCAATAAATATCAAATACAAACCTGAATACAATTTACCAAGTCGTTGCAATCTGCTCTTCGCCTGCTCTCTTATTATTGGGGTAGCAACATTCTCAATGTTATCAGAGTCTGAATCAATTTCCACCTCCACCCTCACATTATCTGTTGAGCTAACTTTAATTTCAAGATTTAACGAATCCTTTACGATATTTAATGTCTGATCATTGTTTGTCACATCTGAAGATATTTTTGTCTTGGAATTTTGCTTCATCATTTTGGGTTTACTAGGGGAGCCCCTCGTTTGTTCAGATACATTCTCATCACCCAGTTTTGTTTCTCTCAATGGAAACAGTTTCTTTTGCCTTGCTCTAGCCCTCTCCAATACATGCTAAGAATAAAGTAAGTTAGTTACTAATCTATAATGCACTTGTCTGTTTTTTTTTGTTTGCCTCCAATAACGGAATTTCAGTTTACTTACTTCTGTGAATGAAGAATCCATGATATTTTAGTTTAAGAAATCGCGTAAAACATTTATTAACAACGAACACAAGACAAGACAATAAAAACAATCTGTTTGTGGATTAACAAAAACTCGTTTTTCTTGAAACACCTCCCCTACGATACGCCGACACCACAAACCGTTTACTTCAAGTTTCAAACAAACCGTTGTATGTTTACAGAAGGAGGGAGCCACTTTGAAATACTATATATTCATTGGTGGATTCATCTAATACTGTTATTTTTCAGGTCTACCACTACAAAACTCGTTTTTTTTTTAATTAACTAATTAGTGTTTAAGAGTAGACTTAAGAGTTATTATAAAATTAAATTAAACTTAATCTTATAAATACAATTAATAATTTTTTTACTTAAACATTAATGTAAATTTTCATAAAGTTGGTAATTCGAATGGATTAACTGAATATTTCATAGATGGCAGAGCAATGTCCGTTATAACTGAAAATTAAATATAATTTACTTTGTTGCTATAGATTATGTAAACTCAATGACATCTTTAATCGTTCTTCCTTATTTGTTCAAGGTCACAGATATATAAATATTATGAAAAAATCGATGATAAAAAAATGTGTCGAAATAATTGTCAACAGGAAGCTCTGTAACTTATACAGTAATAGCATTATAGTATTAGAGGCATTAGGTAGTCGCCAGAAAGGGAAAGGAGATGTAGTTTCGATTGCATTGAACATTTTGTATGGGTTGGATTATACATAAGAAACAGAGAAAACCGAATGCCTGTCATTTAATAATACTGCAAGAAAATAAAATAAACATCTAAGCGTATTCAGTGGCGGGAAAATTCAAAATTGCTGGTGAACCGTATCAGGTAATGAAAACTTGTAATCAAAATAAAGGCGCAATAATGAGTCGAACATTGAGCGATGTGTGCATCTGGTGAATGCAGGGTACAAATTCCGTATCTGGAGGTTATGAGTCACCATATAATTGCATTGTACTTAATCGCGAAGTATTTCAGTTGTACAATCAGTCGTTTAATATTGGATTAGAAAAGCGGTTCGTCGATACTTGAGATCGCGCGTCTAGAGAATAAAGGTTTATTATTGTTTCAATTTTGAACAAAGGTACATCTTCCTATTTTTATTGAAAAACGAACAAAAAAAAAGCAACAAATGAGTGACAATAGTAGAACCATCGCTGAACTAACGCCAGGGAAATCAAGGTAAAATAAAAAAAATAAATAACGCTCGTAAAAATCAGTATACACATAGAAAATGTTCACTTTAATCGAAAACTTCTTAATAATGATCGTTCAAAGCATCTTCAAATTGTATGCCAGGTTGTATATGAAATTTTTGATCATCATAGTTGGGTAAGTTCCAGAAAATTACAGCACATACTAATATATCTACATGCACATAATTAGTTTTAACCTCACTACACTTCTTTTGCCCCACTACAAATGTTTATACAATTCACTGATTAATTATGACTATCCTCGACAGCTGGTTCAGTTCAAGTTGGATATCATGGAATAAGTATTCGGATAGTATGTTACGAGCAGTGGAAAAGAAGATATTGCAATGTAAGTACTTTCTATATATATATATATTCATATCTACACATGATAATTGCTATTTACATTAGAATGCTTTTGCTATTACTGTCTCTTTATCAGCAAAGTTTCATGCCATCCTTATTGTTTAAAAGGCATAATAAAATAGGGCTACCATTTGCTTTTCATATCATTAGTTACTGCTTATGCACTACTAATAATCATCTGCAAGAATCTAATAAAGATAAACAAATTATATTTTCATATAATAAACAATCAACATAACTTATCTCCTATTTTTGAAATAATCTTAATATATTTTCAAATAATGTATTAAGATTCTTTAAATATTGACTGTTTGTATTTTTAGATTTGTTGAAGATTAAAATGTTATATCAACAGGATGTAGTTTTTCCATGTGATATCTATATATTATATCGTTTTTTTTAATCTTCGCATACTCAAATATACACTACGAAATTGCGTAAATTCAAGTGCGTTCACTATACATTTTGTATTAAGAAATCTATATCAAGTAATCTTAAAAAACACGAATTCCGGTTGGCGTTTATACACTTGTTTTTGATTAAGGATTAAATAATAGTAAACGCCAGATTTGGTTCATATTGAATAATACGTTAATAGGGACTTAACACCACTTACATTGCAGATGGTCGGAGGACCCACTGACCATTCAAGATTCAAAAGCTCTTATAAATGCATCTTACAACCAGGTGTGACCTATTTGTTTTTCTTGAGATCAACTGTTCTAAGAGATCGCGTATGACTTGGCCACCTCTGGTATATAAATCAAACAAGAGTTTATCTAAAATAATTGAAGAGATTACCTAAATTTGAAAACATTCTATTTTATTTATAAAGATGTGTAAACATTTTATTGACCCTAATTTGGACAATCGCCTGAAGCCTTCACAATTTTTCTATGATTTTGTGCAATCTTTATAATTGGAATATTGACACATTAATATATGTAATTGATTTTCAAAATTAACGATATTAATTTAGGGAATCTTCTTCTAATTGGTAACCGTCGTCCAGACTCTCCATTTGTCTTATTTGTTAAATCTTGATATTTATCAAATATCATCTCAAATTATTGATTCTTTATAGTTTGAATACAAACACATATTTTAAATAAGTAGTACTTTCAACGAATCGTATCATTAAAATCTGCTATGTCATAATATTGTTTTTTCAATAATATTTATTCTAGATCGAATTTCATAATTTCAATGTTATTTAAATAACAAGTTAATTTATAACATGAAATGTAAATTAGTTTACAATATTTAATTATAATTCAAGTCAATTTATAATGTTTCAAGTATATATTTTGAATATGCTTTGAAATGTTAGTTTTCTTAAGTAGAATTTATAGTGTCTTTTTAAATTGCTTAATAAAAGTAAGAGAGAATTTGCAGAACCAAGTCAATTTTGGCATTATCAAATGTCTCGTAAAACAAAATGTAATCTATATTTAAGTTTTAATCATTGTTAGTCAGTTAGATTAAATCAATATTTTCATTGGAGTACATAGGGCAATACTTAAAAATAAATTAATGATCAACGGTATTGCATGCTAGATATTGACGTGTTGATTGCTTTCATATGTTTAAATATAAATTGCAAACCGGCCTTGATGTGTTTGTTTGCTATTCGGCTGATTGTCTGGTAATTTGCATCACGCAATTCGTTTTAAATTCGTAAGATCATGCATAATTTGATGTAATTAATTTGGATTTGGTCTTGTCCAGATGATTTAAAAATTCAAATTCTATTCAAAGTCTATAAAATCACTTTATTTGTATCACTATTATTTTCATTATCAACTGTATGGTAAGTAGGTTACGCTGTTATCAAGGACGTACGTAGATAAAGGCTTTTCATATATATGTTATTTTTGTTATATACGTCTTATCTCATTATTTACGAAGTTACGTCAAATAAACTATTCAAGCTATTTGTAATTGTCTGAAGCGTCAGCCGTAACTTAATTTCGCGTCATAATGAAAACTTCAAATGAAATGTATTTGCATTATTATAGATTGTCGTACTGTATACAGAGGATGTTACGTGGACGTAGGACCGGTGGTGGGACCAGCAGACAAAATATGGACGATATCGATGAACCAGGATTCAACGAAAACCCCACTTGTCCTTCTGCATGGATTGGGAGCCGGTGTTGCTCTTTGGTGTCTGAATCTGGACAGCTTTGCAGCTACGCGACCAGTTTACGCTATTGATGTACTGGGCTTCGGTCGCAGCACTAGACCTAAATTCAGCACGGACGCCATCGAAGCTGAGCAGCAGCTCGTAAAATCCATTGAAGAATGGAGGAAGGAGATGAAATTGGAGAAATTCGTCCTGCTGGGACACAGTATGGGAGGTTTTCTAGCAGCATCGTACGCCATCACACATCCTGATCGCGTTAAGCATTTGATCCTGGCTGATCCATGGGGATTCCCCGAGAGGCCTCCAGATTATGCGCGCAAAGAGATCCCCTTCTGGGTCAAAGCTATCGCTTATACGCTGCAACCACTGAATCCGCTTTGGGCTGTGAGAGCCGCCGGACCTTTAGGTATATAGTTATAAAATATTTCTGAACTTATTACTAATAATATTAATTATTTGCAGGTCAATGGGTTATAAACACGGCACGTCCAGACATCACCAAGAAATTCTCAGTTTTTGTTAAAGATGAATATCTTATCACACAGTACCTGTACCAGTGTAATTCTCAGTCCCCAAGGTAAGTTATTAGGATAATTACGAGAATTTTCGTTGAGTTATAAGTGGTTTTAGCGGCGAGGGTGCCTTCCACACTATGATGTCAGGCTTCGGCTGGGCCAAACATCCGATGGTAAATCGTATTGATGGACTCGCCCCAGAGGTGCCCATTACGTTGCTGTACGGTTCACGCTCTTGGGTAGACAATTCTGCTGGAGAAATAATCAGAGAAAAGAGGAAAACGTCCGATGTAAACTTACAGGTATTTAACTATTTCCATAATAATAACTATATAATATCACATATTACTTATTTATATAGGTAATTGTTGGAGCTGGACATCATGTGTATGCTGATAGACCGGATACTTTTAACAAGTATGTGAACGATGCGTGCGACGCAGCGGATGGAGTTAAACCTAAGAAAATGTTGGCCATTCAAGGAGTATCCGATCTGCCAGAAGAAACTACGAAGACAGAATCCGAGAAAGATACGGACCTACAAACGACGTAATTTGACGACATAATCTATTATAAATATATATATTTTTCGTTTGTTTTTAAAGAAATATATATACACATGTTTTAAAGAGAATGAAAATTATATACCGTATGCAATAAGTTTTTTTAATTGTTAAGTCGCGAGGCTAGTTATTTATCTAATTTATTGTAATTTTGTTGTGTTTTGTTCTCATAGACTAGTCATTCAATTCCAAATTTTTCGAGCGTTGAAATTTCCAAGGATTTTGAATACGAATCTTGAAACAAGAGAATCCTAATTTTAATTTTTGAAATAAACATTTTGTTTTTCATAGTGAAATTCTAACTTTGGTAACATTCATACCAAAACTCTTTAGTGCCATAAAAATCAATTTACTTTTAAATGATTTAGTTGACCTTTTTTGTTGCACTATTTACGCTTTTGTTTTTGACCACTATAGCTTATTTGTGTTTTTTAATATCCGTGGACTGTTTGATCAGTTGCAAAGATTTGCTACAGTCTGTGATAAATTGAAGTGAAATATTGTTATTAATAGAATATTTAATAAGTGATGAATATTAATAAATCTGGTTTAACGTTTTCAATATTCCATGCAGGTGTTATTTAATCCACATAACAAAGCTTTAGAACGTTAAATTCTTGTATAATTCGAGTTTAGCTTCCAAAATGTGCAGCAGTCTCTGTTCGTGGAAGGGATATTCGAAGGGTCTGTGCAATAAACTATTTCCCTCGAATTTATATGTCATCTGCAAGTAAAGATAAATAATATTGTTGCTAATTTATTACTGCAACTTACATCAATAGAGCAACTGCTTGGCTTAATCCTCATTACTTCTATTATGAAGAAAACGCTTGCTGTAGCTTGTGCGATGGGATAAAGAGCCGTAGGTAAGGACCAGGTCACTTCGTAATGGAAGAAATCACTGACTTCATCGCTTTGAGCCATCAAATAGTCAATAGCGTAAGTCCAATCTTCAAGCATGTTCCAGGAACAAACATAACTTTCAATTGCGTCAACGCCTTTACCAAAATTAAATTCTTCGATTTTAGGAAACTGCATGCACTTTATAGCCATGCGGTCTTCCCAACCAGATGTGTACTGCACTATAGAATCTTCGTCGTATTCTTTTGCTCTCTTCCTAAGAATTGCATTCGATTTCACTTAACAAAAATATATATTAGTAGAGATTTTTATGAGCAATGTAGTATTTACAGATGGCAGTCTCGATGAGGCTATCAACAAAATGCTCTGAAATATTATAAACACCACTGTATTCATCGCAACTTCCTATGTGATATTCATCCGTGGCCTGAATACAAAAATACATAAGTTACAGTAACAATAATTAAAAATTATAAGTAATTAGTTATACCCAAGTGACATCGGCTTCAGGCGTTACGTCTTCCTTATCCTCTTCAAAGCTTATCTCCGAAGGTCTTAAAAACTTCACTTTATAGACTTCCCGGAGAATGTCATCGAGCAAATCACCGGCTGCTATTTCTGACTCTGGTAATTCATCGTATCGCCTTTTCAGTGCACTTGCATTTATGATCTTCCAAACCAAATTCTTGGCAACTTTGTCGGGATCATCGCTGGTTTCATCCAAGTACTCAGCATATTCCGCAACTTCTTCCACCAAATCCACGATGATTTTTGCAATATCTTCAGGCGGCAGCAGTTTTCCACGAATAGTTTGAATATGAGCGACGAACATTTCCACGTCCGAATACTGAAGATGGAAATATACTATCCAGATGTACTGCCAAGCGTTCAGTTTGGTATCGACTGTTATTTCTAAAAAATAATAAATTAATTAATCTAATACGGATAGAAATTTATAGTATATACCAGTAATAGCGCACAACGTTTCCATAACAAAATGATCGATTTCTTTAGAAACAACGTCCTCCATGGATTTTGCCAGTATATCCTCTAACATATCTTTAGCCAATTCCCGTGAGAGAGATTGTATTTCTAAAAGAGATTTATTCGGATTTGTTACATTTTGCATCATGTTACTTACCTGGATCACTTCTAATGTTATGTCCTCTTGTATTTAATTCTGAAATTTAATAATTTATAAACGTACATATAGATTAACGAATTTTATATTTACCTTGGAGGGATACGTTGCTTTTCTTCGATGAAAACTTTTTATTCGATCTTATTTGTGTCTTGGATACCAATTGCTGCGATTTCACTGTAATCGCTGATTTATGTCGATTATCCTGCCATGACTTGCTTTTTGTTGTATTGCGAACATGCAGTATGGATTTCAATGTGGATGTAGATTGTAATGATTTGGATTTAATCCTTGGGGTAATAGTTGATTCAATATCAGGTAGCGAATTGGTAACACCTGCGTTCAGAGCAGAAGACGTGATAAATTCCTCTTTATTAGGTTCATCAGATATATTCCCGATGCGAACAGAAACTTTTCTATCCAGGTTTCCATCAGATTTGACTGGTATATTCTCAGAGATATCTACAAATAAATTTTCTTCTATTTTATTTTTGAATTCAGAATGTTCTTACGGTGTGTGGATTCCATTGAACTTATAGCTCATTTAATTAAATATGTCAACAAAAATGTTACAAGCTTGCTACATATATTTATTTCGTAAGACAAATCAATACAACAGGAAAATATACCATTATGGAATAAAGAAGCTGTTTAATTACAAAACAATCATTCGTAATATAATCCAAAGCAAAGCGCGACAGCAAACACGGACATATTTTCATGAGTAAACCTTGCATATTTATCCCTGTCCACGTCCCACAGCATTCTAAACAGATAAAAGACATCTTGCGATCTCTTCTCTCCGATAGTCACCATACAAACAATTTTATATCTGAAAAAAAGGAAAGAAAAACAACAAATCAAAACAAATGTTATTAAATGAAACATAATTTATACCGATCATATTCTTGCTCTTTAACTTTAGCTCGAATCGCACTCGAAGCCCATTTTGCCTGTTTCGGAACTTTCTCCTCGTCGTAATTTAAATCTTCGAGAGCTTCGATCAATACCTCCTTCAAAATATTTTCCACTACTTCCACATTGAAAGGCTTATCCGATTCCAATTTATACGAATTCATATATTTCGGAACCTAAAGAATAATTTGTAGCTTAAAATATTTAAAATATTCGTAAAGCAACATTTTACTTCCGGCGTATCTTTATTTGACAAAGATACCTCAATGGTACTCATGCTACTACTCATATTGATATACTAAAGGCACTCTGCAAATTGTTGCACCTACTATTAAGTAAACCAATTTGGTACAAACTGGTACCAGATGCGCTAATACTTCGAAAAAAGATCAATAGCATCGCTCACCTTTTGCCTATCAAAGTATTCCATATTGCCTCGTCTTATTGATATAATACTCCCCATTGCTCTAGTTTTCTTCTTATCCATTGACTTCCTTTTCCCTTCCTACGGGTGTATTAATTGCACAATGTTTTGAACCATCTTAGAATGATTAAGTATACGTACTTTATCATCGGCGTGTTTTCTAAATTATAAAATTATTTAATTAAAAGAAATGCATAAAAAAAAGTGTTTAAAAGAATATTACCCAGTGCCGCTGACGTCTGAAACGCGTCTAAAATCCTCTTCTTCGTCTAAGAAATCATCATCGTCATCTTCGACTTCTGCAGCCTCCACGGGTTCAGCTGCTTCTTCCTCCTTCGGTTTCTCTTCACCCTCACCTTCTACAGCATCTACCTTCTCACCTTCCCCATCTTCAGGACCAGCCTCGCCTTCTGCTATAGTAGATTACAAAGTTTAATTTCATCACTCTATCTATTAATAAGTTACCTTTGCCCTCTTCAGCCTGAGATTCACCAGGTTCTGTTTCAACCGGCGCTTCGCCTTCTTCTCCAGTTCCCCCTTCCGCAGTTTCTTGTCTTTCTTCCGGTTTTGCTTCAGCTTCTTCCTTTGTCGGTTCTTCTCCTGTCGGTTGTTCAGCAGAATCGTCTGGAGGAGCCGGTTCTTCCGAGGCCGGAACTTCAGCTTCGGGTTCAGCTTCTGCCGGAGCTTCAGCAGTTGCAGGTTCTTCAGCAGGTGGGGGTGCTTCGGATTCAGCCGGAGCTTCATCACCCATTATGTCAAGCTTTGATGTTAATGACTTAAAAAATCTTTGATCACTCTATAATATACGCATATAATTAAATTTATATTAAGAACATTTGTACTTATTTAACAACAAATTCTATTAAATTAATAGATTTAAAATAATAAAATAACATTGATTCAAATAATTTTAAATTTTGAATTTTAAAAATAATCAAACATGGTTGCATATATTATAATTTAATTATTTATTAACACTAATAAAGATTATTAAAAGAAGTATACTTAAGTATATAAATAATATCTGCATTTCGATATTCTTATTTTACTCTTTAAATATATTTATTGTAAATAAAATTTAAGTAAAAATAACATAAGGCAATATAAATAATGTACAATATAAAAATATCATTTATTTTTCATTTATATAATCAAATTACTAAATTTAAGATAGGCAAATCTTTATATAATATAAATAACATATACATAACCTAAAAGTCTTCTCATATTTACAAAGGTGTATTTGATTTATAAAAAGCAATAAGAGGTAATTTCTATGATTTAATATTAGATTTCTTTACTAAAACTAATTTTCAGATGTCCTTATTTAAATTCGAATGGTTATATAAAATAGTTAGGAGACACTCAAAACCAATACCCGAGAATAGAGCTCAGGTATGGAAATCAAGATTATCCATAATGTACATGGTCCTAGCATGGAATGCATTTGGTGTAATTTGTTATACCTTCTACAAGGGTAGAGGTGATTGGGCAAAGCATCATGGTGTGTCAAATTCAGAAGGAACTCCAGGTAAGTCAATAAAAAAAATATAAAGCTCTTTATTAAACTACGTTTTTCTAGCACAACAATGGACGAGAACTTTGGGCATTAAAGATGCCACCGTCTACAGAGTAAAGGGCTTTAATTTAAGCAGATACGAAATCCACAATGACGAATCCGATCTTAAGGATAAACCGATGTTCGGATTCCAATTGGAGAATGAGACTACACAAAGTGAAGACAGTGAAACGTTAACCGAGTAGAGTAATAAATATAAAATACTAATATGCAAATCACATTATATAAAAAAAGAGAGAGAACGTAATACACACACAGTAAACTGTCTAGACGAGATGTGTAAATATCAGTATAAAATAATAATAGGAACAACAGAATAAAATATAATTAAAAAATAATATATTCATCTTATTTAATGGTGTCCAGTCACAGCCCTCGTATTCTGGCGATGCATTTGAAACTTTTCCATTTCAACTAGGAGCGCCGACCTAGGATAAGGTTCATCAGTAAATTGGCTAAATGGTAAACAACATTTTCTCACCTGTAACTTTCGTAACGCATTACGATATTTTGCAGCTCTTGCTTATATAATCTCGTCAACATAGCATTGTAACAGTCCAGCTGTGTCAATTTAAACATGTCCCATCTCAATTTGTGATCTAGTTCAGCGCTTGCTGTATACAAAAAAAAGAAAGAAATAATTAATCACATTCCTGTAGCTTCCTTTTTTGTAGTGGTAATTACTTTGAAAATAGATTGTCAACCAATTAGGAATTTTCTCTAGTAAATACGGGTTTGCAGGCACTAATACACTGTGTGGCTGATAGTGGGTATTCCTTGGGGGATTCATATATCTAACGTCTGGCTGGTAATTGTAGCATGGCACTAAACATGGATGCTCGTATTGCGCTTGGCCCGTTATATGACTGAAAAATGTTACATATTATCATCACATTCATTGTATAATGTAGGGGATGCTCACTTCACGTAATATACACCCCAGATCGGCGAATGGATGCATTGCCATCCCGTGGGAAGTCCTTCTCTCTCCAATGGATGTGACCAATGTGTCGTTTTCGTGTTGTGATCCACATAGTATTTCCTACCTCTCAGTGTATAATCTACCGACCACCCTGGAGGCAATGGCAATTCCTCCGTTTGCTCTACAAGTGATAGTCAATTATAACTGTAGGTTAATAAATAATCAGCAAAGAATTACCCTGCTGCGTGTTCTCAGTTCTTTCTTTTGTCTGTCTTAAATGATGCGCCAATTGCTCTCCGTATGTCATCCCCTGAGATTGGGGTCGAAATCGCTCGGCATTGGTGTTACTGTAAATGGGAGTGGCTTGAAATTGATTACTGCTTTCATTTGTATTCTGATAAATCGGCGAAGGCGCCCGATTGCTATAGTTGATCTCGCTGCCGAACGTCGACGCGGTATCTTGGTTTGCTAATGGATAAATCTGATCAATTTCGACGTAGTTGGCATTATTCTAAAAGCGAAAAGAAATTCCAATTATGTTATGTCTTCCAGTTTGTTTATATTATACGTACGGCGGAATTATCTACATAGGAATTGCTAATTATTGGCTGATTCACATAAATCGGCTGAGATTGGTTTATGGCGGCAAGACTTTGATTTACGACAGACTGCTTGTTCGTAACAGAAAGGTTAGCAAATCTGAAAAAAAAAATCAATTTAAACATCTTAATTTCATAATATAGTTTCGAAATTACTTTGATGCTAAATTAGGAACGGACGAGCTTGGCGTATATTTGCCCTCATGAGAACCCAAACCCACGTCGCTGATTGTCGTCTTCTGATTACCAAACTTCTGAACGGTTGTGGATGCATTGGGCTGCGCTTGGGACGTTGTAGAACTCTGAGAGTTGCCTTGTGGTGGAAATGAACTCCTGTTCTGACTTGATAGTCTTCGTTGAGGCTCAGTACTCCAAACATTTATAACTAAATATACAAAACAAAATAATATTCAAATATTATGCATTTCTGGAAATACTTATTATGAAGAATTTATTTAAAAATTAATATTCTGTTAGCAGCAGAACATTTGACAAATAACTGTTTCATAACATCCCAAGGTCTCAAAATATAAATTATGCAAATGATATAAATAACTTAAAAATTTAAAGCATTTCATACAAAATAACACCAATTAAGATTAATAGTAAACATACTTACAATATAAAGAAATGCATACAAAATAACTCAATTTACATAATTGGTAAACATAGTTATGACAAACTATTTAAACACAATTGTTCCAATTCCTGATTTGATATCAGGATATTTATTTATGAAAATAATAAGTACATTTCTAAATATATAATTATTTAATAATATTGTTATTATAATTATATTTTATCTTATATATAAATATTTTTTTAAATTTTGCATATTGCAAGATTTTAGATGTGCTGAATAAAACAACTATAGTTTATGAATTAGCTATAATTTATGATAGTAATAGAGTTTAATTATGTTTGAAAAACTAAAGAATAATATTGTTTCAAAATATGCAAAATATAGGTGATATTGTGTATATATATATCATAATAGTTCTTCAGATGTTGTTTATTTACTCTTTAATTAATTGGGATACGTTTATAATAATTTAGTTGAGTGATTAGTGTTTTTAAATAGTAGAAAGAAGAAATTGGAAGATATGTTAAGAGTAAGTCTGGTATATACATAGTGTCAGACCACTTTGCTTGCATTTTGTTGGTTATGTTCAGGAATGCGACATATGTCAAAACAACATATTTTGATTGATTAGCATATGAAAATGGAACAAAAATAATAAAAACAAGAGCAAGCGTTTACTCACTGGGCATTTCCGGTGGGGTGTCCTTCTTAACGTACCTCCCGACGACACCCTCCTGTATCGTCCTGGAGTCCTTGTTCTTCCTGGATTTCATGATGGTCAGCAGATGAAAATCATTTACGAAAGCTGCACAAAATTATTTATTGCACAAGTGGCAACCAGTCAAGAACGTAATGAAATTTGTGCGGCGACAATATTGAGGAGCGGATTTGGAAAAAGAGGGACGACGGACCGAAGAAAAAAGAGGCTATTTTCGGTCTCTCGCCGCGAATGTAATCAAAATCAAAAAATAGTCTGTGAATTTCCGCTGAAGGTCAACCAACGTAATAAAAATCGAGATTACAATTTGAACAGTTAATGCCTGGGCCCATTTGCTTGAGGCCGCACCATTCTTAAGCTACCCTCGGCGCCGGCACCATCCTACCTCGCTGGGCATTGATGCTGTGTAGGGGCTGAAGATCAGACGATGCTGGTTGGATTCGCGAGTGTTGCCCTTCTTCTTGTTGGTTGTTGTTGTTGTTTAAGCGTCGCGCTTCGACGACGATGAATTGGCAGGACTTCAGCGCTGGATGGATTGGAGGTAAAACAAGATTGCACGACAGACAAGAAAATCCTGCTTTTCTCTCTACATTCTCCAAAAAATCTCGAACTTTACAAATTCTCATACGACCGATGTACAACTTTTCTCTTTTGTCTCTCAGTTGACACACACATTTTCATTGTTTATGCTGAAGACGAGAACGCATTGAGTCACTAACGCAGGCGCACCATGTGCACTGTAAGTTTGGTTGCATTTTTCTTTACTTTATTCACTAAACCTGACTAAACCACTGCATCCTTAAAGATGATAGACGCCCTAAAGTTATATAATTTATGTTAAAGAAAAGAAATGAATAACTATAATTTAGAACTAAACGTTCCTAAATTTTTGCTTAAAAAATATATACAATGAATTAATTTATTTAATATAATAAATAAATTGACCCAGCTAAATGTGAAGGGGTTTCCAGTAGGAGACTCATTACCGGTAGAAGAAGAAATAAATTGATTCAAAAATTCTAAATGCATATTTGTAAAAGTAAACTATAATTTAGAACTTTATTTTATTCTATACATCTCCCCACGCAAAGTTAAGTTGCCTTTTAAAACATCTTTACAAAATTATTTTTTACTTAAATTGGCATTATGCTAGCAAGGATAATTTCAATAATTAATTTGTTAAATTACATTTTTTATTAATACCTTCATATATTCAAATACATTTCTTTTAATTTTATTGATAATTAGATAACTTTATTTTAATTTACTGCTACAAAAATGTACTATTATCAATATTTTTGTTATGATCAAATCTTTGTCTTTACCACAAAGCATTTCCGAAATTATTTCATGAACAATTTACTAATCAATATTTTCTCATTATATAGTTTTACTTACTTAATTAGAACCATTTAATCTACTTTATAGTAATTACCAAATTGAATTAAACCAATTTACTGGATAGTACCTAGATAAAATATTCCTTGATGATAATTAATAATAATTCATAATTAATATTAGTTAGTAAGAAATATGTGTTAAATAGGATATCTGCAATACGTTTATTTCGTTTGACGAAGGTATGAAATATAGAAAATATAGGATCTCTTTTGCGAGATTATTGTAGGATCTATCATTGATAGACCATGTTTTTCGCAAATTGTAGTTGTATTTGATCATCTAGCGTCATCCTGCGACATTCCTTTCTATGTTAATGAACTTTCCGAAAAGGTTATCGCCTCTAAATTATGCAAAGATGAGGCGATTCTGCATGTTTGCTTACGTATTATACTAACAACTATCAATGATATGATTATGTTTTAAGGCCATGAGAAATGTCGAAATACAGGAAAATCTCAAAAAAAAGGCTATTAGTGGACCGTTTGCTTTTGCTTGGGTTTTAAGAATGTAATTTGGTAGAAATTAGAAAGTTGTATTGAATATACTTAGGGGTGGCGGGTTTGGTGGTGGGTCATCCACTGGATACGATGAAAGTGCGTCAGCAGACGTTAGGCTCCAGCCTCTGGAAGGCTGTCCAGATGACCTTCGTCCACGAAGGGCCGCGTGCTTTCTTCAAGGGCGTGCTTTTCCCGGCTCTCATGACAGGCCCATCTAACGCCGTGTTTTTTGGAATCTACGGCAATTACATGAGGATTGTGCAAAGCCAAGGCGATAAAGAATTTTTCAGAGTGCAGAAGGACGATCCGGAATGGATGAAACATGTTTTTTGGGGAGGCAGGTATAATTAGCTATGTATTATAGGCAACACGAGCTTCCTGATATACAGCGATAGTAACTAGCAATTGATTGAACTGATATTTCCAGGATGCACGGCAGGATTCTTTCAAGTCGTGGTAACTTGTCCGCCTGAACTGGTAAAGATCATTCTTCAATGCCAGACCGAACACAAAGGCGTCTGGCATATTCCTCATGAGACCCATTATCACGGTGTATGGGATTGTGTAAGGAAGTTGTTCAAAAAGAGAGGAATTCCCGGCCTCTACAAGGGCGTCTTCCCCATGATGTGTAGAGACGTTCCAACAAGCGGAATATACACATTATCCTACGAACTCTTGAAGATCGTCAACTATCCGATCGAAAAATTGAATCATCCCTTGGTCAAACAAGTTATGGCTGGTGGATGTGCAGGTATAACCAATAACACGAACAAGTTGCATGAGAATAATTTATTTAACTTTCAGGTGTTTTATCGTGGTCAATCGTTATACCGATAGACGTGATAAAATCAAGGCTACAAGTGGATAGCCCTGATCTTCCAAAGTACAAGGGTTTTTACGATTGCTTTTATCAGTCTTACAGAGCCGAGGGTTGGGGAGCTTTTACGAAAGGGATGGGAGCGGTCTGCGCCAGAGCATTTCCAGCCAACGCTGCTATCTTCGTGACGTACGAATTTCTGCTGGATTTCTTCAACACCCTTTGAGATGTGACCATCTTGGAGCGAATCGAAGTTCCAAACCTTTTAGTACAAATATTCTGCAAATTCTATTAAAATACGATTTTACTTAATGATTTTAAATATTTATTGAAAGGAAATAGGCGATAGCTAAATGAAACACATTCCATTGTGCATTTATTTTTATTTATATATTGTTATTTTATTTCTGCATATCGAGATTTAATAAAGATTGTTATTGTTAATAAAATACATGTTTTCAACATGCATTGCGAACCTATAACAGCTAATCTAAATTAGTCTAAATGACGAAGGTAAACAATATATCATCAATAAGCACAGAAAATAAATGTACTAATCTAATAAATTAAGTAAATTATAGTTTTTTTATACTGAAATTGCGATAATATACACGTAACTGATCGAAAGTTCTTCAGGAGAGGTGGCCACCAACCGTAGTAAGAGGACGACAGCTTGTTGCAAAGATGGATTGTACCCACCTAGTAAATTCAAAACTATTCAATTTAACTACAAACTGTTATTAATTCAATAACGTTATTAAACAAGACATGTCAAGGTGACTATTTTTAATTCCTTTAATTGTTTTTAATTTTACTAGCAATTTTCATCATCTCATCAACAACAAAAATAGGTCTAGATAATAGTCACCTTACATTAATTACATAATCTATGTTCAAGAAAGAAAACACAAATAATTATTTGTTTCGATATACTGTATACTTATTATATTATCACATACTTAAGTCACATAAACACTATGAACACATTATTCTATTAGTTATAAATACACAATGGGTTGGAAACGAAATTGGATGCAATGTTCATCGATATTAGAGCTTAAGAAATAATTTACCAAGTAGTCAATACTGCAACAGATTAATATATTTCACATTTAAATTCAATAACTTCACTATAAAATATATAAAAGGATTTTTTTTATGTAAGTCTCTGTAATTAATACTAAATAATAACTAAATTAATATATATATATAACAACGACTTATTTAATATTCATACTTTTAATTATGATTTATGTTATTTCTATTAATTTGGCTATGCTTTTGTAGCTGAATGTTGAAAGCCACTATTAATATAAAACTTATCTACTAAATTGCATAACGCTAGAGTTCGTATCAATTTATGAAAAATGTATAAGATTTTATTGCAATATCGTAAAATCACATCGGATGTAACTCAATAAAGATAATTGAAACATTTCTAAGTGGATCAAGAAGGATGTAGGAAAAGGATATTGGATTGAATTTCATTAATCCTAAGATATGGGACATGTCTTGGGGGCTTGTGCAAATCCGCGAATCAATGAAGCAAAAGTAGAGGGATGAAAATGAAAACAACGAAAATTCAAAATCATAACGTTTATTTTACTGTTTTTTCTTATCAACAGTACGCACTCGAAATTCGCGTACGTACATTTTCACATATGCTATGTTTCATATCTGTTTTTTTTTTCTTTTTTTTGTTTATCCTCACGTATTAGAAACTATTCCTTTTTCCTCAAAAGTATTTGTCTGTATATATCCTTAAATATATTTATAATTTCCTCATAATAGATTTGTCATTCACACGTTCACATTTGTTCTGCTTGTTATCAACTAGTTAGTACGAAAACAAAACAACAACAACAAAAAATAAAGTAATACGAAGAAGGAAACGAACGGAGAAGAGAAATGTAAATAAACTCCTCGTAGAACGAACGAGTCACTTGTTTTCAGAAACGTATTCAACTCCCTTTTGCGTTCTGTTCTCTCCACAACTAATGACATACAACATAAAAGTATACAAACTACACATCGAATTTAATCAACTAAGGATTAAGGTATAAATAAATAAGTTTTAGTTTTGTTGTTTTTTTTTTTAATCGTACAGTTTTGTAGCTTTAAAGGGTTTCTGAAAGCAAATGGCGTTTAAATATAGTCCACGCAATAATTTATAGTTTTTTTTCGAATTATTTAGTTTATTATCATTATTTAATCAACTCTACACTAGAAATCTTAGTTAGTATATTTATTTTCCTTCCTCAATTAAATATCTCACGAGAATCAAAGAAAAGAACAAAGAGAAACAATAGAAATTTTAACAATATATTATCTTTTTTTTTATCAATCATCATTATATCTACAAAGTTGTATCTCATATTATACGATTTATTTATATTTTTTTTTGCTCTCCGTCATACTTTTTAATTAATATTAATTGTGATTTATTTATACAACAGCTAACAGATTTTCGGGACATTTTGCCGTCCACGATCACATAGAAATCGAAACAGAAAAGAGACAAATTAAATTCAATGGATTTTTGTTTTGTTTACACACATCGTCATTCGTCAACGCTGCAGATACATTTATATAATTATGTAATGAGTTAAGAGCTGCTTACGAATTTAAACAATCATGCCGAAGCGCGAAATATATGATCAAGAAAACAAACAACTTCAGAAGAAATCCATTGAACTGTACATATCTAGAAAGATTGAGCTTCATCATGCATGATTTTTTTTTTGAATTTTTTTTAATTAACTTTATTATGTATAATTATGTTTACTTCATTTTCATTACAATATATACTTTTTTTTCATATAATTCTTGATTTAATACCGACTATCTAAAACACAATAATTCTCATCGCTATACTTTTTTAGAAAGCATGATCTCATGTATTTTATCTTTTTTTGCTAGTGAACATAATCGAAAAATTGACTCGTACTTATGTTGAGAACGATATAATCAAAGCTGTTTTTTTTCTCGTTTAGTTTATTTAAACTCTAGGATTCGAGATCCTGCTACCTCGCGCGCTCTAATTGTAAGCTTGAGTAAGAAGCGAGTCAAATTCTGGATTCATCCGTTAGATGAATTTAATCGATCCATTTTATATTTCTGTTACATAAAGATACAAACGTCTGGTGCGAAGATCTACCGACAACGACGGATTTACTCACGATTACTTTGTTATAATCCCATAACAGTCGTCGATTAAATTCAACTCGGATTTAAATATGTTTAACAACATCAAAAAGCCCAAATCAATGACAAAAGAAAATACATAAGTTACAATGTGAAAATCCTATGATAGTTTAGATTCTTCTCTTCTTTTTTGGATTTATTCGTTGCACCGTACAAGTGCGAGTCAAACCTTGTGCTACCTAAAATTATGGTTTGTGAAGTGTGGCACCAATTTTATTTATATATAATATATAGATTTTGCTTTACTTATATCCTCCGTCATCAAATTGTTCTTTAACCTTGGCTGTATAAAATATGTAATATACAACTAAGTTTAGGTACAATTACCACCTAAGTATCAAGTACAATCATTCATCCACTCTATCAAAAGAGAATCCGGGTCACGCACAACATGAAAAAATATAATTAAAGAAAAACGAATTAAAATAAAGTTATATTTTTAAAAGACAAAAAGAGAAAAAATCATAATAAACATACAATATGCACCAGAAAAAGAAAAAAAATTAAAAAAAAAATATGGAGAAAAATACGACAAAGGAGAAAAAAACAATATTTTTTGTTATACAACATAAATATAAAACATTATGTCATTATTATTATCATATATATAAAAAAAAAAGAGAAACATTCCATTAAACATACAATTTTCGGATTTTCGGATCACTGAAAATCTTTACTTATCGTCTCAAGTATATTACATGTTATACAGCCATTACTTTTTTGTATACTGTACATAGATTATTACGTCTTTCACCCAAAAAAAACAATGAAAGGAAAATAATAATAAGAGGAAATAAAAATAAACAACAAATTATCGATAAAATATTACTCGCACCCCAATTTCTCTCTCACTCACAAATATAATAATAATTCATTAATTAATCACTTAATTAATAATAATATATCAAGTATATTTCTTTTACGTTTGTTTAATTATTTTTTGTTTTCCTTTTTGTTTACTATTATACACAGTCACTTGAATCGATCACACACAGGTGGTGCATCGGCTGCACATATATATATTATATAATATATTCTATAAAATATTTTTTGTGGTTAAAATTGTGTTTGAAAACAGATTGGGTTTCTCTGTGTACTTTTTTTCATTTTCTCAAAAAGAAACACAACACGTGTATCTATGTAAAATCCATTTCGTTTTAGTAACCAATAAACAACACACAGCAGAGTGATACTTTTTCTTTTCCTATGGCCATACGGTGCATAACTAAATACAACGAAAATACAAAATAAAATTTCTTCCCTAATCAATTGTTAATACAGATATAAAATTAAAAAGAGAAAAACTATAGTAATAATTTAACTGCGCGTTACATATGCCACATTAATATTATTATTTTTTTTTATCATCGTGTGTATCATTAAAAAAAATATAATATAATAATTCACAGGTAAAAAGTGAAATTCGTAATACAATTAGATTTCCTGTTCCTCGTCGTTCATTAGTTATAATTAGTTTTAGTTTTTCTTAATCTGAGCTCGAATGAATACATTTATATATATTTGCAAAAATCGCTATTATAATATCCAAATTGCATGTATCGTGTATATATTTATATATAAATGTGGCCAACCAAAGTCCAAACACAAAACATAACCACGAAGAATCTATTTACAAGATGACCAATTAACTATATAGCACATGTTTAACATAGTCTGCTGGGTCCAACGCAGCTACAAAAATTAAAATAATCGAATTTTAGTAGATTCCAGAAGGAACGAAATAATATTAATAATATATATTTATATAATTTATCAGTTAAAATAAATTACTTCAAAAAAAAAACAAATACTCGTACTTCTCTACATATCCTTATTTCTCACGTACAGTTTTTTTTAATATATATATTTATATTTAAGTTTAATTCATATAATAATTTCTTTTAGCTCTTGTAATTCTTTTTGTTTTTATTTTTCTTTTAATCTACTTACACAGTGGCTGAAACTGCTGGCTGGTGGGGATAATAGGGTGCACTTTTGGAGGGATATCACTTCTTCACTGTGGGACTGCTGTTGTGCGGTATCATCTTCTTACTGTTACTTAATTCTAATTCAGCCAGTCTCTTCCACAGTTCATCTCTTTCCTTTTCGCGCTTTTTCTCCCTAAAAAAAAATAATTTGAATTTGATTTAATGAACTGTATTTCGAATGTTAATTAAAAATTAACTCATTGTGTCGTAATATATAATGAATGCAAAAAATACCTTTGTCTCTCGGCCTTATACGTTGCCGTCAACTCGTCAAACAGTTTCGAGTTCATTTCCATAAACGTCTTCAGAACATTGTAAACTAGTGCAACAATCGTGGGATTCCAGTGCTCCTTGGAAATACGGTATAAGGCGGGAAACATGATCGGCATTATGACATGATTATTTTCCTCCATAAGTGACATTATGTACTCATTATTCCAGAAATAGAGTGCCCTCTCGGCGACCTGCAGATATATGGAACATAGATGTAGAGTGTGTCTAAATCGTTGACAAAGATGGGAGTGATGGATTGGATATAAACTCACTTGAAAGTGCGGACTCGAAACGCATCTGGCGATCTGTTTGAAGAGGGGATCTTGAATACGTGTAAACTGTGACGGCTCGATCACGTCGAGTACCTCTTCGATCTCGCCCAGGAACATAACTTCCTTCTGACTGCATGTCTTCGGCCAATACTTGAGCAAACCTCGAACGACGGGTTCTGTTAATGTAGGATCTTTCTCCAAAAATTGCACAACACAGTAGGCCAGCTGAAAGACGACAAAAATGTATACAGGATAAACAATACATGAAAGCTATTCTCTAGTCAATCAAGGGCTATATTCAATACCTGTGCATGGTAAAGCGAGAGGCACTTGACCTTGTGCAAGGGTATCAGAACCTTGACAAGGAATTGTTTATGCTCTGCTTTCAGTGGCAACGCGAATCCATTAATTATAGAACCTAGAATTTCCAGTAATTCACCAACACCATTGAAGTGTTCAGTCTCATAGACAAACCTGAAACCGCATAAATTAGTATGGTCAGCCGCTACATTACGATTGATTATTGGAATGGGGTTTGGTCGTGTGGTTTACCTAAGGAATATATTATTGATTTGTTTTCGGATAAAGGCGCGTAAGCCAAGGAATTTGCCATAAATCCGATGCAAAACTGTCTTGAGAAAATCGCGTTCACGCGGATCCTCAGAGTCGAAGAGTTCGAGCAGCTGGAGCACGAATTTTTGGTCAATAACACGCTTGCCTATGGTGGGCTGAAAGTCGGAGCTCTCCAAAAAACGGAGGAAGAACTCGTATACGAGCTGCAGGTGAGGCCAGCTTGCCTCCAGCGTCGGGTCGTCCTCCTCCGGATCGAAGTCGGGATTCTCGCTGGGCGGCAACGTCCGAAATAAATTTGCCGATATCTGCAAACATTTTCCATACATATTCGTTAAACCTACAATTCCAGACTTTGTGAATCGAACGGCTTACCATTTTTATAATTTCCGGGTAGACGGCCTCGGTGAGGACGCCTCGACCACCCGTTATGTAATCGACGAGCTCATTCAGCGTGCAACGTTTGACTTCTTTCCCTTTCAAGTCGGCGATGGGATCCATAAAGTCGAACGGCACACAGCATTGCCGAAGCTTCCTGATGAATAAATCTTCCTGTTCCGATGTAGATACATCTGAAAACAAAAAAAATCAATTCGTTATATAGACGAAAATAGCTGTCAGATATATAATAAGTGATATTTGAATAACTTTGGTTGTTGGATGGTTAGGAAATATAATGCTATTTACTTTATCAAATAAAATGTGTGCGTTTATTTATTAGGACCAATGGGTCAGTTTGCATCTATTGCAATGTAAACAAAAGCGGTAGCAATCCGTGCTGTGAAAGAAATTCTACAGAATGTGTTTGAAGGTCTATACTATGATGAAAACACCTACGAGTAGTCAGAGAGTGAATCCATCAGAAAGCACAAACAAATTATTGTTGCGTCTATTTTTAGCGATATTTATTTATTTTTCTGCCCAGTGACCTTGTGAGAGGAGCGAGTTTCTTTTTCGCGTTTTTCTTTTTCTGTAGCTGCGAAGAGCGTGGATGGTGAAAAAGGAGGAGAGCCATGATGGAATTGGTTAGATGGAGAATTGCGATTGGGCAAAAGAAAGGAGCCGAATGACGCGAATACTCGTATTTCCATATTAGCGATTTTCATTCATTCATGTGTTAACGGATTTACCACCCACGCTATCCTCCATCGCACCGGGAAACGTGTATTCGAGATTCGTGGATTCCTGCTAGGAGAGGCTCATCAACCACACGTGCCGCCACTGCCGCGCTCTGTTGCATAATCGTCGGGCGAGCGTTGCGTATCCGACGGCCAAAGGACCTTCCTTGCTTGCTCCCAGGATTATATAGACGTTAGTCTCTACCTCAAACTCCCTCTTCTTATCACATAGAACACGCAACGCACATTGATTAGGTTTATACATACATATATGGGCACTCTTATATACATTGTGCCACGTCACGAATTGACTTGGGAACTGAATACTTCAATATTCTAGATCGAATGCTGCGAAGAGTGTGTTCAACACTTTTTAGCCAGAGTTCAAGGCCATCTACCACTTGGTCGCGTGCACTTTGGGCCACACCGAGGAACATATATTTGTATCATCGAGTAGTTTCTAATATAATAGCAAAAAAAGATTTCGATAATATGAAAATGCAATGTAATATAATATATTACGATTAGTTACATTTGCAGATAAACATGATGTTATTTTTAACTTTTCCAAATGGCATTCCATCATAATAAGCCTTGTCCCGAGCGGCGCGACGATATTGTTACAAGATTCCGCATCTTTTGTAGTTCGTATACATTGGATGCTTGACATCGATTTCATTCACCAGATTAATGCTTTCGAGTCGAGGTAGAACAAAAGCCGAAACAACTTAGGAAAGTGCATGGAAACATAAAGTATATAGAGACTCGTTCGTTTTATCTATTTTGTATGTGCTACATTATGTAGCACAAATCGACTATATCAATGGTGCATGTGTATATGGAATCCAGACATAAAAACGGACCGCGTGCAGACCAAATCCATTAAAGACAATCGACCTTATACATGATACTAATTACTTACATCCCTCGACTTACATGCTACTTTTCTCTGCGGGGTTTCAGTTTGCAGCGATTAAGAAAATATGTCTTTCTTTCTATTTGAACATGAACTCGTTGTATACCTTGCTGTACGTAAGTTTAAAGAAAATCAATTTATCGCCTCCAATTTATCACCTCCAATGAAATGTGCAATTTCAGATATTTCTTACGATTATTAAGTTTGGAACATCAACTAAAAGACAAATAATATTTAATCGAGCGAGTTTTACGTCACCACATAACATTTATTATGTATCAATCGATAATATGTCAAAACATGGAACTAAAGCATAACTTAAAAAACGTTGATGATATACTAAAACATCTTTAACTTAAAAGAAATATATATGGGAATCTAATTGAGAAATACTGTTTCAGCAAAGTCCATGTTTTCCTAACAGTAGATTAAGCAATTAATATGCTTATATAAAAACGACCCAACGATAAAACTAACCTTTTACGGAGATATTATTGTTATTGCACCGTCACGCTGTTTATCTATTAATAGATATTATATGCACATACAGTATAGTACTTGCTTTATCGCAATATCAAATTGTACGACAACATACGACATATTTAGAGTTATACAACAAAAATTAAACCCCTACAAGAAATAAGCAGTTTTTAGATGTAACCTGTCAAATGAATCAATATCAAATCTAATCCCACAAATTTTTAATACCCTTAAGTTTCCACATATAAATAAAACAGTATTTGTAATTCATGGCCATTACAGAAAAAATAGCTAAATCGCAAGGCTTCAGTTGACGAAGTTCACTAAAAAAACAAACGCTTCATTGTTCATACTGCTTTCAATTCATTCAACGCTATAATTACAAAAGTATATTAAAGAATTGCCTAAACAATATTAACATTCCCTATGTCAACAGTACAATTTCTTGTGAAATAATTACTTCTTCTTGTGTAGATTACAATCTGCCAAAAGTAAATGTTTCCGTTTCCGATATTGTAATTGTACTATTTAGACAATATTCCAAAATCGGTTTAAGTAGTATACGAATTTATCAATGGGTAACATTTACACTTTCCTTATCTATATTTGTTATATGTAGCTTTCTACGTCTACCAGTTTGTCTACCAACAAGAACATCTGAATTTCCCAATAACCAATTATGCATTATCATTAGAAAATAGCAATTCCGTTGCCACATATAAACTTTTTGGCATTGCGTCGGTATTAGCTTGAGCCTGTGTGTCAGAATTAATTGGCCAGACGAAAAACGTAACGCATTCCTGTCTCGCATGTGTTCTTCTTTTTTTTCAACACACCAAGAGAAAAACGAAAGAAATAAGAAATACAAGCCGCGATTTATATATTTGGCCTGATTCACTCAAATAAAAACAACACAGGAATGTTGGAAGAAATGTCTTCAAGAGCAGTAAATTTAAATCTTTACTATAATGATATCGTTTCTTGTAGAACCGTTTCAAAATTATTTCATTTGCTTTAACAAATTAATCTAATATCTCAGGAGAATAAAATCAATGCAACATCTCATATTGTACAATTGACAGACGCAGTTACAATATCTACTATTATTGGGGAGATTGTAATTACAAATGTAATAATAGAATCTGACCTGTCTATTCATTATCGCAATAATGGCACTGCCTATTCGAGCGTAATAAACCGGATTTCATAATTACTATTGTCTAAAAATACAATACATGCATAATGGTTTGATCTTAGCCACAATGTTTGTATAAAAAATCATCTCTGCATACCACCGATATTTGTACGAATACTTACTATACATACTTTTAACTAAACACTGTGTAATGGTAAGAAATAAACGTTAATTTCGTGCGTAAATATAGCGCTTGTATAATTGGGACTATCGATAATAAATCACTTTTTTATTCATTAAATATATCAGCGAAGAAACAGATGAATACCAAGAAATACGAAGATAAAAATAGTTAGTAATCACTAAAACAATGTGAAATAAAATAATCTAGATATTGTTGTAAAAACATAAAAATACAATAGGTGTAAAACGAATAAACATGAGTAATAGTTGATTTGGCATAATCATAAACTATTGAACATATCAATAACTTATATTCATATATAAGGCACATATAATGGATATAAATTTTGTTATATAATTATTTGCAAATTGTTTATTCAAAATGTATCAATATTTTGTGATTGCTAATATCCTTAAAAAGTACATATTATTTCCACCATTTTTTATTAGCTTCAGATAGTTTACAGAAATAACTCTATATACATTTAATCTAAACTAATTGTTAATATCAATGCCATCTAAAAATAGCCTCTTTCGTATACGAGTGTATAACTATAGTATATGTTTAGAACAAAAGACTAAGTAAGGACATTAAATTAACATTAGCGTGTGTATTTAAATGAGTCTTGTATTTAGTATAGAAGTGTTCTGGTCAAGCTACAATGTGTCACAACAAAGGCTCAATAACATCTTCTAATTAGTATGCTGCAGACAACACGTCTCTGTGTTTGCCACATTTGTCTTTGGTATGTTGGGCAACAATTAACGGTTCGATGGTAAAACAAGGAAGAGGAAATTCTAACCAGATTGCAATTAATGAAATGCGTTTCGCTGATAAACACACTGAACACAGTCACGTTGCAATTGGAATGCAACGAAATCGGAAAAATGTGCCAATTTATGAAATGAAAAGCACTACATATCAAACTAATTAAACAATAGACTAGATATCAACACAATTGTGAAAATCCAATGAAGTTATTTTGAAAATATGTCCATATACAAGGACATGCAAAACTAAAACATTGTTAGTAATCTCTTAGTGTTTTGGTAATAACACTTTTCCATCATCTCGTATAAAATAATAGTTCTTAAGTGAGACAGCTGGCAAATTCACTAACAATAAACTCACTATATTCTCGGCATTTGCATGTACAGTTTCAATTCTGGAAACTTAATAGGAATTTTCAAAACATTAATTAAATAGATCATATTTATCTTAAATACATTAACATTTTAACACAAATATAATACATTTTAAGTATTGTTTACCAAATCTAGTGATTTTTATATTATTTTTAAATTTTTGCAATTATAATATACTTCTAGTTTGTTGTAAAAGGGATTAAAATAAGTGGGACAAACAATTCAACAAAGTTCAAAAAATCCATTTTCATCCATCAAGGGTGTTCCACTCGTGGCGTTCGCGCATCAATCAATTAGCAATATCCTCTCCTAAGGGTTCTCCACACTCAACGGAAATCCCATATTCGTCATATTATTTTATAAATTTAATTTAGACATGATGTCAGATAAATATATTTATTTATTTTACAATTGAAGTCAAAATAATAAAAATTAAAAAAAAAATACAATTAAAATTTTTGCCATAATAGTTAATGTGTGATTATAACAATGTATTTCACAGAAATAACAAATTTAACTATCTCGAACAAATTGAAAGATGAGTCAGCAAATGGCGAATTGTAGTAAATTGAGTGCTGGGTAGTATTTACCAGAATTATCGTTTTCTTCTACTAAAACAAATGTAATTCACACAATACATTGTGGTTGTTAGTAAAATAAGAAGACAGGTTACAAATAAAAAATATTTGTTTTAAATTAATTGTAATTTTAAATGAATATACAACAGTCTTATTTAACGCTTGGTATTTCCGTTCTTTTTTTTGAGGCTGAATTTTTTCAAGAATTTAATCTAATTAGCATATAAGTTTTGATTAAAACTGTTACTCAGTATTCAGAGATTAATAATATTAGCTTTAACAATATATTTAAAGTAATATAAAAAATTGCATGAATATTATCGCAGAAATTGAAAGATAATTTTATCTATACATCTCTAATTTGTCCGATTATCAATATTTGAAACAGCCGTAGCATGCCTTTATAAGGAAACGCCTACATCCACGAGTATATAGAAGTGTGAAACCGCGAAGCTAAAACAACATTTGTGGGAAGACAAACCGCGACTAGATCAAAAGGTAGCAAGATCTAATTTGCAAACTTATACCCGATTATTTCGACGTTATCACGTAAAGTGCACGTGATGCTTCTAAACAAGCATAACTCAATTTCGAGACAATGGAATATCGACGACGATAATTCATAGATACGCAAAGTATTTTAAACGTAGATTATCCGTGAATACAAATAGGCACCTGTGCGCATATTTGAAAAAGCGGCCATTTGAAAGTATCAGGTCAAATGCACTTATGAGATAACCCAAAAGATTACGTATAGATTTCGAGTAAATATCAGAAATATGGAGAGAAATACAAATAGGTGCAAGCATTCATTGCAGATCTGATTAATGTAAATAAATTATGAGAACCCTTCCAAAAATAGTCAAGTTATTAATAAATGTTATTGCCCGAAACTGTATTTACTTATAGCATTAATAATGTAAATATTTCGCATATTAATCATGGGACGTGCATATTTTCTTTTAGCGCTATTATAGATTTAGCGAGAAAGCAACCATTTTCAAACACGTCTGATTAATAATAGCCATCCATATCTCTCTTCCCTCCCTGATATTGCTTAACGTCCATTCTATTCTTATAAAAAGAACCCACTATGTATCCTCGTTCGAGCAAGCATAATTCAAATACTTCCAACATTACCTCATTCTGTTAGATTAAAATTACATGACCCGAACACGCGAGACGAGATATTAATTGCAGTTAATTTATTGGCCAAGCCGCAGAAATATTTGGTGTATCGTAGCGAAAATACATCCTAATTTATACATACAAATATATTCATAATACAGATCCTCCAATACAAGAGGATAGACGTCCTCGGGGAAACCGTACGATATTTACGAACATCAGAAATCCGCTTACATAATGGAAAATGTATTATTTCCTTTTGTGGATTAGAACCACACACTTTGCCACTGATATAGGTTTATATATATATATATATGCTCTTCTTCTGCAGTGCAAATAAACACCATGTAAATATTGTCGCTAAATGTGAATTGCGCGCCTGCTTTGCATTCAATTTTTAAACTAAAAATAAATAATGATTGCTTATCAGTGGGTCTGAGGTATCAAATTTATATAATTGTAGTCGCCTATGCAAAAAACTGAATTGCAATAAGTGAATGAATAAATATTTACTAGAAAATACATCCTGTGCATGTGTAAGCAAAAAAAAACATATCTTTAATCGTGTCATATTGCAGACTTCGAACGTGTAATTAAAGACTTTAAATAACGTTTCCAAGATTTTTCTTTCAACTAATATGTTTTGTAATCAATGTACCTAGTAAATATTGATAAAACATACATTGCAAAGTGATAACGAGAATTTGCTCTAATCAAAGGTTAAGTCAGTCTGTATTAATATTCTTTAAGCATAGTATTTACTTATACATATAAATATATAAACGAAATGTGTTTTTTAATGGAAATTTCGTTACGTCGTTTCCAAAAACAAGTTCGAAATTTTCTGAAATTTGACCAGAACTTTCGGCACGAATAAACTGAATGAAGTGTACTACGGTATTTTTGGATCCGGGACTAAAATAAAAGTTTATAAACTCTGACTCAGTGCAGAGGCAAAATGAGCCTCGAAAATACATATCACATGAGATATATATATGCGAGTATGTATATAATAGACGAGAGGAAGAAGAAGAAAGAAAAAATGGACACAATAAAGCGCGCAATTTAAATTCTGCGAACGGCGTTACGTAACAAACAATAATCTCGGCTGCTGGAATAGATAACGTTTCGGATTTGACTTTCAAATGTGTCCCTCTTCGATATGATGGCTCCGGTAGGAAATCTCGGAGAAAAACACATAAATATTAATACTGCTTAACTGTTTTAAAATTGTCCTCAGATGCAGCGTACTGAGAGGACGAATTAAGCGTTATGGAATGAATCTTTTATTGACATATATACATTGTTGTTCTAGTTGAAATGCTACTATTTGCATTAACATTTTGTTTCAAAATAACTCAAGAATCTATGGACGTTTTACATAATATATTTGCGACTATAGATTTGTCTCTAAATTTGTACATAGCTTGCTTGGGTATTTCTGGGTCCTTGAACACCACGCCCACTTCGGCAATAAAACCTCGTTTTACCTGAATAATACATGACGACTTTGTAAGGTTTACAAACTGAAAACGCAAATGTCAATGTTTATATTCAGACATATGACAAATAAACAAACAGATAACGTTCTTCATATATTAGTATTTACAGTGGAGATGTACGGCTATCTTTTCGCTAACACATTTTGAAATTGTAATTACGCCTAGATGTTATCTCATTTCTTCGGTATTTTCATCTTTGAATTAATCTTGAACAGAAATTATTCAGACATCAGTGTTGTCTAGCGGCAAGATGAAAACGGAATATGCGTTGCAATTTCCATAATTCCTTCAAATTATCTCGCAACCCAAAGTTTACACACCATCGCCCTATATACAAATGAGCAAACGTTTATTGCTCCACCATGGATTACTAGAAATGTTGTAATATTACGTGACAAAACAACATAACATAATGCAAATGGGGATGATGCTATGCAATAAACACGATAGAACAAAAAATTCATAAATTAAAAATAACTTTAAAAAATCAGAAACATTTACTTAACATGACAAACAAGAACCAAACAAAACACGACAAAAACAAAACAGAAAATCGGAAATAAAAGTTCAAACAAAATAGAAATAAACAAATAACATAAATTGTAAATTTATGTATATAGATGTGTTAGTTACATAACTTTAATATTTTCTTCAGATGTTCTGTTTTGTCACTGATCTTTCTTTTATTCTCGTATCTGTTTTATCGCTGTTCTTGTTTGTCCAGTTACCCTCACTGAAATAAGTATATAAACATACATTTACATTTTTAATTTGAAACTTTTTAGAAACTTTCCAATATTTGATTTGTATGTAAAAACTAAACACTTTCTGTTACTAATTATAGCGATTTTGAAACTTAGTGTGTTGAATGAAATATAAATATTAGCTATATTGTGACTCAAATAGTTATATATTGGTAGGGTGGGGTTATTTGGAATTGCTAAAGTAAACCATGTAAATTCTTTATTATAGTATCTTGAAAACACCCTTGAAATACATAATACGCTATGGACGTTATGAAATACACTTTCCTTTGCGTAAAGCGACAACAGAAGCAACTTCTATACTTCCCACATCTACAATTATCAGTCCACTTTATCAATAAATCAGTTACTTAAATCATGCGACCATGGCAATGGGTCACCTCAACGCACACAATACAAAAGCTCAGTCTAATATTTAATAGAGTGAATATTTGACCAAGAACTATTCATATACAAACTTATATGTGTAAGAGGACTTTTGCCATACAATAAGCCTATATAATAGAAGTGAATACCTGAAAATGGTTAGTTAATGACACAAATAAATCATTTACAAAGGTACCTTATTATATACCTGCTCTACTTTGCAGGTATACAACTAGATTAACCAATATAAAGAATACATAAATGTTAGGGCAAACACATAATGTATGGTAGTTAAAAGCCTATTATAATTTATTCATGCCAAATAATGATTCCATGAGTGGACAGAAATGACACAATGATCAATAACATTTTTCCGAATTAACAATTTTAAGATGGAAATGTTTGAGTCGGCCCATGACATCTGGTTATATATTATCTATTTAGTAAATGAACGGTGTTCATAGATGAAACCTATGACGCCTGCTGTAAACGCAAATCTAGATAATGAATGGTGGAGTGGATTGTTTAGCTGATAGCATTATTTCTGCCTTTGAGTCATCAAATTTATAGGAAATAATTTTAATTTTTCTATTAAAAAGTTAAAGTTGGTACAATAATTGATTTAATTATAGTACTAAATAATAAATAAATCTGTATATTTGCTAGTACTAATACTTGTCTAGTAACTAAACTGTAAATTCTATATTATTTAAGAGTTTATATGTTTATTGTACATATTTTATGGACATGCAAATTGTAAACATTGTAATTGAATCTTCATTGATTGTGTTGTGACTTATTGCCATGATGAAAATATGAGCTTGTGAGATAAGATATCAGCATATGAAAACATTATGTGATGGCTCAGAATTATGTCATAGAAATAGCGTGAAGACATTTGCAGAACATGTGGAAGCAGAACTGTCATGTTGGACAGATTTGTCATAGCTAGACAACATTGACATATGAAATAGGATAGGGATGATGGTTAAGGGCCTGTAGAAGGAGTCATGACTTTTGGAAGATTTGTGAGTATATCATGGGGAAGCGAAAAATCGTCGTTTATGCTAGGAATGTAGGAGTGTACCTTTGAGTGGAGGCAGCGCTTGAAGCTCGACGTCCTGGGAGTTCCTGTACCTGGAGCTGCCCTGAGACTTCTTGGTCTTCTTCTTGAGTGATCGCTTGGCAAATGGATCAATCCTATCGACGAACGTCGTAGTAGACATGGCGTCCGTCGGTCTGTCCGCGCGCAACCGGTAGATATAAACAAAAAATCACTCAGCACAGAAATGCACACGGAACTGAAACACAATATAAATCCGATATTCGTCGCCTCTCGAGGTTCACACTAAACGGTTAAGCATGTCAACATGCGACAGTCGTCTCGGATGCATACATACACAAACAATTTTTGAGTCTTTTGTTGTCGCCCTGTGGCCTCAATTGATTTCGCCGTTGCCGTCCCTTTTTGTTTTTTCGTCGTGTATTTTGTTTTTGCTAGCTTCTGCCAGAAATAGTTCAGCCGGTAGATAGGGTGGATATGCACTTATGCAGATGATACGTCTCGATGGATCCCGTCTGAGGGGGTATATGTGTATGAATTGCGATGAGGAGTGCACGCCCAAATACGAGTCCAAATAGTCTGACGGGGTCACTTTTAGAGGCACGACTCGTCCCAAACCTTCTCGCGGGTCGATCGCTATGGCCAAATTACGGATGCCTCAAGGATCCCTGGCTTCGTCTGCTCCGAACTAACAGACACTAAACGGGTAAACGAACCAAATGTCCAGTATTTTCGCCCGCCATCAGCTGGTTAAAACCGCATAAATACATCATCTTTTGCCTACACCATGCCAATGTGAACCTCACACCCACTTTCCAAATGCAGTAAATGGTCCGTTCGACGCGATCCGCACTTTTGGGCTGGTTTCTTCAACGGGCTTTTGCCTTTTTTCACGTTAATTTACACACGCTATCGGAGCCGATGCCGTAAGTACCTAGGGCTGAAAATAGATGGGGGGTACTACGCTGATCAATACAATGTCGCCGTCGCCCACCAGATTTTGTACTCTCCACACTTCTATGAGCTACACTCACCTCCAAAATTCACTAAATTATTTCTCCCTTCGCCTTATCCACGCTGAATCCCATCAATCTCTAGCCAAAAATCAATTATTGTTCGCCACTTGTATCACGTAGTCCAATTAGATTTCAATATTCCAACGTCTCCACCAATCAGAGAAGCCACAGCACGAAATGACAAAACCGACTCGCCATTGAGTATATGCACAAACGCCATTCGACTATATGACGCGCGCTGTTGCCAACTCCACAAATACTCTTATACGTATTCAAAGAGCAAATCACTCTTACATACACCAATTATTTAAAATATACAGTTTACAAATGCTTTATAAATAGAATAAAATCACAACCAAACACCTACAACCCAGCATTTATTGTCTCGCAAATATAACAACCTTAAATACAAAAAATAAACATCTCCAATAAAAAAGAAATATAGTAAACAAATTCAATTGTTTATTATTTTAGCAATAAAACAATTCACTAAAACAATCCAATATATAAAAAAATTACTTTTACAACAAATACCAAATGTTAATACAAGTTCATTACATAACTTGTTCACTTTTAAATCATCTTTAAACAAAAAGGTCGATTGCCTCTTTGAAATAATTTTTAAATGCAAAACCACAATGGAGATCAATATAAGTTACAAGACGTAACGTTAATAATTAAATAAAGCGGCAACAGCGCTCGCGTTGGTGTCATTCTTTTGATTTTGACGGATGCCTAACCTATAAAAATCAAGTGCCAAAAAACAATAACAATAATAGTATGACCTGTCCCGGATGGTACTGCGGGCGGGAATTACTGCTTGATGGCACTCTTACTGCATGTGGGGCTTGTCCCCGAGGCTTCCGCAGGAATGACACGAATTACATTTGTGAGCCATGCCAGGATACTCCAATATTCTACGACTGGCTGTACTTAGGCTTTATGGTCTTACTAGTTCTTGTATTACACTGGTTCTTCATTGATATGGTTGCCATGAACAGAAGGTATGCAATGTTTGTACTTTCATTAAGAATGGTTATTCATTTTTCTTTTCTTGCAGTTTCAACAAGAACATTTTAATATTACACTTCACAGCATTTTTAGAAGTGCTTTTATCTTGTATATTCACTATTTTGTGTGTAGAGCCATTTGGCTTGTTTCAAATAAGAAGCTGCAATGTGAGATCCTTATCAGACTGGTACACATTGCTTTATAATCCATCTCCCAATTATGAGAAAAGAGTCCATTGCACACAGGAGGCAGTCTATCCACTGTAAGTTTATTGAATGCAAAAAATAAATGATATTAATTAGTGAAATAAACATTTCAGATACTCAGTTGTGTTTGTGTTCTATGCATTTGCTTTAGGTATAATGTTATTGGTTCGACCATGGATTTGTAAGAAATTTTTACCAAGGAATAGAATGTCTATTTATGCTGCTATGTATTTTATTCCAATTCTTACATTAATTCATGCTTTGATCGGGGGCCTTCTATGTAAGTTGAATGTTAGTTATTCACATTAATTAAAATTAATTTTATACTTTTATTTTTTAGATTATTCGTTTCCGTATCTCATTGTGATTTTATCGGTAATTTCTAGTGCAGCGCATTTCGCTGGGAAAATGAATCAGTCTATTTCATATCTGATTATATTTACCTTCATTGAACCAAGGAATATTGTTATTTTGTTGGGTCATTGGGCTTTACACGCTTATGGTATCGTGTCCATTACACAATTGACCAACCCCACGTTTCATGCCTTGCTAATATTTTTGGTACCTCTTCCAGCAGCCTTCTATATTTTAACATCTCGTTTCACTGATCCAAGTAAATTTCATGTTATGTAGCATCCGGATATACAACGTCCCGTTTATCTTTAATTTTGAAAGTTCAAGGCAACATTTTATGCGTATACATATTTATTACTTAAGGTTATTTAAATTAAATTGAGTTTAGTGGTAATCAGGACCCTAACAGTTTGGTCAAACGACGAACAAACTGCTAAACCCAATTTATCTTTACACCAATCGAAACTTGTTATTGGCTGCCCCGAGAGCGTAGAATTCTGTATCAATTGCAATTCTCCGATCACTCCAACTGGAATACCGTCGCCGTCTTTATCGACTCTTTTGTCTGGATATATACTGGAAATGGACAATTAATAATTATTTTATTGTATATAGTTATAAACTTGTGTTAGCCTATATCTTAGATTTTATTAAATTATATTTTGTAGTAGTTGACTTACTATTTCCATAGGCACATGGAGCCTGCACCTCCGGTTGTCATGAAAATCTCCCGGTTCTGCGGAAGATGCTTTACCTGCCATACCGTTGAGTCGTGTGCCTTTTCCGATAGTTGAGCGAATCCCCTTGTTGGATGCTGAGTCCTAACGTCGAAGCAAACAATTTTTGATTCAAGAGTTGTGGCAACCAACTTATTCATTTGTATATCCTTCCTATCAAATTGCAGAGAAACGACCTAAAACAACCAATAATTAATTATATCTTTTTCATATAACAAAATAGATATTATTACTCCATTCTTAACGCATTTAGACCACAGTACTTTCATTGATCGGAGGTCATACATTTTGATGTCTCCATTATCGTAGCCGGCAGCAACAACTCGCTCTTCGGAATTGTAAGAGTTGCCAAAAACAACGGACCAACAATCTCTTGCCGACGAATCGGTGGCAGCTCTAAAAGTTGCAACTGGGTCATCTTTTTGCCTGACATCCCACACCATAACAGTTCCTGTACACATAAATTACAAATGCAATTTGGAATTCCACTTTAAAGTTCGCCAAGCATACCATCCTTTGATCCAGTGACAATTTCTGGGGCGCCGCATCCTATACTTGTGCCAGCCACACCGTCGATGGCATTTATTATACCTTTGTGCTTGGTGCTTTTATACACTGGAATTAAATTATCCTCCAAATCCCTGAAATAATATATAGTTCGCTTTAGTGAACTTTTAAAGAAAATAAGCCATAAAGAAGATTAAGTTATTTATTATATCTTATGAAACATATGCAATCTAATTATTTCATAACATAGAAGCTAAATTGGGTGATAAAACATATACATATTCAATTTCCCCCAATTCTACAAACTGCTTTTTATTTACTGCAATGGCATCATTAATTGATTTCAACTTGATTTTATCAACATTGAACTTAATGTTGCCAAATACTGCCTCACAGGCACCAGACTTCTTCAACAGAAGCTTCCCCAACATTCCTTCCTTGTGGTCCTGTAATTTGCCAGCAGGTAACACCTCTGGGAAATGTATTAAGATGATTTTCTTTCGTTGCTTGGCCGCAGCCAGATTTGGGTGATACTTTCGCTTTTTAGATACACCACCCATCTTACCAGACTTGCAAACGCCCGCAAAAGTCTCCGGTGGCCAGATGCCTATTCCTCAGGCTAGATGCGTCGAAGCTTCCGCACTTGAAGTGCTCCTTTTTGCCGAATTCTCCAACTTTTTCGACTCCTTCACTGTGCAGTTCGTAGATCTCGATCACACCAGATCCATTAGATTTTCCACCGAGAGTTACAAATTTCGCTGAAGATGGGATCCACTTAACGTCGTGAATGGTATAATCCAGGACTTTTTCTACGTGACAGATTATTTGGGGCTTAGCTAAAAGATCCATTTTAGTTTTTATTTCAATTACAAACGCCTTCCTAGATATTAACTACCTATGGAATAAATAAGTTCTAGTTACCTAGCAACGTTTTTCTAATATGTCGTAATGCAGAATTATTTCTTTTAATAATTTTAACAATGTATTTTTGCAACAATCTATATTTAGATTTTCAATTAAATTACATTAAAAATAAGATTATTAAAAAAAAATGTAAACACGCAATGTAAATATTTTGAATTTACTCCCACTACTTTCATAACCTTCAATTATAAACACGACATTATCACGAAAACTGTTTAATCTTCAAAGTGAGTTTACTTATATAACAGGACTAACAGAGGGTAATACCATGTTTCAGTAAAGACATGAGTATTTCTGTAAAGATCTTGTTTTTTGCCAAAGCTAAAGAACTTTCAGGTTTAAAGGAATCTCAAATAACATTGCCAGAAACAGTAAGTTACAAACAATTGTTACAAGACGTAGTAAACAAATATAATTTGAAACCAATTGAGAAAAACATCATCATTGCATTGAATCAGGAATTCTCTGAGGCAGATAAAATTTTTAAACTAGAAGAAAGTGATATTATTGCTGTTATTCCTCCGTTGAGTGGTGGATAAAATGGATTACTTAAAATTCAGCTCTGATAAATTATCAGTTGAAACAATCACTGATCTTGTTACTTCTGAGAAGTGTGGAGCAGCTTCTGTTTTTGTTGGTACAACCAGAGATAATTTTGAAGGCAAGGAAGTAATTAAGTTGGAGTATGAATCATATGAAACCATGGGTCTAAAAGCAATGGAGAAAATTTGCAAAGAAATTAGAACGAAATTTACAGAAGTTGAGAATATTGCAATATATCACAGGTAATTATAAATTATAATATAGTTTTTAGTTCTTGTAATAATTTGTATATCTTCAGATTGGGAGTAGTTCCAGTTAAAGAAGCAAGTATAATCATAGCAATATCATCACCTCATAGAGCAGATGCAATTAAAGCAACAGAATTCTGTATCGATAGTGTAAAGAGTTCAGTGCCAATATGGAAGAAGGAAGTTTACAAAGATAATGGATCTGATTGGAAGGAAAACAAAGAATGTGCGTGGTCTTCTTGATTTCTCTATAATTGTTATTAATTTCTGTTAAATTTGATGAATATTAAATAGTTTGTAGTTTGATTATTCTCCTTTTAACATTTCAGTAAATACCCAGAAAGTTCCAATCAAATTCAAACTTGAAATAAAACAAGAAGTTGAATGCAATCCAATCCCTTCACATTTAATCCAAATCAAGGCAACCACAGAAGAGATTGAGGAGAGAATACAAAAGTTTATGGATAGAAAAAGGGACGAAATTAATATGACTAATATTAGAGACTTTTGTCATCGCGATTTGACCTCTCAAAAGATGGAAGACGAGAGTTGCGCTCGTATAGATTCCGTTTTAATCAAAAGAAAAGATTCTAAAGGTCATTTGCAAGGTAAATTTTTCTCAAGTAAACTGTAGGAATCGTTTCTAAGACAATCAGTTTTAGTGAACAAAGTTTATAATAACTTCAGCCGAGATCAAAGTAAGCAGGATTATTTGATGCAATTTATTCCAAAAAATGGAATCGAGGAGCGGTTATTAAGTGCAGAAACGCAGTTATCTATGACTAAGCCTGTTTCTAATGATATTTATAAAAGGATTAAAAACGTGGAGGATAGATTGATGTATCTGGAATCCATATCACCAGAATACATACAATTTTGGGTATATTATATAATTTCTACTTATATCTATAAATTACATTTTTTTTTTGTTTTAGGATAAAACTGCTTTGAGTAAAACTTCTAAGAAGAAAAGGGTTTTCTCAGTTAACGAAATTAATAATTTCATTAGTGATTTGGAATCAAGAAAAAAATGATTGTCTTTGGAAAATTATTGTTTTTTTTTATAGATTGATACTTATTTAATTATTTTTATATTATAATCTTTTCTATTTTAATAATACACAGTCTGTTTGATTATCTGGACATGTCCTCTTTTTTCAGGTGTTTAAATACACTTTATTCTTCAGTTTATAACTCCTAAATTATTATATACTATATTTTATATGTATTTATTTATTTATTAGGCCTAGACAGGTTTAATGAAAGAAATAGAGGATAATTTGGCGAAACTTTTGTTACTAGTCAAACATCTTTAAAAATTGTTTATCAATGTTAAATGCAAAATATTTGTTGTATTAAAAAATACAAATTTACAATTAAAAATTGAAACAGTGACACCTATGAGTATTAATTAATATTAATAAACGTCAAAATTGTCAGAACCTGAACCAAGTCTAAGCAAGATTGCATCGGTCATATGATAAGATAAACTAGTTTTCATTAAGCTTGATTAAAGTCCTCAAGTTAATTAATTAACCTCCTGCACTTTGTTTTGTGACGACGTCAAAATGGGCAACAGATCATCATTGCTTTTACGCGAAGAGGAAATTTCGCAGCTGCAACAAGACACTGGATGTAAGTAAACATGGAGATTGACCATGAAAACAAACATACAATTATTCATTATTTCCAGTTACTTCCAATCAAATTGAACGATTGTATTCACGTTTCACCTCCTTGGATAGAGGAGATTATGGTTCATTGAGTCGTGAGGATTTCTTGAGAATCCCTGAAATTGCCATCAACCCACTTGGAGAAAGAATTGTGAACAGTTTCTTCGAAGGTGACACTGGTGATAGAGTGAATTTCAGGCAATTCTTGAGTGTCCTAGCTCACTTTAGGCCTGTGAAGAAGAATAAGGAGAACAAGAATAACTCAAGGGAACAGAAATTGCAATGTATGTAATAACCAATGCAGTATTTAAGGTTTATTTATGTGATTGATGATTTCAGTTGCTTTCAAAATGTATGATCTGGACAATGATAATATGATCACAAGGGAAGAGCTCTTGGCTATTCTTCACATGATGGTTGGTGCAAACATCGGCGAGGAGCAGCTGAGCAGTATTGCGGAGCGTACAATTTTGGAGGCGGATGAGGACGGTGACCAGAAAATTTCGTTTGAGGAATTCTGCAAGGCTTTGCAGAGAACCGACGTGGAACAGAAGATGAGCATCAGATTCCTAAGTTAAATTGAACTAAGTTTTCTCTCTTTTTTTAAGTATTTCATTCAACGTATTTATTTGTAAGCAGATATTTATTGTATAGATTTGTATAGGGTGGTATATTTTTAAATGAATTGGTTGCATAGTCAATTTTAATGTTTTTTTTTTTGGATTCTATTAAACAATTTAAAACAAAACTTCTCCAAATTAAAATTTAATACCATTTTTTTGTAAATACAGTTTTTTCATAACCAGTTATCCTCAAGCACATATAATTTTCAAAGGGGCAAATAATTTCTCTAAATAAAAATGTCTATTATACAAAATTCCATGAAAAATAAAAACACTGATATATATATAAATAAAACATTTACGAGGGGGGGAAAATATAAATTTATTTTTAAAATATAACTCTACGCTTATGCCGTTGAGGATACTGCTAGCTTTTTCAAGTGATCCATGAATACTTGCAGAGACACGTCGTCTGTGAGGACCGGAGCACCACCATCCTATAAAAAAATAATTTATTTAAAACTTGAACGAATATTTTTTTTGCATTAGATCGTAAAAAGCAATGCGATAACAATGAAAATGTGACTTAAATATGTGACACTTAAACAATGATAACACTTATCATAGTTGATACATAAGTTTATTTTTATTTACTCCTCAATTATGTGGTTTACATAACACGAGTGAGTAGTAACTTATTTATCAACTGGAAACACAGAATGTATGTAGACTCTGATCCAACTAAATTTAAATAATTTCGTTGGTTTTAATACATAAGCTGTTGTGTATATATGATATGCATGTATGTTTTTATGTGTATGTATAAGCGTTCCGACACCCCCAGATAATCAAAATATTCAATTTACCACTGATGTCATTGTGCCGGGCATTCCCTAATCCGTACAAAAAGGTAATATGAAAAATAAAATAAACGAAAAAGTTTCTTGTAAGTAAACAATTAAAAAAAAAACAATGAAACAATTGGATAAGATCAATCACCAAAATATGTAAATGACTTGAAATAAGAACTTTGTTCTGTGTGTTATATAAATGTATCTTAATAATATAAATAGAAAATATAAGACTCACCCCTCCATAGGCATACATATTGTTGTGTGTTTGGCTTGGGTTGACTTTAGACAACAAGAATCTGGCCTGTGATCCACCTTGTTCAGTGTCAATGTATCTGGGCATAGGGAACCTAGTTTGCAAAATCTCCTGAGCGTCATCAACTGGCGCTTGTAAAAGTTGCCTGAAGTTCTCGTATTCGGGCATATCTTGGTATTTTAAGTTACGCCATTGAGCAATAGTCTACAAAAGAAAATTTAACAATAAAAAAAAGTAATAAGATTTTTTTTGTAGTTTCTTACCTCTCCATGGAAAATGAGTATTTGGAAAAATGTGTCCATGAGTAGAATTCTATCTGGTTGGATTGAGCTCGTATCAAGCAGAACGGGTTCTGGTGGCCCGTTGAAACTGTAGCTATACAAAATTGGCTGAATCATGATCAAGGATTGTGTTAAGTCCTCGCGCATCAGCATATGTCTGTAGTAGCTAGTTTCATCGGGTGAATTATTGAACACCTGCAGAAACTGTGACCTACGCAGATGGTACATGAATTGCGGATACAAACTGAAATTTTCGCTTAATCTAAAACTGTTTGGATCGTCTCTGTTGTATTCTCCGAACTTCTGGCACTGAAATTGATAATATTTTAATTAATTAAATGGATATTTCTATAAAACGTACCAATCGAATCAACATTCTGTCGACCCATCTCAAAACATCTGGACCATCGTCCGATTCCGCGCGGTATACAACCATACGCGACATTAAAACTGCTGCAGCTTCCTGATCGAAACCAGCGCTGATATGATGTAAATTTGCAGTAGCATCCGCCCAGTTCCTTGCAATAGTAGTAACTCTAATCTTACGCTGGCCATTGGCGTGCTGGTATTGCGTTATGAACTGGATGCAACCGCGTCCTCCCTGTGGTATAGGTGCGGCATGCTGATTGACCACTTCAAAGAACAAGGCTATTGTAGTACTAGGATTCAAAGTGCACATCTTCCACTGAACAGTGTTGCCCATGCCTATCTCGGTATCAGAAACTAAAGAACTCTTGTTGTTAAGAGAAACGCATGATCCGATACCGCCTTGAATTTTAAGTTCACGAGAACATTTCACTTCAAGTGTTGCATTGAAAGCCATCTTAAGATCTCCCTTTGGATCTTTGGCAAATACTCGTTGGAATGTCTGCTTGAACAACGAAGAATTGAACGAATCTCCCATTACCATATGTCCACTAAAATATATAAAATAAAATTATTGTTTGAAATACAACAGTAAAATTATTTAATCTTTACCCAGTTGAGTTACAACATTGTTTCATCTCCATCAAACCAGTTTGATCCAAAGCGCAAGAGTAAATATCAACGCAATGGCTGTTACTTGCGGCTCTCATAGCTAAGCCTTCGTAATGCTTGATGCCCTTCTTCATGTATTTCGCATTATCCTTATGGATATCGTGATGCGATCTGATAGGCTGTTTTAGATCATCATTGACCACTTGACCGGGACCTTGAGAGCATGGACCACCCAGGAACATCATAATTCTAGCGCCAGTGTTGGCATAAGTGCACTCCAGTAATCCAACAGCAATAGACATAGCAGCTCCTGTAGATCTTAACGACCTTTTACCTTGCGGTACTGGCCACGGATCCTTTTGAAGTTCTCCAATCAGATCGGTTAAGCTCATGTCGCACTTCGAAAGCGGTTGCAAGAATCTATTAGCAGCAGGAACCATCTGCTGCTGTTGCTGTCCAGGACGCATTTGCTGCTGCTGAGGTGCAGGAGCAGCTCCAACCTTTCCAATACCCAACATGTCTTGTATTTGTTTCGCTGTTAAATCCTTAGTACCGCGAAACACGTAAGACTTGCTGCATCCTTCAGTACCTAATTCATGCACTTGAACCATTTTACCAAAGGTTATCAAACCAATGAGAGCATTTGGAGGCATCAAGCTCAGAGACATCTGAAGAGAATCTTTAAGCGCGCCCAGCTCATCATCATCCATGCATGTATCAACAACAAGAAGGTAAATTGGAGGCATGCATTGTGCCCTTGTGATGGTGTATTCAATAGTTGAAAATCCAGGCATCAATTCAGCGGGTTGATGTTGCTCAGAAATTGCAGCATATTGAGGTGGGAACTACAATGGAGAATACACATTACACTTATATTTTTTTAAATTAATATATTAATTCTTACTGGATTTCGTTGGAAACAGAAATTGCACACCCACAATTTCGCTTTATAGTCAACCTGGCACATTGGATTCAAAATTGCCCTGCAATTGTTTCTAGTACATAGTACAGGATCATATTGAATGGGAGGCAAGTCCGGGCGTTCCTTGATGGGTTGGTACAAGCAACCCAGTGGCACCACTAGCCTGGTTGCCTCAATTCTACTTGAGGGCCAAACATTCCAAGTACACCTTACACCATCTCGATCCTCATTCTGTTGAATGTATTCTTCATATGTAGCCATCTTCCCATGTAAAAAAAAGTATATAAATTAAGTTAATCTTGAATACAATTTTCAATTCATGTTATAGTTTACTAGCTTTATGGGTCATTCAATATCAATAACTGATGAATTGATAACGATTAGTGTATAAAACATTAAATACAAGATATGTGTCAGGGTTTAATGAACAAATTAATGAGTGAAATTTAAGAAATTTTGCAAAATTTGATAATGCAACTTACGATGGCTATAAGTATGAATACTACTTATGATCTTAACCAATGCACAGATCGTTTAATTAAAGGAATTAACGAGAAAACCAAAACACAAATTGTAACTCCACGTCACCCTGACAGGGTGGCGATTACAATTGTCAATGAGTTACATCGTTGCCAGATCTTAAGTATTAGATACTTGTCATATCGAATATTTCAAATCTACTAAAAAAATTATAAGTATAGCTATTTCTAATGGTTCCTTGAATAATTGTATTGGAATTCTTATAAGGAAATATATTGAAATCACTATTTTCTATTTCAATAAATCATAGTCTATTTATAACGGAACTAAAATAAACAATTTGGCAATGTGTTAAGTATCTGTCATGATCTGTCAGTCAAGCGTAGACGCACACATGCACAAACAGAGGAAAAGGACATATGTTAGGTCGGTATGCAGGATTCTACTTTATTGGCTGCGGAGAAAATAAACAAAATGGCGTGCGTGTAGTTGGGAAAATTAAAAAATTTGAAGTATTGTCAAAATAAAAGTTAGGAAAACATTATTAATTAAGTGTCCAAATTTTCTATCCGGCCGTAGTAATTAGAATGTAACGTGCGAACTTCTGGCCCGAATCAAAATGTGAGTTATGTCGGCGTTTCTCGCTTCTTAATCTGCCATCATCCTATTAGAATCTCATGCTGTGCTGAATTAATAATTATTGTACCATATTTGTCGTTAAATTATAACCTCGTTCATTGCTTATTTGGCTATGGATATACAGTTCTTCACAGCCTTATTCAGTTCATAGATACATGTATTTCACATACGATTTTTTTTGTGTACATCCACTTTGTCTGCCAAGTCCTAACCATCAGCCTTTTTTTTTGGCTCCTGAGGTTTAGTCATAAAAATCTATACTTTCTCTTTTAAATTTGCTCTAATTTATTTAACCAACTGTCTGTGAAGAGTAAGTACATTTATTATTCACCTGCACTAAAGTTTCATTAATTTATAATTAATAATTAACATTATAATTTTAAGTTTTTATTTAAAATTTGCATTAATAATAAATATATGACATATGAAAACTCTACAAAAAATACGCGTTTAATTACATATATTATTCAGCTTTTTTAATTGTAATTGAGGAGGGTGTATGAATTATTGAAATTTATCCTCTTTTATTTATCCTTCCAAAAAAAATGTTAATTAAGTATGCATGATGATGCATATGCATGTCATCATCAAAAATAAATTTGTATGCAGACTCATATTTTTGGCATACATTAAGCAAAGAGATTCTGGTACAGCATAAAATACAATTGTGCAATGGGTGATTATTTATAAAATAGCACTGAATCATGAAAACAATATAATATGCCTTGTTATTATATATCATTAATTTACTATTAACAAAATAAAAATATATATAATTGAATCAGAAAATAATGAAAAGTTATTTAGATTTTTTTTTAATTTTAACATATTTATTATAAATTTAATAATTGTTATTATTGAGACGCATTTTTTTTTCTAATTAGCTATACATAAAAATTGATTGTTTTAAGGTCTTTGAACTTATGGGTAATACATCCATTTACACTGATGTTTTTTAAACAGATTACTTCGGTATGACATAATGTATACTTGCAGACCTTGGATTCTCCACATTTGGCGTTATTTCCATTATATTGTATTACTGTTATATATACACACATATATAAAGCCAGTTAACATTACGCTCGTTTATTTGTTCACATCTCATCGGCTATTTAGTGACCTAAATTCGAATATTCCATTAATTAAATTAAGGTTTGAGCATAATTAATTATTTCATTAATATCGTGACTGAAAAAATTCAGACAAAGTGCATTAATTTAACAGTGTTCGTTTAGTTGTTGATTTAAAAGTATGTATGTTTTAGTAAAATATAGATTGAAACATTTCTTTAAACTATACAAAGACTTAATTTTGTTAACATGTAAATTAGTGTTAATTTGAAATTAATGTATTATTAAAAGGCAATGTATCAAATTACAAATTACTCATGATTATGAAATAATTTTAATAAGTTTTATTATAAGCATCTGATAGAAGTCAATTTCTACTCTATATACTAACATAATTTACAGTAGAGCAATACCTCGCATAGTGCGATCAGTCCGGATTTAAATATTTATTGGCCACATATAGGCACAGAAAGTATTTGTTTTAATATATAAATGGTTGTCAGGATTATTTTTTTGTTTAGTTCCTCGATTAGTCCGGTATATTGTTATTTGACAAAACTGGGTGCTGAAGTGTTGGTAAATAGTAGACAGAATATATAATGAAAAATGAATATAACATCATTTATGGATAGTTTACATTTTGTTTCGCCCAAAAGTTATTTATAACGTCGATTGAGTATAAACAGGAAATCGCCGAAATATTCATGGAGAGCGTGAAGTTGTGGCATTTAGAGTTGTGTAAAGCAAGTTTTTATATCGTGAAATACATGTTATTTATATAATTTCAAAAACTTATTATTTATTTGATATCATGTGTTACTTTGTAAGTAGTTTTTAAGATTTACTGAGACATGCAAACATCGTTTAACTGATATTACAAGTTTACATGCAAAGGGTGATTTCACCAGGTCTTTCCACTAAAAAACTGCCATTCACAGTTGAAACTTTAAACATTTATACTTGTCTTCTTGGTATTTCGTTATATCGAATTTTCTTGTTTATTTATAATGCATTTTATGTTTATTTCAGTTTTAGTTAAACAAAACAGAAGTGTGTGTTTGTATGCGTAAGTTGCGAAAATGGAAAATCCTCAGGGCGACACTTTGAACGATAGAGTATCAACAGCAGAAATCAAGTTTCAGACTACTCACAAACCAGGCGTTACCGATTTGAGACCGTAAGTATTGCAATGAATTTTTCGATCCTATTCCTCAACTGAAATTTCCTATTACAATATTAGATTAGCAGAACAAGATACTGAAGTAGACTATGTACCGTGGAAAAACGACCAAAAGATTATTTCCAAGTCCCTTTCCGCTGAATTCCTGAAAAGTCCAAGTCTGATACGCAAGCAACTATGTGTGAAGAGTTTGAGGTGTTTGTTACTTTTGCAATTTAATCTGCTTGAATGAATCGAATGTCTCTTACGTTTTACAATTTATAGAAAGGAAATATCGCAGGAAGTAGGATTGCCAAATGATCGTTGGCTAGTTGGAGGATCATTGGGCTCGCGCAATGCCTTGCTCGTGTTCCGATCGTCGGCTTTAGCCAATTCATCAGAAACCTCCGTTCATTTGAAACCTGGTCACAAGATGCACATAACGTACCGCTGTGTGCAAGCAGAAACAAAACTTCTGGCAAAACTGCTGGAATGCCATGGAATTACCGAGGCAGCATCAAATTCGAACGATTTCAATCTACTATGGACCGGGGCCCATCCGAAACCAGGTATTAGAAAACGTCTCTATTTTAGAAGTTTCACTACGTGTAAAATTAAAAAAATATTTATAGGTGTTTTGAGGTCTTTGGCGCCACACCAAAGAGTGAATCATTTCCCTCGCTCTTACGAATTGACACGCAAGGATAGATTGTATAAAAATATAGAGAGGATGCAGCACGCGAAGGGCTATAAACATTTCGATTTTATTCCTCAGACTTTCCTGATGCCTTCGGAATACAAGGAGTTGTGCTCCTCGCATCACAGGATCAAGGGTCCTTGGATTATAAAACCCGCGGCTTCAAGTCGTGGAAGAGGTATTAATCACACACTTTTATTACGTTTCATCTTCATAGGATTCCTTCGGATCAGACTGTTTTATTCAATTTATTTGTAGGTATTTATATTGTTGAAACACCTACCCAAGTTCCATTGGAAGAGCCCGTCGTAGTGGCCAAGTACATTTCAAGGCCACTATTGATTAAGGGACATAAGTGCGATTTAAGATTGTATGTAGCTGTAACATCATTTGATCCCTTGTTGATTTACATCTACGAAGAGGGAATGGTACGATTCGCTACTGTCAAATATGACACGACGCACAAGCAACTGTGGAATCCTTGCATGCATTTGTGTAATTATAGTATCAACAAGTATCACAGCGATTACGTCAAGTCAGTTTCGGTATTACAAATGTCTTGTATTTATTGATAATTATTGTTTTTTTTTATGTGTGCGTAGATCGGACGATCCCAGCGTTGAAAACGTGGGTCATAAATGGACATTAAGTGCTCTTTTAAGACATCTGAAGTCTCAAGGCAAAGATACAGCTTCTTTGATGTCGCAGGTAGAAGATCTCGTCATTAAAGCCATTTTGTCTTCTGGTAACTCTATTGTTACCGCTTGCAAGATGTTTGTTCCAAATGCTGCTAATTGTTTCGGTAAATCAATTTTTCATAATGATTCGAATATTATTATTGTATATTAATTTTTAGAATTGTATGGTTTTGATATCCTTATTGATGAGAATTTGAAGCCCTGGCTTTTGGAGGTTAATCTTTCGCCATCTTTGGGTTGCGACAGTCCATTAGACGTAAGATTGAAATCAGCAATGTTATCTGACTTATTGACATTAGTTGGTATACCAGCTGTTGATCCTATCTTGAGACCAACCACAAGTCCAACGAATAGCAATAAAAGTTTAAAGATGAAATTAAGCAATGTAAGTTAAGCTTGTGTTGTGATTAAATATCCCGTCAATTATCACGTAATTTCAGTGCCGAAGAGTCCATTCGGCTGACGGGTTAAGCAATACACTGCCAAAAAAGAACTCGAATAGTAGACAGAGTGTGAACCTATCGACTGCATCGTTGACAAACGAAGAGTTGAAGATGTTGAAGAATGTGAAAGCTCAGTTCGAGCGACGCGGTGGATTTGTACGAATTTTCCCGGCTGTAGACAGCTGGACAAAGTACTCGCAATATTTAGGTAGGAGAATTTCAGCTCTTTATATTGCGTTGTTCTTTAACTTTGTTACTTTTTTGATTATAGAGCCTGTGACTGGCATTCCAATTTCCGGAAGCAATAGTTCTGTTCCATTTAGCATGATGTCGCAACATAACAACAATCAAATACTTTACATGCACCTCTTCCCAGACGTCCCAATGACGCCGCCCATTCTCAGGGACAGCAAGCATTACTCCCGAAACTCTTTAGATCGAAAACGTGATTCATCATTGGATAGCGTGCGCAAATATGAAAGTAATCGGATAAAAAAGCATTTATGTATGTTCGGTTTTATTATTTTAAAACGATGATTTAGGTGCACTATCGACTCCAAGACAAGATCGTTACGAGCGTAAGTTGATACAGGGTCATAAGTCTGCATTGGGAATTATGAAGAAACCGGTGAAAGAGACGCATTCTATGGATCTGAAGCGACAAGTTAGTGATCTCATGAAGAACGGAAAACGCATGTCGTAAGTTTTAGCAAAAACTAAATCTGACATTTTTAATTTTACACACTTCGATTTATTAGGCAAGTCGAAGCGAGGAAAACTTTCAGTCAGTATTTATGTTGTGTATTGAAGCGGATTTCATCGAATCCTAACCAGGAAGGGCACATTGAAATTGTACTTAAGTTTCTGCAAAAGGCTTCGAGTTATTTGAAAAGTCCATTTAACGTTAAGGTTGGTTAAATTCTTTATGGTTACAATTTCTGATAGTGAGAGTTTCTTTGATGTAGATTCCTAGTCATAAACTATCAGAAAAGGATAGAGCAGCTATTGTGGCGAAGCAATTGAACGATTTCCTCTATCTATACAACAGGGAGACAGAAATGTATGCCGAATTAGATAGGCCGAGTCAAATACCAAGGGATTTATTTTCAGACTTTTTGGAGCACGCCAGGTAAGTACCAATATTTTCGATTACTTAATTCGTATTAAATTGACAAACATAAATGTATGTTCATATGCATAGTATTAACAACCAATAGATTATATCTTAAGGGGTATAATATTTGCTTTGAGTGTAATTTGCTTGATGTAGTATTGGATGGTCAAGGCAATATTTTACAGGGAGTGCGATCTCGAAGAGGTGTTGATGTTGCAAAATGTGCAGACCGTACCAAACGCCTCGGTCACCAACAACACCAATTCAACAACGGGGGGTGGTGCACCAGTTTCCAATATTCAGGGCTTGCTTTTGCGTTGCCTGCCAAATCTAACGGGTAGTTCAGTCTGTTGCCGTGCAACCGACAAAAAAAGCGTCAAAGTGACACCATTGTCATGATTTTCGACGTCGCATAGTTATATTTATCGAAAATTAAGCAGGCTTTACTTCCACTTACCCTACAAGATACAAGTTCAATAGCGATGTACACGTTCCTTGCAATATTCTAGTCTATCTCATTTATTATTATTTATATTTTTTTTTCTATTTTGGCCCCTGGTGCGAATCAGTTTCAACGAAGAACGTATACAATGAAGTTATATTTAAATCGAAATGATTGTTGATTGTTGCGATCGTATTTATCTATATTTAAATTGCTTCAAACCTTATATATTCATGTTGAAAGGTATTCCAATTTATACCATTTTAGATCGTAGATTATAGAAGGAAGTAATGCAGCGAATTGAATTATGAATTTTAATTAATAAACATTTGCACGGGTGGTAATTTCAAACTGGAAAGTGGAGATAGCATCGAATTCGTGTTAGTAATTCGAACAATCCACTCAGTTTGCTTCATTTAGATCAAATTCCATGTTGCATTATTTTCTTTCCTATTATCACGGCATTTTTACGATGGGGCTCGCATTTTATTTAGTCAATTAAAAGCAACTACTAAGTTCGGTATTACAATTAGTTTTGTGATATTAAGCTCAATTATTTCTATTTCCTTTATTTTATAATTTATTTGCATTTGAAAAATGTATGATACGATACATTTATCCGGCTGTTTTATTTGATTTGACACATTTATGTTTTATGCTCTCTTTACTCAATTTTTGATAATTTAAAGCGTGTTGGACCTAATATTTTTGAATCGAAGATTGTAGCTAATTTTATGCTTGATTCAAAATTTCTAATTGATCTACCAATTTTTTTTACAACTTTTGATACTTATTTAATTAATTCTCAAATAAAAGATTAGTTACCATCAAATAGTTCATAACATAAGAAAAGCACATTTTATTTTAAGTTATTTGGATAATACTCATTTTTTTGTTTGTTTATTATTTACTTAAATTATTTTTTATTTAATTTTGTTTGAATGCTCAAAAATATGTTTAATTTGGTTATATAATCTTATATTATTATTTTGCTTATGTTTATTTTATCAAAAGAAATTATTATGCACATTATACTTTTGTTTTGCTTTCCAAACATATCCCTATCCATCCTTAATCCACGTTGTTTTCCAACGTTTCGTTAATACTTAGTTTAATTCTAGCGAATGAATTGCATTTCGTTTTTAATATATATACATTGTTTATAAATTATTGTAATCCAGAGCTCAACGTTTATCAATTTTTAATGAAGCAATCGGTAATCTAAAAAATAAAATTTACGAGAGTTGAACGTAATTTAGTCATGCTAGTACAAACAAATTGGATATTTGTACCAATTTGCGTTTTAAAACAAAGGAATATTTATGAGGAATATTTGTAATCGCTTTAAAGATCAAAACAATGATGCAAATCTTATTCTCGAGTATGTGATGTGTGTAAATTATAATTCAAAGAAAATTGCCAATTGTGAAATTGCTATATTTTTGAAGTGATAATTTTGTGAATCGAAGTGATTAAAATTTATATAAATATAGAATATATTGAGCGTAGCATGTAGCCAGATACAAATGATATTATTTTTAATATAACTACAATCATTTTTTTCTACTAGCTGTGCAAATTGCGATCATCTATTTCTAAAAGACATTAAAAATTATATTCACCATTGTGTGATGATTATGACTATAATTTCTAATGTTTGATAATAGAAATAATAATTGATTTACTTTATATATCGTTGTGATTTATTCCTATTTGATACTAATTCATATTTTTGTAAGGGTAGGTTTTTCAGTGTTGTTGTTGTGTGTTTACGCGATTTACAATTGCTTTGACGTTTTCTCGGGTCCTCTTGTATTTTTATATGAAATCAATCGATGTTACCATCATTAATTAGTTTTAGCTAATCGTCAACGGGTTCTTTTATTTATTGCAACAACAAGAAAACAGCGAATTATGAATCAATGTTTATTTTAATTCCAAAGATGTGTCTCCATTAAGGGAAATTTGTAAGCATATAGTTGAATTGAATCAATGTGATTTCTATTCATTTTTGTTACCGTTTTGATTGATGAATGCACGGTTTAGCACAATTGTGATATTTAGGGCCTACTGTATTTTCGAAATAAAGAGCAGTGATTTAATCAATCTGAAATAATACTTTATACCCTTCTCTTAAAACAATTTGAAAAACCTACTGTTAAAAATAATTACCAGAATCTATGTGTATTAATAGTACCATTAATTTAATTATGATTTTTTATGGGGTTTGCAGAATGTTTGTAAGCAATAACTCGTAAACTAAGTATTCATAAAGTTATTATAAATAAATCGTTCGTACGCTTCCATTTTATGACCTTACACACGTAAGTATGAAAACATAAACCAGAGACTAATTTCGATAAAATATGTGTGTTGGCTTCTCTTTTCAGATTTCGTTAAGAATAATATTTTATATTTTACAAAATAAATACTTTTAATATTAGTAATATACTAATATTAGTATTTTAAATTTATGTTTAAAATTCTTTAGGAGTTAATATTTGTAACAATAATAGTGTTTTAATTTGCATTTCCATTCTAATTAATTTTCAAGTCATTAGTAATTTATCTAATATAGTTTTAACGTTGACATTATTAAATATATTAGTAAACTATCGCCTTTTCAGTAAAATTATGTCTTTTGAATAATTCGGTATCAATGATTATTATGTCTATAAGTATCCGATATTTCCCAATTTCGTATTTATAAATTAAGTTATTCGATATCAAACAGTTATTTTTATTGAACTGGTGCTTATTTATTTAACCAGGGATTCCCGGGTTCAGACGGTGATCTTCATTAGCATATCGGTTTTGCACTATACTGAATGGCGATATAACTCATATCGGTTAATTGCTATTTATAATTTGATTTCAGCAAAGCTGATTGCTTAGAAGTACGTAAACGCACTATATATTCAAAATTTTATTATATCTTGACAATGTTAGAAATAATTCAACCCAAAAGGTAAACGAAATGCATAATAAGTTTTTGTAGAGTAATTTATAGCTTTGAAAAATCTCACATTTTGATTGTTGTAGATCGACAGTAAACATTCTTAAGCGTTCTGATTAGAATATTTAGCATTCTACAATTGAGTAAAGTTTCTTGTTAATTTTGTTGTCGCAATTGAACCACGTGGTTCCACCATAATTTATAATATGTTCATTAGAATCTTTAGATTTATTAAATTATCATGTAGAGTTAAAATTACTTCATTTTCAGCCAAAATTAGGATGTAAATACATCTATTTTATGGGAAATTGTCTTTTGTCCTGGAATTATTTTGATAAGTGTGATATAAGATATTATTTTATGTTATTCCTTTAGATTTTCTGTCAAGAAATTTTGTCACCATCTTCTGCATTCAATAAATTTATAATATCCCCTTGATCAACTTATTGATTGAACCATTGGATAACTTCATTTCTTCTCTTGGATGTTATTTAGTAAAACTTCTGGCTTTGGTCTTAGATTTGATTTTTGTTAATGTTAACTGGGGTTTCAAATTGCGGATTTTGTTATATCTAATCTTTTTTATTACTAAACCGTTCACTTTGATGTTGCAATTTTAAACGAACTTTTATATATATTTTAACTGTTAAAATTAGCTGAATATCGTCACTGCTTTTAAGCTTCTAAACTGACAAATTGAGATGCAATTAACCAGTTGTTAATGGCGTTAATAAACTTACAAGAAGATGATCATTTTTGCGTTATTTCAAAATCTCTAGGGGAAGAGCTGTAGGGTGAGGTGATTCATGCTTTTGGTGCAGTATGGTTTTCATGGTTAATTATTGTTTCGCGTGTCGGCCTCATCGATTTGTGTTATCGCATGAAACGTGCAGGTGGTGCCTAACATGAGGCACCTTTAGCACGCCTGTTGTTATGTACATGGTAATGAGTGTTTTCCCGAGAGCCCCCATAAAGCCCCGGGACATGTGAATAATTTAATAATGCTCTTTACTTCCTCGCTGCCGTACGACGATAAACCAACCAGTCTGCAGAATTATTTTTAAAGTTTTCAGTAGAGCTTGGCTAGTTCGTCCATTCGCACCGACATCTCTAAAACGACGACGACGTCGCGACCCGCCGTCTCCCGCGCGTTACGTAATAATTGGGGGGAGGAAACACCTGCAATCATTTTGCGTCTCGTTGCTTATATTTAGACACGAATTTGTTTTGGTCTCTCGCGTAATATCACAGTGCTATCTCCTATCATCCGATCTGCTGATGATGGTCACCTTCTGACCACGGGACACGACAATTCAATAAACAAGCGAATTTCCGGTTAATACAAATAAGTAAATGAGTTTCAATAGCGTTTCTATCTTTAATCCCCGCTTCTGCTTTTGAGCTTTGAACTTTCAAAAACATGGACATGGCATTTTAAAATTTAAGTCTTTAAGTTTTTGAGCTTTTTAATTTTAAATTACATAAATTAATTAAAATAGATGCAGTAAATTCAATTAAAATAAGTAAATTAACATGTATTTATTTATCAATTTCTGCTTTTAATATTATTACATACGTAATTGCGGAGAATATGACATTTTTAGATTGGAATTAGTTATATAAATAAGCGTATTTTTGTTTAGTACAAATAAGTTCTTTATGATACACATATTTTTATTTATAATACTAGTTTCTTATTTTTATTGTTTTAATTTCAGTAAGGTGAAACATGTTATCAAGTATTTTTTTCATTCAAAATATTCATTAGTTTATATGACTCTTAATAATAATGTTTATTGCATCAACAAAAACATAAAATAAAACCTTAACACAATAATAAAAAAAAAACAAAATGCTGAAAAAGGCTATTGACTATAGGTCTTTCTGTCTCATGACTGTTAATTAACATATTTCTATCCTTATTCAACTACTGAGCTTTATTAACTTACTTTCATGGAGATCATTGAATTAATACGGTGAACATGACTTAGTTTTGTTGCTAAGCTATGATTTATATTCTGCACAGAAATATCTTGACTGTAATATCGTTGCAAGTGAGCATTCTACATTTACATTTCTACGAAATTCGATGGTGATGCATTTTTTTAAATATCAGATTTTCAGAAACTAATAACGAAATTGACTAAATTATTTCTTATTTTTATAATCAAAAATATTTTTTTAACTTGTCAATAATCTTTCAATGTAATTAAATCATAATTGTTAAACCTATTTTATGTGAACCAATATTTTAGATTTTATTTTAAAAATTTTCAAACCTTAAAATTGGCTTATTTATGGCTTAAAATTGAAAAAATAATTGTATCTTGCCGGTTTTTTCCAGTATAATCTGTACTGGTTAATTTTGATCAATGTTGGTTTTTAGTTATTATGTCTTAAGTTGAGGAGTCTTTCATTCTAATTTGATTAGAAGATTTTAAGTTGATAAAATAGGATCTAGAATATTTCATGAAAGTGTACACAACCTAATTAACTTTTAAAATTCTTAGTAGACATTTCCTTACTGTTAAACCTGACTATATATTTTGATGTGTTTATTGGCTGCAGTCCATGTTTTAATATAAATAAAACATCAACGTTTTATGTATTCTTAGTTGTTCTGCTTGGATTCGGTACTTAGGGAAACATTATTGAACATTCCATTACAATGAGTATAAAACATTCAATACATAAACTAATCAATACGCAATTCTCATCCCAACTAAGCTGATTAAAATACACAAGAAGTATTTACTAGAAATAATATGCACATTAAACTGCACATTACGTTTCTAGGAATAGAAATATTTGCATTAATAACAATGAAACATGCATTGAAATGCAATATTTTAATATTTAGTTGAAGTTTAAAGCGTAATTCTTTGTAAAAGATTACATAAATCGATGGACAGCACCTGTCATCGATGTTGACCCAATTTAGTTGAATGTGAAACTTGTAATTTACTGCATGATTTATGTATATTCAAATAATATACTAAAAGAAATCTATCAAAGGTTTACCGTGCTTTTGCAATAAAATCATTATAATTTACTTCTTTCTAACAAGACGAAATATCATTAATGCTATAGCAATACTTGCGCAAAAAGGAACGTTTCTACGAAAATGTATTAAGCAACTACTCGAGACTCCATAATTAGTAAAATAATGTATCGTGTATCTAATTTCTAAATAACTATTTAAAATTTTATTCTCAAACGTTATAAACAATACATTTTATACAATTTTTTTTTCAACTTTGGTATATTTAGTGTGATGTAAATTTAGAACACGCGTATTTTTTAGGTAGAATAATGTAAAACAAAGCAGATATGTATGATCCAGAAATAATTCATCAGTGTACTAATAATAGAAGACGATCAATTACGACCTCGTTCATAAATGAAATAAACAAATCATCTTTGATTCCACTGTCCATTCGCTGTCTACATAATAATAGATTTTATTGCCAGCGCGTGTTAAAAGCTACGATAATTACAGTCTTCACCTTACGTAAGTGATCTGTATGTTATGTTGGTTGTGTGAACAACATTTATTGAAATGTTATTGTGTTGTATCTTATTGTCAATGAAAAAAGTCAATCAGATACTTCATATTTGATAGTTTAGGAAAGTTAAGCAACCTATTTCAGGGATACTACTTGGATGAGTGACGAGGACATAGTCATTCTATATAAATGGTATTGGTTTAATACATAAATAAAATTGAACACACAAATGTAATCTTACAGAAAAACCTTATTGAATTAAACTTCATATTTTCCAAATATAACAATACTTTGCAAAGTGCGGATAATCGTTTCCGGACTCTTTGAAACAAGGACTAATAGAAAACTTTAAAACAGCATTATATTTTGTGTATTAATTTTTTAGAATTTATTTATATTTTATTAAAATTAAGTTTGTTTTGACTATATTCAATCCGCACTAAGCGAGGTACTGCTGTACTTTATAAATCACTAATAATAAGACTTTGGATAGGTTTTAATCTATTATTAATAGAATTAAAAATTCTTAAAATAGTTTTTTTTTTCTGTGCTATATCAGCATATTTACACGATCGTGACAAACGTAATTTACATACAGGTGAAAAAGCATGCGATAAAATATTTCTATCGTGTAAATGGTTTGAATTTCCACATACATTTAGAATTTGTTCATGAATATACACAGAGTGACACTGTTAAAAGTTTTTATTTCAGTTAATTTTTGCAATTATTTTCGTTTTTATTTATAAATAGTTTGGAATTAATAAGTAATTAAAAAAATTATAAGGGTTTATCAAATTCTATTCAGTTACAATATTATTTATTAAAATAATAATATCTTGAAATTATTTTTTATTTTTTGGTAGTTTTATTATCATGTTAGTGACAATTTTTATTATATTTGAAAATATTAAGCAAATGGAAAATTTATTAAAAAATATTATTTTTAACGTCTAAATTTTTATACACAATCCTTCAATAGGAGCAGTGCAAATTTCAATAGTTTTTTTTAAAGAAATTTTTTTTATGTATCCTCTTGGTTCTCAGAAAGTTAAAACGATTACGAATATTAATCACTTGAGACAAGTATCAAGTTTTACGTAAAATTTACTAATAAATTCCCATCATTATTTTTTGATCGAAATAATACAAGGATGAAAAACATTATTGATCATTATTGTATCCAGTTGCTTTTATGTTTATTTAACGAACTGTGAAATTTTGAACTTTATTGAAAAAAAAACCGCTGCATTTGTAACTGCATTTAGTTCGTATTTAACGACATACCCTAATACTAAGTCATTTTTTTACTAGTCTATAATCACTATATTTATCAGACTGTAGAAAAATATAATAATTATTATAATTTATGGTCAGTAGTCTTTTATAACAGCTAAATAAAATGTTTATGTATACATAACTGTTGCAATACAAAATATTAATTGGATACAAATAAAATTATATTATTTTATATATGCCACCGTTACATGTTTCTTTTCAATTTTTATTGACTTCAAAGTTATGAAATGGTCTAGAAATATTATATCACTTAACAATTAGAAATTACAACTGAGTACATAAATAAACTGAGGTTGTCAGACATCAGGTAATTGGCGTTCGATGGTTTGCCAGAGTTAAGCAACCTGCAATGCGTGTAATTATTATTTTAAGATCTCAGTATTTTGCATTTTGCGCATTCTATTTATAGCATGTGTTTCATGTTCAATTCGGCTTAAATATAGCCACAAAAAATAATAATAATATGGGTAAATGCAATGATAATTTTATCACGTAAAGTAAATTTATAGGATAATTATTTATTAAAGGGAGAGGCGCAAGGTTAATTACATTTGGCATTAGAGCTAATACAAGTAGCCGTAATCTATTAGGCAATAACGCACCGCCGTTGTGAATACGTCGTTCGAGTCGGTTAATGAATGAATAATAAGATAATCAATAGGAATTATGTATTGTGTTTTCCAGGTCAAATCTACAGCCCTGAATCGATCGCAGGATTAGTACATCATGATTAGTACAATTCCGTACTTGCAGAATTGCGATATGCATGGTGCTGTTCGCATTGCCTGATGACGACGACGTCGGGTGACAAGTACGACGCTCTACGCTCTTTCTGCATTTTGAGTGATATACTTATATATTTATTGTTTATTCTCGTGTAACTAAAATTAAACTGCTTCGGGTTTCTTGGCATTGGACGTCAACCATATTTTTTTTGTATTTCGTTCGCAATTTGATTTTTTTTTCTCTTTATTTTTTTTTTTTCATTTTTCGCCCTATGAGTTAAGCCAAGAGTTAAGCGCTTTTCGTTTCGGAAAAATCGCGAGGATTGCGTCTCGTCGAGCAGACGATGACTGTCCTTCCTCCGTTTGTGAATTAAGGCATAAAGATATTATTATTACTTTCTGGATTCAGGCCAGATCGTGTCGGCATTACCACACGCATACACACGCCACGGTGTAAAGATAATATTTACCTACAAATCCGGTGTTTCGGGCTGTGCGAAGGAGGAACAAGTTGCCTCAGGGTTTATTTTTTTTCTTTCAATAAGTAGTTGGTGATCAAGTGCGATTAGGGTTGGGTGGTGTTGTATCAAGATGCAGAGAATCATCAGTTTGCAGACCTTCAGGAGTGCAGATAGATCGGCGAGCAGCGAATTCGTTACTAAACGGCTCTGCTGCAGCTTCTTGTTTTCCGTCGCGTTCCTGTCTCTTCTAGGAGGTAAATCAATATAAATTTCTAAATGCACTCAAACTCTCACTCGTGTGATTCATCTTACGAATGTTTAATAAACTTGTTTTATTTGTATTTCTTAGTTTTCAAAGCAACGAATCTTAACGAAAATAGACATTCAAATGTAGAACAAGTTTTTCTTGAAAGTGCCATTTAATATTAAATTTGAAAAAGATTAATTGATGTGTATTATTTGCAAAACTAACACGATTTTATGAAAAAAAAAAACTATAGTTTTTGTTATGAAAATCGAAATTTGATTTTACTTTTATGCATAGTGCATTTTATTTATATATATTTTTAATAATATTTCATATTAATATACAGTGGAGTCTCGCTTAACGAGCATAATCCATTCCAAAATTTCCGGATTTTTACTCATATAGTAAAACAATTTTCCTCGTATAAACTGTAATGTACGATAATGCGTTCCATTTTGGAGTCATTTTTCTTACAATTTATTTTGCTCGTTAAGCGAAATGGTCGTAATGCGAGGTTCCATTGTATATGAATTCGTGTGAACTTTGAAGAATTCTATTATAATATAATATTATTGAGTATAATTGTTTGAAAAGTAAGAAAAACTTTGTAAAATCTTACATGAAATTAACATATACACACAAATTGAAACTTATCTTTATTAAAAAAAACATACAAATTAATTTAGTAAAAAAAAGTTGAAATTGATTGATTCTTTCAAATAATCTTTAATTGGAAGGAATAATAATTACAATATAAACAAAAGATGATGAAAACAAATAACTCTATGTAGATAGGAATATTTTAATTTTGAACTAATTTATTATTTTCTTTTGATGATTCATAAAAGAGTACACACATATATGTAGGTTGACGACACTCTGTTAAATATATTAATATATTTTAATTTATTAAAAAACTTACTTTAATTTGAAATTTATCATAATTTTTAACATCAATAATTTAATTAATTTACATATTTTAATTTAAACACATCTAATCTAACTTATTCGTATACAGTAGAACCCGTTTTTGTGCGGTTCTTTTTTATGTGGTATATGAAATTCAACCAATTCCAACGGCGTTGGCACCATTGTAATGTTTTCTATCAGTGTGCATCAGTGTTCATCAAAAGAAGATTCGCGTTTAACACGAGAAGTAGTGAATTATGCATGTGCATGTGTATTTTTTAAGTTTTCTTGTGGAAAAAATGAAAGATATAAAAGTACTAAACGAGATATAAATACTTTTAACATAGAATGTGATCATCTACAATAAAATAATAGTACATCATATTTTCATAACATGTGTATCATCTTTGATAAACCAATTAAATAACAATATTCTAGTCGTCACTAATATAATACTATATTTCAACTATTTAAATTATGATTTTTTTCGTAATTATTCATAAACAATAATAATAATAATAATAATAATAATAATAATAATAATAATAATATTTATTGTAACAAAAAATTAAATAAATATAAACTCAATGCAATAACAAGAAATAAATTAAACTGCTGCAAAGTGTTATTGATCATAGGTCTTTCTGTCTCAAAATTTGTCTATTTTTAATTAAAATGTTTTGATAACGTATATTAGACATTTTGTGATAAATAATTTTTAATTTTCAAAAAAAAATTGATTAGAAATTATAATTTAATTAATATTTATTTATTATAATTTTTTTCTTACTTTTCTACATTAAAGTACTTTCAAAACTATAGAATTGTATAAATATTGTATACAAATTCTAAAAAGTGTGGTACTTATTTGGTAAATTTACAATGTAAAATTAAAAAAAAATGAAGAACGTGTTACAAAATAAATCTACTACATGCTAATATATTTATTGTAATAAATTAACCTTGTAATAAATTATGCTCAAAAGCATAATAGTTAATTCATTCATATTCGTTGCAATTAGTTGGATTTCATATAGCGCATATATAAAATCGCATGAAAAAGGACCGCACAAAATAACAGATTCGAATACTCCTTAGAAATAAAAAATATTTTTTTATTTCCAATTTATCGCTTACATAATATAAACAATTCTAATTTATTAATTGAGCAATAATTATCATATGTTTCTTATACTTTAAGTTTTCCAAGACCTTCTTCTTAATTATTAATAACTATATAATATTTATCCCTATTTAATTGAAAAATTGTTGCAACGTAGTTAAAAGCTGTGCATTATTTATTAGCTCGAATCATCACGTTTAGTGCTGATAATCATCGCCAGGCAACATTTAATTGAGTAAACAAATGAAGACCATTTTAAAACAAAGGGTTGTTACATTTCTTAAGCACAAATTTCTACACAAATTTGTGCTTAAAAAAAATTATTTTTACAACATATTATTATAACCAGACGCGATTGCTTAATTCCGAAAGTTAATTTTGGCAATGGCGAGTAGTGTTTATATTATTATTTTTAAATGTTTCTATTCCTGTATGTAAGAACCTTTTGGTTTCTGTTCATTATTTATAAATATCGCGGCTATTGTGAAAACTCTATAAATTGATGTCGATTAGCGTGTCTGCTTTTTCTCGCTTTATCACCATGTTTCGACTGTCCACACTTGCTTGATCTGTCTCTGATCGTAGACATCATTTATCTTGTACTTTGTTTCTTCCATCAAGTTTGTTCATGATATACGCAATAATTAAGAATTCCTAATACAATTATTTACACACTCTTTATCCTATATAATTATGAACGTTAGTGAACTATGATTCTGTATATTTTAATGAAATTTTATTTTTTGAACGTTATTCAGTCTGGTTTAGTCTGAGAAAAAAATCAATAATTGTTTACATAACATAATACAATTATTTAAAATATTTAATTCTTAATACATATACCTCGCATAGTCCGGATTTGATTAGTCAATACAACAAACTTATTTTTATACATTAATGATCGTTTTTTCCCCTTTTTGTGCGATTAGTCTGGTTTCAAACGATATTGGTGGAAAAGATTTCGCTCACTAATAATTCTGTGCATCTAAAATTGCTGAAATTAAGTTGTTTTCTTATTTATGTTAACTTTATTAAATTCATATCTATTGGGAAAACCCAATGTAAGATTCAAAAAATGTATTAATGTTCTGTTTACTTAATGTAATTTTGCAATTAATCTTTGGATGAAGTTTTCACAAAATATGTTGATTCCTTTAATCGTGACTTAATATTCTAGAAGTTCTTACTTTTTTTTTGCATGTGCTATATAAATAATTATTTAGAGATATTTCATTCTACAATATAAATTTGAATCATCTGTATATAATCTGCAAGTCAATTTTGTTTAATTTACAAATTGGGTTTGAGTTACTAATGGCCACATTGTATGTTTTTCTAATAGCCTACTAATAACATTTTTCACTATCCAGGCAGATCGTATAAATACATAATTATTCACCTCGATTGTAATTTTAAACGTCTTCTAGGAAAGATACTAATATTCATTGCTTCTGAAAATTTCTAATTTGTATTCACTTCACAGGATTTCTATTGGGTCGCTATGCAACTGATCGTGCGATCCTCCTCAAGAACCATATCAAACAGCAGACGGAGCAGCGGAGGACCAACGATGCCATGAGCAATATCACATCCATCCTGAATCGCATTTCCAAAATGGACATTTTGGGACCTCTTCAATCCTCCGACGATTTTCGATCGAAGCTGAAGTGTACCAAATATAAGGACGTGGATGTAGAGGAAGGAAACTTCGATAATATCAATCTGGCAACGAGGAGGGCTTTGAGCTTACACATGGAAGCGCTGCGTAGATGTTTTTGGGACGTAGGGGACTTCCTCGAGGGGAGATCGGCTACGAATTTTACGAGCGATTGAACAACGCGTACGATCGTCATATTTCCACATATCTTTTTTATACCTATCGCTTACAAATTTTAATAATTTATAATAAAGAAAACACCACCTATTATAACTTTCCTATCACACTTTTTATCTACGTTTTAATATTCGATTAATTGTTGTGACATATTGAAAATACACGATCAAAATTTGACAACAATTCTATTAATTATTACCAAATCATTTACCCATTTATAACAAAATTGAAGACAATGAAAAGCATTTTTTGATCAAAGAAATTTACAAACAACGTGAAATATGAGTCTAAAGTTTTGTTCGCTCTTTTTTCTCTTTTATTTAACAAAACAAATACAACGTTTTTATTATAAATTAAGCACCTTTAAATCATAGGTTGTTAACAGGTATTTAATTTCGTCATTATTTTCTTTGTATTTCTTACTAACAAGCTTTCTAAATCTTTTACTGAAAGACCATAATCTTCTACATTCAATAAATATCTAACATCTTCTTCATAGACATTTTCGATATCTTCATTTCTAATTTCTTTGGATTTTATTTTCTTCTTTTTGTACAACATCTGTTCACATTTTATCGGATGATTACCGGGTTAATCTTAAATTATAATATTGTTTATGATAAATTGAACTTCAAATTACGAGTTTCATTATATTGAAGCTTCATTATTAGAATTCTAAAATACATTTTAAATATTAAATAAAAAGGTTTAATTACAAATATATTATTATGAAATAATTAGGAACTTACATTTTTCAATTTGTAAGTTGTAATTATTTGGTTTTTAAAAAATAATTATCCGATTGCGTATTTTAAGTAAGAAGGAACATTTAAAATATTTGCCAAGCTGTTTAATTTTTTTGAAAGCATGTATGCGATACATTGAGCTACTCTGCAATCTCACGTGTTGAGCTATGACGATCTGAATCAATGAGGCCCTGATAGGGGTTGATCTGAATCAACGATCTGGCGGATGAGTATTTTTCTGTGAAAAATCACCAGAACGAAATTTGACAAACAAATTTTGACACTGCCTTCCTATAAGACATAACTTCTTATGTGCTTGCTATGGGTTCTTGCCTTTTCGGAAATAATGCAATAAAATATGTCTAAAATGCGCGTTGACAAAACAAAAGAATATATTTTGTCACACTGAATGTGACAAAATCCGCAATTACTAAGTTACCAACCTAATAGATTTAATCAATATTAATCAACATTTAAATGCAATGTTGATCATAAATTCGTAATTGACTATAAATTGTTTATAAACTTTGATAATACAGTTTGTTTTTCAAATTATTTTGTTAATATTTGTAGAAGAAGCTTAATATATTATAATTATTGATCAGCAAATATAAACAATTCAAACTTTAAAATTAATATTTGTGTGACAACGATTACTTAATAAGATGTAATCGCGTAAGAGTGAGAGCGTGCGTTGTGTAAAAGAGTTGTTATCGCTCTATGATTATTTGATAATAAACCGAAAGTTAAGCCTGTGGACTAATCTTGAAAGCAAACGCAGAAGTGCCTGAGCTAGTGTCGTGTCAACACCGTAACATTGTTTCTCTATTGCACGAGTAGCAAAGTTTACCCAAAAATATTAACATCCGTCGAAGAGACAGCAGATTGACATCGCCACGATTGGATCTGCTATATAATTTACGAGCAAGTTACCACATGCAATTATTGCAGTAAGTTGGCCTATGTATTTTTTTATTTATATAATCGCATTACGAAACTCGGTATCGCACCATATAAAATAAGCATCGTAATTGAATTAATTTTCAAATCGAAATCGAATACAAATCGGAAACCTACCATGTGTTGTACTATATAACGTGGATATTTAATTGAATGTTATTAAATTAGGCTTTTTTTTAACAATATTAAAATGTATTTTCGTTCCGCTAAAACTCAATAATATATCAATATCAATTGAATCAATGTTCATATCTATAAAATGCACAATAAGTAGAATAAAAGTTGATTACTTTATGATGTAACACGTAATTACGTTTCGGACTTCGTGATTTATGGATATTTAATAGAGAAAATCTTGTAACATGTAGATTGAATCAAATTAAATTTAATGATTCATTTATTCTCATAAACATGGATAAATTAAATTCGTTCTTTGATATACTCATTTAACCTTCGTCTACATAAGTAGAAATACGTATTTGAATATGTAATGGTAATATGTACCTTGTTTAAAGTTCATGTACTTTGAAATTTGTATAAATAAAGCATGAACTGTGAAACGTAGTTTATGAAAACTATTTAATGAGATCATTTCTTTTGCTATTAATATGAACTTTTAATGAAGTTAATCAAGTATTTGGAAATATTGGATTTGTCAACCATTATTCAAAAGTTTTAATAATAGAAAATAAATTGGCAATCAAATCTAAAATTACGACAATCCTCATTTAACACAATACTTTAATTGCACGGTTTACATTTTTATAAATACTAAAACAGTACTTTTTAATCTTCTGAGCAAAATATTGTATAGGTAAGAACACATTTTGAATAAAACAGTCTCAATTTGTCCTTGTTTTAAGATGTAATTGTATACAGTTTAATTGACATAATACAATAATTTATTCAAAATGTTAATATAAAATATCGTATCAGAATTGTTAAGATTTCTTTGGAATCATAATTACAGCAATACCACGGATAGTGCGGTTTCGTCAATATCGCATGTTTGAAACCGGACTAATCGAGGACATTAAAATCGCATAAAAATATACTGCAAAAAACAGATACTTGACTCTATAAAGAAAGAAAAAACAAACATTCATGTACAAAAAGAATATATATTGCTCAATTAAAAATCAAATACAAAATATATATGATTAATAATAGATAAATAAATAATGTATAAGCAAGTAAAAAAGATTAAACAATCCTCCAAATAAAAACATAGATATAAATTTTAATGAATGAATAATTTTATACTTGTGATACTTTTTGTGTACAACCTTAAATTCATTATTCAATTTAATAAAACTAAATAAGCAATATTATTTAGTTAATGACAATATTTGTTGTGTGGTGTACTTTAACAATAGGATTAACTTAATCGCTATGTAATAAAAATAATTTAAATCGGAAGATAAGACATTTTTTTTCTTGTAATATTAAGGATTTTACCTCGTTTTATTGACTTTATCGAATAAAGAAATTAAATTGAATTCTGTACAAGTAGTTATTCTATTAAATTAAAGATTAACAAATGAAACATAATTGTGAATTATATCAATAACTAATCGTATTTTTTATGTATTTACATTTATATGTAATTTTGATGCAGTTGAAGATTTATATCAAAATGTACTTTATTTTCATCCATCTTTCAGAGGATACAGTTTTTTTTAATACATGAATGATCGTTTTTCCATTTTCTGTAGTCAAATCTCTGTTTTTGCAGTAAACGTATGTAAACACAAATGATATCAGATATTTATTATTAGTTTCAATAAGAATACAACAAATAATATTTGTCTTAATATTATGTTTTACAATAATAATGTTTGGTTATTTTGGATCATCGGTCAATATTATTTATCCTAGTAACAGTGTTGTAGGAATGAAATCGTATTATACGGGGATACCTGTTCTTTCAAATATTAACGTAAAATTAACGTTATGGTTATAACTCTATTTGTTACAAATTGAGTAGTCATAAATGATAATAAAGCAATTTTCAATCTACAGTGGAACCTCGCTTAACGAGTTTAATCCGTTCCAAGATTTCCAGATTTTTACTCGTATGGTGAAATACTCGTATAGTGAAACATATTCAAAAATACACATAATATGTGTACACAAGTAAAAATGATGTAACAGGTGCGCAATCTGGGACTTCTATTCTCATCGTCACTCGTTATGCGAAACTTACAATTCATTTTGTTCGTGAAGCGAAATGCTCGTTATACAAGGTGCTCGTTAAGCGAGCGCCTTGCTCGCTGTATTATTAATGAGTATTGACTAAACCAGTGACTTGATATAATACAATAATTTATTCAAAATGATAATAAAAAAATATTGTGTCAAAATTGTTAAGACTTCTTTAAAATCATAACTACAGCAATAATGTGGGTAATCGATTTCGTTAATATCGCATGTGTGAAGCCGGACGAATCGAGAACTTTAAAACTATATAAAAATGAATTGCACAAAAAGATACTTGAGAAAAATGTATATTGCCCAATTAAAATAGTCGTATTATACAGAGATTTGTACGAAATCGATTTTAAAACGATTAATACCTCTTCTTTCAATTATTATCGTTAAATAAATGCTCAGAAGTCATAATTAATATTAACTCTATTTACAATCTACAATTAATCAGTATTTAGTCAATACCAGTGATGATTTTAAAGATTATAATTGAAAATGTCTATACTATAGTTTACCCATCACTGGACTAAACTATCTCTTAGTTGACAAATTTACTAAAATATGTTTCATTAATTACATAATAATTACATAATGCATGTAATGTTAATCTAATCTTAAGAAAAAAATAATAGTTCTAAAAGTTTCAGTAAAAGATAACAGGTTGATATTTTGATGATTAACATAATCAAAATGAAGAATTAATTAAAAACGTTATAATATGTAGATGCATGTAGAAAAAAAATGTTACGAAACGTCTTATCAACTAAACTTTAAAGATCATTAAATGAATCATATAATACTTTATATATCCGCATTTTATGTCACTTTTGATTTTTAACCTTATTTTTATAAGAAATAACGTCATCCAAGAAATATACTTACCAAATTAAAAATATATATGTAATAAATTCATAAATCTTATGTTAACATATGGGTTGAAAATAATTATAATGCAATAAAACGATAATTCAAAATAATACTTTCTTCTTCAATTATTTATAGGTTCACCCCGTGACATAAAGAAAAACCTACTTATATTAATTTAATATAAATGATCTATTAAAATTAAAATAATTATTGGAAATGTATACAGATACTTGATTTCAATCACCAGTTTATATTCAGCGTTACTATAATAGTTAACTTAAGATAGTTAATAAATTGTATGTATTGATATATTGTTAGTCAGAAATTTACGACTGATTACTACTTTTATTCACCAATAAAAAAAATTATATTTGTAAAGATATTGTAATAAAAATCTTGAACAAAAATATACTTTTAAAAAAATACATAATAATATGACAATCATAATTATCATTTAATTACAACTGTAATCATATTATTTTTTTTATAACAGTGACGTATATCGCATTTATTCACGGTTCACTAAAGAGGACAGAACGTGCCTTCCTCTTTAAACTTACATAACTTTCGATTTGAATTTGTTTGACCTTGGGCCAAGATTATCATTTTTTCGGTTGCAGTATATTCATTTTTTTCTTCAATATTTTACGCTACAGTTTTTAATATTTTTTTAATAAGATTATATTTAATTAGGAAATCCTTTTAACATAAAAGGATTAAGGTAATAAATACATTTGTATTAAAATATAACAACTTTTTTTTTTCTTTCGTCTCGTTTTATAGATTTGTAGGTTTCTACAAACGAATTTGAATTGAATGATATTAATTTAGATACAAAGGTTATCAACAAAAATCTGACCTGTAAAGAACGTTTCTTTACTTTGAAATAACTAAATAAAATACACAATTGTGGGGATTCCGGATAACAATTGAATACAACAAAAAATAAATGAAATGGAATCAATGATGAAATATGTTAAATAGAATAATTCCTACTATTTAATATTATTACATAATGTTACGCTGTAAAAATACTGTTTCCTTATTTTCTTTGCAATAAACTATTCATTATATTTTTATTTAGATTTTCAAACATCATGCCTGTTCTTAACACAAAACAAGTTCTTGTAATCTACACGGGTGGAACTATTGGCATGACCAGGAACGAACAAGGAGGTAAATAAAACGTTAAAAATCAACAAAAAAATTTGCATAATCATATTTCAGCTTATTGTCCTTCTCCGAATAAATTCATTGAATGGATGAAGAATATTCCGGATATGCATGTCGAAAGTTTGGCCAGAGAATATTGCAAGGAAAAAATACAAACTAATACATTTGCCATTCCGTAAGTATAAAATGTTCTTGTGAGAGTTTTCTTTTTAATTAATGTTTTCTTATATTTAGTTATGAGAATCATACAGTTATAATATACACGATCGTTGAGTACAATCCGCTTTTGGATAGCAGCAATATGTCTCAGGAGAATTGGAAGCGTATCGCCAATGACATTGGGGTAATAATTACTTGATTTTCATTATTTCCTTCTTAGCTTCGAACTTGTCTGCCGCAGGAAAACTACGAAAAATACGATGGTTTTGTTGTCCTTCACGGCACGGACACTCTTCCTTACACCGCTTCAATTTTGAGTTTCATGTTGGAGAATTTGGATAAGACTGTTATAGTCACTGGGGCACAGGTATATTACACCATGATTCAAATCCAATAATAATTTCTCATAATTTTCTTTTCTTCTCTTAAGATTCCCATTTTCGAGCAGCGAAGCGATGCTAAAGACAACTTTCTTTCGTCCTTGATATTCGCGGCTATTTACCAAATTCCCGAAGTTTGCGTCTGCTTCGGGAATGTGCTTTTACGTGGAAACAGAACGATCAAATCCAGCACCGATCAACTAAAAGCATTCAGCTCTCCCAATTACAGTTTGTTGGGTAAAGTTGGCATCGAGGTTAATCGTGAGTGAAGAATCAATTTGTTATTAACAATTTACAGTTCGAATGTATTTGTTACAGTTTACATGGAACATCTACTGAAACCAGAGACGCGTAACAATTTCCACGTGAATTCTGATTTGAATGCGAACGTTACGGTCTTCAAGTTTCACCCAGCCGCAACCCCTGACATGGTGAGACATCAAAACAACTTTTTCTTTGATAAATTGTTCATTTTCATCTGCAGTTAGAAACGTGTCTAAAGAGTGATATAGACGGTGTCATTTTATTGAGCTACGGAATTGGTAACATTCCCACCAATACGAGAATCATCAAAATCCTCGAGGACGCTTTGAATCGTGGCATTATCATTGTCAATGTTACCGAATGTGTTCAAGGAACAGTGAATTCCACATACGAAACAGGAAAAGTAACAGTTGTTACCAATTAAAAACTGTAACGCAAATATTATATCAATGATGTTATAGATTTGCAAGGATATTGGTATTCTGCCTGGGTTCGACATTACCACTGAAGCAGCTTTAACAAAATTGATTTACGTTTTGGGCTTTAAAAATCTTTCTCTTGACGAAAAGAAAACTGTAAGTAAACGATACACATGGATACATATATAATTATCAATATGTAATACTTTCAGATGATGATGACAAATCTTCGTGGAGAAATATCCAAATCTTGAAAGACTTAAGTAATAAACAAATATATTTGCATTCGGCCTATGCAGATCAAAAAGAAATCTAACCATTCTTCCAAATCATTGAAATTTTAACGTGTGTTAGTGATTACATAAAGTATTTTAATTTAAGTTTTATTTGCATTGACAAAGACTTGTGTGTAAAGTAATTGATGTTACTTACTGATACTAAATTGGCCAAACAATTATGATGTAGGATATGTAAATATATATATACTAATATTTTGTCTAAACACATTTACAAATTAAATATTTTTTAATATTTTACATAAATATTGTATACTTAAAACTATCTAAAATAAATAAATTATAATATTTTACTTCTGTGTCCTTTGAAATATAATAATTCCTTTACTGTCATAACTTTGAAAACGTCTACAATTTCTTTTCACAAAAACAATATTACTAATTTAACAACTGGATTAATAGATTAATAGCATGAGTAAAATATTTAGGAGTGCCGAGATTCAATTAGTCTTTTGTTTTTCTTTCTTACAATATATTATTATTATTGAAAGTTGTAAAAGTCTATTCGCATATTAATATTGAATAATAAAATTTTACTTTAAACTAATTCAAACGCAAATCCTTTAATATCTCGAAGTACGAAAAAATGGACTTATATCACTTTCTAAAATAACGTCTCATATAACCGTTTTGATCCTTTCATAAATGATGTTTATTCATTTCGACACTTTAACATGTCTAGACATATCTAGTGAATTAAAATAATCCAAAGAACAATCCACATCGTCTTCAGCACTGTCTTGTAAATTAATAGTTTGTTGTCGAGGGATAGTGGAGATCTTTTGCCGATCAGCCAGTACAATTTCGCATCAAGCCCAGTTGCTTCCTTTTGGTTACGATATGCTTCTTCCACGTGAATCGGCGATCCAAGAACAAGCCCAAGTATTTGGAATTGTAGGCCTGTGGGATGATTTTGCAGGTTCCATTTTTTAGGACACATGATACATTCCAAGAATAGTAGTAAAATTAGGTGTTTGCTCGTCTTTGAATAAGTAGTATGGAATATGCGCAGTTAAACTTATATTTCAGTTAAGCTCAAAACATTCTGTTATTAATTCACATTTGATCAGTGACCAGCCAGTTCACATCTTTGATTGAAAAATTGTACGTATTTATTTATAATCGATTTCAAACAAGTTGATTACTCATCTTTGAATTGAAATAAAAAAAAATATTTCATAGTATATTTAATTTACAATCTTATTCCTGCGAACATATTAATTAAATCTAATGGGGGTAGACATTTGTTTTTTGGTAAACTTCCTAATGTAACTTTTTATCATTATATTCTTCTGTAATTTGTTGGTTGGCTGCCGTTCTGTTTGGTAACTTCACTATATTGTGCTCTGTGTATCTGCTGCTATCCTTAACATTGTCATTGTCCGTCGATTTGGCTGAAGGTTGAAAAATTGTACGTATTCAGTGCTAGTCGATTTCAAATCAGTTGATTACTCATCTTTGAATTTAAATGAAAATTGAATACATTTTATCTCATTTTATTAATTTCAGCATTACAGCATATTAATAAAAATATTCCAGTTAAACTAAAAACAATGACTAACCACTTTACATTTCATCATCGACTGCCAGTTCACATTGTCATTTTCAAAAGTTAACACATCTTTGATTGAAAAATTGTACGTATTTATTCATAGTCGATTTCAAATCAGTTGATTTTTCTTCTTTGTATAGAAATAAAAATTGAACACATAATATTTTATTGAATTTGAGGATGATTTTTGGATTCTGAGCTTGGCAAGTTCAAAAAATAAGATAATCGCTACACTCTCTTATCCATTAATGCCATTAAAAATGATTGGGTTCACAGTAAATAGTGGAATTAGCATATAATAATTCATATGTTTTTATTAATAAACAAATAAGATATGAGTCTATAATGACTAGTACCAACAATTTAATACAAAATATTAATCTGAGATCATTATAATGCATTCTATCGTTTTAACACTAATAAACGATGAATTTAATAATGAATTACCTATGCATGTAAAGGGTTTATAACATTAACAAATAAATATTTAACAATTGTTTAGATTCCAGGTGACAATTTCATATAAAAATAAATAAAGTGTATTCATTGCGTTTCTTATCTTGCCAATTGATAAATAGGATTATTCCTACTATTTAATAGAATTAGCTATTGTTACGTTATAAAAATTAAATTTCCTAAATATATATAATAACTTTATTGCCAATATATCTCGACAGTACAAATTTATCATATTTTATTAAGATTTGCGAACATCATGTCCGATTACATAACGAAAGAAGTTCTTGTAATCTACACGGGTGGAACTATTGGCATGACCGAGAACGAAGAAGGAGGTATATATAACGTACAAAAAAAAAACAATGTTTGTAATGTCTCATTCTAGTTTTAACTCCTTCGAATGAATTCATCGAGCGGATAAAGAATACTCCGGATTTGCATGACGAAAGTTTGGCCAGAGAATATTTCAATGAAAATATGGAAGATAATATTTTCGTGACTCGGTAAGTATAACATTTTATTGTGTATATGTTTTTAATTAATATTTCTTTTATTTAGTTCGAATGGAACAGTTATTATATATAGGATCAATGAGTACAAACCGCTCTTGGATAGCAGCAATATGTCGTTGGAGGAATGGAAGCGTATCGCCAATGACATTGGGGTAATTATGACATGATTTTCATTATTTCCTTCTTAACTTTAGAATTGTCTTCCGCAGGAAAACTATGAAAAATACGATGGTTTTGTGGTCCTCCAAGGCACTGACACTCTTACTTACACCGCGTCAAATTTGAGCTTCATGTTTGAGAATTTGGACAAGACTGTTATAGTCACTGGAGCACAGGTATAAAACACCATGATAAAAATCAAATAATAATTTCTCATAATTTTCTTTTCATCTCATCAGATTCCCATTTTCGAGAAGCGTAACGATGCTAAAGACAACTTTCTTATGTCATTGGTATATGCAGCCGTTTACCAAATTCCCGAAGTATGCGTTTACTTCGGGAATGAGCTTTTCCGTGGAAACAGAACTATCAAATTCAGTAACACACTATTGAAAGCCTTCAAGTCTCACAATTACAATTTATTGGGTGAAGTTAACATCGACGTGCATCGTAAGTGAAGCGTAAATTTGCTATTGACAATTTATAATACATATATTTCGTACAGTTTACGAGGAATATCTGCTAAAACCTATGACCCTCAATAAATTCAAAGTGAATTCTAATATCAATGCGAATGTTGATATCTTTAAGTTTCACCCACTTGTAACCCCTGATAAGGTAAGACATTAAACAATTTTTTTTTGATAAATTAATTTTTGATTTTCATCTTCAGTTAGAATCGTGCCTGAAGAGTAATATAGACGGTGTCGTTCTAATTACCTATGGAGCTGGTAACATTCCCACCAATGAAAAAATCATCCAAATCCTTAAGGACGCTGTGGAAAGTGGCATTATCATTGTTAATGTTAGCGAATGTCCTCATGGTACTGTAAATCCCACATACGAAGCAGGAAAGGTAACAACAATAAACAATTAAAAACTGTAACTCACATATTATATCAATGATGTTATAGATTTGCAAGGATATTGGTATTCTGCCTGGGTTCGACATTACCACTGAAGCAGCTTTAACAAAATTGATTTATGTTTTGGGCTTTAAAAATCTTTCTCTTGACGAAAAGAAAACTGTAAGTAAACGATACACATGGATACATATATAATTATCAATATGTAATACTTTCAGATGATGATGACAAATCTTCGTGGAGAAATAACCAAACCCTGAAAGACTTCATTTGTATTGTTTTTTTAAGATATATTTACTAATAATAATAACATTTATTGTAACAAATTATAATACATACTAAAAAAATAACATATTACAATGGGCTATTGACCATAGGTCTTTCTGCCCTATTAAGCATATTTACGATTTTTTAATATGTTACTACAAATAAATAATATTATAGATTTGTGTCGAAACATCAATTCAAATTTCATTCTTTGAATTATAACAATTCATATAAGTCATACCTCGGTTAAAGTTACCTTTGATAACGAAGCTTCGATATGCTTCAAACATTAATCAATTTCATTGAACTAAAGATTGAAGGAAAAAGGTTACTAGAAATGCAGATTTTGATGGTTAACAACGAAGTAAAAGAATCTAAAAACGAAATTAAAGCAGTTACTGTCGAGAAAATGTTAATATTTCAAGAGACTTAAAGCTTAAATAATTAATATTTTTTTATAATTGTCCTTCATGAAATTGCGATTTTTTTGAAATCTTTAGAATAAATTGAAACATTCTGATAAATTATGATACTACACTTTCTTCTTTCATTCAATGTTGAATTTTTCCAAATGAATTCATTCAGTCATTTCTGGGAGATCTTTGGTGGGAGGCTTTTGATTAGAGTTATACTTCTCATGTTATACCTTATTATAATAATACATATATTATTCAAATATTGCAAAACATATATAAACAGAAGCATTGCAAAATATAATAATATAGACAGGAGGAAAAACCTACATGTAAATAGCAAAATTGTTAGACAATGTTATCTCAATGTTATCGATTTTTTTAATTATTTGTATTTAATCAATATTAATTTAAAAATTATTAGTGCTTTGTCTGAAATAATTTCATATATTCTATTATTTTTAATCAAAAATTGCACAACTCTCTCCTTCATCACACGATCCTTAAATTATAAACAAAATTAATTCAATATTTTTGAGAAAAACTACCCAAAATTTGTACTAAAATAATATAAAAAACAAGAAAAATATAACATTCAATATTTATCATAGAGATTGAAATGTAATTAGTGTATTAATATTAAATATTTATAAAGTACAAATAATTATTTACTTATTGTTGCTATGAATAAAAAGTTATTAATTTGATATGATAACAAAATTAAAAAATATATAAGAAATAAATTTAATAAAAATACTTCAATCATTTATATTTACAGAATATTAAATAAAAACTAAATATTCGAGTTTTATTCATAAAAATGAATTCATTTATTTGGACAGAAAATAATCAATTTACATAAATATTGTCAAAATTACAAATATTTTAGGTTCCTCTGTAACAAGAAAAGTGTAACAAAATTTGATTAAAAACTTTAAAATGAGTAATGTTTACAATTTGATTAAAATAAAGTATATACGATAACGACATTATTTCAAAAATGATAAAATAATAAAATTCGCATTAAAATTAGTATAATATTGAATCATTAAATGTATATGAATGAACTGATATTTCAAACTAAGTTTATACAATTGATCGATGGTTCAAAACATTACATAAATCTAATTGCGTTTCAAGATTGTATAATTGCCACACATAATATAATTATAATTTGTTAATAATTTTGTTTCGTTAAATATATTAATTATAATTGTCTGATGAAACGTTCCATAGTTACTCAAGTAAGTAAAGAAACATTTAAAATAAATTAAGACTAAGTAATGATCATTTTACGTTAGCACTTTTTTATTATTTTATGAAAAAAGTTAGTCCCAAGTGTCTGAGTATTGAATCACTAGTCAATTGATTTTTTATTGCAGTATGTGTTAACCATCTCCAAAAATAATACTTTTCTAGAGACAAATAGTAATAGATACTCCGCAGAGATTTCGTTGAAATCGGCTAACGTGGCCATCCAATTTTGTCGCGTTTTTGCGTCCAATTTGCAAACTATGAAATGAACGAGGAACAGGTTCCAATCTTCGATTCTTTCATCGCTCCTTTTCAACTCGTCGATGGCGTCTCTGAGGATTGACGTCACCGTTTTTAGAGCTTCTTCGTTTTCTTCTTTCATTACCGGAAGCTCCACCATCCTTTGCACATGCGGCTGCATGAATAATCGCGACTTCATCGAAAACTGCTCCTTGTAGAAATTCATGTCTAGGAATTTTCCAGAAATCAGGTTCCTCGTAGACGGTCTCGTATACTTTCGTTGTTTTTTCTTCATGTGCATAATACGCATCTTTTCCAGCAACTCCGACTCCTCGTCCACTTCGTGCAATTTTCGTCCATCATGCAAATTCGATGATTCCATTTCTGTTGCCATTTTTGTTATTTTTTAATATTGCCTCTTCTGTGGTTTCAACTATACTAAATCAAAATTGGTTAAATATTAAGGAATAAAAAGATTACAATTTTCTACTTTTGATAGTTTTTTTAACCTTTCTAAAATTTAAAGAACTATTCAAATAAAACCTTTTATTTGCCTACATCGTTTCATTTTAGATATTTTTGTAAAATTTTATGAATCCAATGAAAATTTCCAAAATATTAACAAACTTATTTTCATATAAACGAAAGACTACTTCCTCTTGTTAAAGTTATTATATAATAATTTCTTGTCAGAATTTTACTAAATTAGAAGAAATAAAATTTATATATTTCAAAGAATCAAAATTTATTTCTACATTTTTACTAAAATTATGTCAGAACCAATAGACAAAATTAAGAAACTACTAATTGCAACTAATTCACTATTTTTACATAAAATAATAGTAGAATTAATGAAAGTTTACAATAATTATTTAATAACTAGAAAATCAAACTTAGAAATTGACAAGTATTGAGAAGTTTTTAAAGAATGAGCTACAAAAATGGTACGGTGACTATTTACTAATAATAAATGATACGAAAAAGCATTACACGATAATACAACAAAAATGCAAAAAAAAACATAGAGCCAGTGGAACAAGAAAAATACTTGGGAATAATAATTAACGAAAAACTAAGTTGGGATGAACACGTAAACAAACAAAAAAAAATCTTCGATGATTGGATGTGATAGAAAAGTAAAGAAATATCTCCTTGAAAAGTATAAAATAGCAATTTACCATAATGTATCTCAAGGATGTGATATGGTTTGGGGAAATACAATAAAAGAAAACATAAACACACTTCAGAAAAAGCAAATGAAACTAAAAAAAATGTTTGGAAATAATCGAGATGCATGGATGTAAAGACATTAAGAACTGCACAAACCAACATAATAATGCACAAAATAGTTCAAAAAATAATAATAATCAAATAAATTTGTTTTCAAATAGCGGCACCCACGGAACGAAATAAAACCAACATCATGTATAGAAGTTTGCTGGTCCAAAGTATTGTATAGTACAACAAGATCCCGAAAGAAATAAGATGGCAAAAGGACATTAAAAAATTTAAGATAAGAATGATGAATCTTTTACAGAATCACATTTAGTAAAACAAAAAACCAATATTGAAAAGTATAACAAAATTGTATATGTAAATAACTGAAATATATTAATGTTAAGAATAAATGATGATGAATGTAGTGGATGTTAATAAAGAAACTTTACAATTTCAGAAAGTATGTTTTATAAATTGAATTACACAAGTAATTTTTTTTTTAATATTTATTTGATTATTAGAATTTTTATCAACAATTACAAATTTACTTACTACGAATATCTATGTATAAAACAAAATGTTTGAGATAGTGCGTGTTCATTATAATTAAAGTTATTTTCTATTAATGAATATTGCTGAGTTAGTGCGTGTTGAATATAATTGAAGTTATTTTTTGTTATTAATAATTTTTATTATATTTTTTCCTAATATACGTACTGCCTCGTCATCTATCAAACACTCGTAATACTTTTCCGTGCAATTGATGCCATTCAAACCATTATCGATGGCATCCTTGAATACTGAACCATCGGCGATTTGACCTAACCATTGATTTTTTGCCATCCCGTTAATAATTGTATCCGTACTACTTGCAATACCGTTCTGTACATTCTCCTGTGCCTCTTGTACCGTCCAACAAAGCACCCTCTGAGCGCACGTAGTTGAATCAATGTTGTTTTCACTCAAAGCGCGTTCAACTTTAGAAATTGTCGACCAAAATGCAGACGCTTCGTCGTCACCTAAAAGGAGATAAATACCTAAATAATGTTACATCATTAAATCGTAGTGAGCTTCTCACATTGACAACCGCACAAAATCACGCTGTCAGTAGGTGTTTTGAAGATGTAAAAATTTTCGTGTTTGCGCGTTTTATTTTTTAAATTAGGACTTAGAAATTCAAAACGCAATGTTATATCTGGTGGAAGTTTTGGTAGACAAAATCGCATTCGCGAAACAACCTGTACCGCAGAAGAAGCAGATTATCGTGCATGCCACGTGCACAGATATCATCAACTTAGAGATCCGGACGGATGTTATGGGTGCATTAGAAACGCAGGAAAGAAGTACCAAGAGAACAGACGTCGACATCGGATGCGGAAAGTCTTTGGTCTTCTCCGCAGTGCCAGCGGTATTAAAAGAGAAACTCCAGAAATTCCCAATGGATATTTCGGTATCCACTAAACTGGAGACTATTCCCATTGGTAAAACTCATATTGAATGGAACGAGGATTTCTTGGAGATGGTGGAATCTTCAAAGGATGCTCTGGGCTATGTCTCGCCCGTGTTTACAGACTCCGTATATCCCTTGATGAACGACAAAGACACCACAGGTCAAATTCAGGTTTTCATACGGTTAATTTATTTGGGGTCGAGTATTGGGACACAGATTCAAATCATGGAAAGCAAAACTTCAGATGGTGGTACTAAGCAGCAATACTTGTTTAAAAGCGATAATAATGCGACTACATTCCAATGCGAGAAATTTGGGTTGGGAGATTCGACGGAGGTGCTTCCAATAGCCCAAATATTTGGGACCGTCGGACATGCAGCTGATAGCTTATTCCAAGATTTTGCTATAAAGACGTTGAAGTCTTACGAGAGTTTACGGCCGACCCAATCCAATACTGCTTCTTGTTTCGGAGCGGACTTCTTCAAAGAACTAATGTCAAAGAGTTCTTCCAAAGGCGGTGTTAACGATGATACGACTTCAATTAAAGACAGGGTCAACGATCTGTATATGAACTTCATGGAGCTGTACAACGATTATAGCACTTTCTCAATCAATCCGCAGAAAATGAAAATGCATTACTTCAACGAGGATTTAACTGACGATGCTTTGGATGAAAAAGAAGTTACAAAGGTGGATTATAAAACTTTGACAGTCGAGGAGATTGAGAAGAAAATCTGCAAGCATCCAGATTGTCCGGCTGCAAAGAAATTTGCTGAATACGGAATAGGTCCACTTGCAAAAACCAAAGGTCTGGGTGGAATGTTCAAAAAAGTTGAAGCTCCAATCACTTACGGCATGAGTCATGTCAATGGAAGAATAGATAATTATGGACCATTAGGAACATATTCCAGACCTAAATCGCCTAGTCAACCATTTGTACCTAAGAAAGATCCTTCGGTAGCATCAACTACTTCAACGGAAGGGTCTGAACCAATGAGATTATCAGGAGGTGGTATAATTCAAGAATACAAACCCTTAAGACTAACTGGAGGTGGTCCAGTAATGAACGATGACGGTATACCAAACCCTATCCATGCCTGCCAAGATCTGATGGAGGAATTTAATAAATTGCTAAGTGATTACAAAAGTGCGTTAGGACCTTGTGGTATGGCCACGTGTCCTCTAGCGCCTAATCTCACTGCTAATGCTTGCAAAATATTATGCGAGGGCCCACCGAAAGACTGCACTGCTGAAGAATGCGAAAATAACTCTCCCGTACGATCACTCGTTGATAATATGTCCACCGATTCCGACCACATTTCTGGTTGCGCAATCTCAGATTGCGCTTACAAGAGAGAAATAATCACTCCAGCTGATAAAGATTTTAAAAAATCCCAATTTAGACCAGGCTGCCAATCGCCGCATTGTCCGTTCCAGAAGGATAAACTAGGTATAGAGTCGCAGGAAAACGTTCTTAACTTTAAACCTTGTGCTGGTGAAAAATGCCCATTCAAAGTACCCGATGTTTTGCCACCGATACATTGGGATTGTCCTGATCCTTTGCCAGAGGGGAAATGCAAAAATCCCTGTTGTCCGTATGTCAGAAAAGAGGATATCTGCAATAAATACTTTCCACCTCCGAAATCTCCGTGCGATAATCCTACATGCCCTTTCGCAACTGTACCTTGCACATACCCAGGATGCCCATTTGCTGAACCAGAACCTTGTCCTCCGGTTTGTCCATATTCCAGTCCAGTTCCAGAGAAATTAGTTTGTACACCATCGGTCTGTCCGTACGCAAGAATAGACTCATCGTTAGATTGCAAAAGAGACTCATGTCCATATCAACCGGCTAAAAAGGAATGCGGCCCAAAAAAACCGCCACCTAGTTGCTTCCCTTCTGAACCAGAAACGTGCGCAAATCCATCCTGCCCATTTGCAAAACCAGCAAAAAAAGAATGCTGTCCCCCGAAACAGGAACCGGAAACCTGCGACAATCCATCTTGTCCATTTGCTAAACCCAAAAACGATTGCGGTCCTCCAAAGTCACCGCCATGTTGCATGCCAGAGCCTGAACCTGATGTGTGCGAGAATCCGAATTGTCCATTCGCAAAGAAGAATGTTTCAGATACATGCTCTAATCCATCTTGTCCCTTTGCAAAGAAACCCGAGTGTCCACCAAAGAAAAGCAAGAACGAGAATTGTGGAAATCCATCGTGCCCTTATGTGAAGTACAAGAAAGCATCTTTGGAAGACTGTCCGAATCCAAAATGTCCGTTTAGTCCCAATGCAAAACCGAAGCCCAAATCGTGTGGAAATGGTGATGCGAGTTCTCGAAGCATCCCACAGGATTGCAACAATCCGTCTTGCCCGTATGTCAAGGTCAGAATGATCAAAGAAGCCCAGAAGAAAAATGAAAGCAATGACACGATCTGCGAGAATCCAGCATGCCCATTTGCAAAAGCGCAAGTTTTGAAAGCTGCGTTGGACTGCGAAAATCCCGAATGTCCTTATGCCAAAATGGCAAAAAAATTAAACAATGGATCTAGTGAAATGGAATGTGATAATCCGACGTGCCCTTATAAGCTCGCAATTCAAAACGAATGTGACGAAGAATGCGTATCTTCCACAACTGAAGAAACTGATGATAATCAAGCCGACGAGTGCAGTATGCTAAGTTGCGATAACGATACTTGTCCTTTTGGTAAGAATCAGGCACACGGGAGAAAGTCCCTAAATGAAAAGCAGGAACGTAAGAAGAGCGAAGTCGGAGCAGGCGATCGGTCCACCAATAATATTCATCATAAAGATAGTAAATCGGCCGGAAATGGATCTGGGGCTGGACCAGGTGGCGGTACTCCCCCTAAAGATACAACCAAAACAGAAGAAAAGAAAGAGAAGAAGAAGAGGAAAAGGAAACACAAGAGGAGGAAAGGTGCTAAATACAGTTATGATAAAGGTACATATTATCCAGGGAATAAAGTTGGTCACAAGGAATGTATTATACCCAAGTTTAATGTTCCACATGACATGGGTTGGCTATGGAATATTCATACAAAATGCATGACACTCAGGGTAATACTTTCATCTTATTTAATTATTATATTATATTTAATTCTATAATATATTTAGCCAAGATTGGGATGGAAGCCTGGAGCAATTGGAAGAACGATAGCAGCAAGAATCGACGAGCATCGAAAAAAATATGGAATGAAACTTATATCCAAACCGAAAACAGCGACTAAAGGAAAGAAGAGACGCAAAGGTCCTGACGGAAAAGAATATTACTCCGACAGCGACGAAGATGTGCCGCCAAAACCTACTTTGCTAGTAAAGAAGAAAGATGGAGTGGTTTACGTTACAATGAATCCGCTGAAAGGTATTGAATGAAATGGATTATGAAATACATTTCATACATTTTGATTGATTTTGATTTCAGATCCTAAGACTTTGGAGGACAACGAAAATCCTTATATGGACTGTTCTCCGATGCAATTTAAAATTACAAAGAACAAACCACCCAAAAACGAGGAATTTAAGATGTGTTACTGCGGCGACGATGAAAATGAAGAGGCTGTGTCTGTTTCTAGCACGTCCAGCAGCGAATTGGATATCGAATTTACTCCACCGGCTGGTATAATCCATCCAGACAGATTAAAACGTAAGAAACCTGTCTGCCACACGGACACTCAATACAATCCTGATGACATTCCAAAGGATAAGAAAGAAAAGAAAGATAAGAAGGGTAAAAAAGGTAAAAAGGGGAAAGGAAAGAAGAAAAAGTGAATAATGTAATCAAATTTGGTGATGTAATAAATGAAATGATTCTCCTGCAACTTACTTCTTTCCCTTTGAAAACTGTTGTGTTTATTGAATAAACTGTACGTTGCTGGGACCACTATAGCTGCACCAAATGCCATCATTCCTGCTAGTACTATGGCTCCTATATTGATGTTTGCCATTGCTCCGTTTACCAAACCAGCTGCCGGTTTCACTGGAATGCTTAAAAATGGTACGGAAAATTCCAATTCCACCTACAAATTATTTGGTAGTGTGATAGAACTAAATATAAAATATCGTACGTGAATTTTTCCGTCTTCTTCGGTGTTGAAAGATAACAAACGGTTTTGTTTTTTCGCGAAAGATTCACTCATCCTGGGATACTTGAGCGTTGAATTATCTCCAGCTGCAATATTTATTACAAGCAATGGAAATAATATTATCCAGAGCATTGTGTAGGGTTTGGAAATACTCAAAACTAAAACTTGGTATATCTGGTGCATATGTAAGCACAGGTGTTAGTTGACAGAGTTTTTAGAAATAACTGAGAGTTTTCATGAAGTATGGTTCTATATTTAATGCACATATTATCACATTAGAAATCTTCGTGGGTGGCGCTTATGCAAAAAATAATAATCGTCACGGTATAAAGTGCATTGTAGTTCATTACGTGGTTAACGCCTTTGTACAATGGGGAAAGTCACAAGTTATAAGAATATCTATCATATTGTTCAATAACTGAAACAACCAGATTACCGGAAATTATTACATTATCCTGGATAAAAAAAATGTTTATATTTCAAACATTTAAAATAGAAAGAAGGACTACGAAAGAAAAAGGTTTTTGGATAAAAATAGTAACATGTTAAATTTTTAAGAAATTTGATAAAAGCTTTTAAAAAGTTATATTTATTTTTGTACACTTTTTTATTTGTCTTATTTTGGACCAAATGGTTATGGACAAAAAGTTATGAAATTCAATTGAGTTACCGTATTTTTCAGACTTTAATACTCACATTTCACATAAATATTTCAATAATTGGGATACATTGTCTTTTATGGAATAATAATATTGCAAGAAAATATCAAAATATAAACTTAACAAAATAACAAAAAAAAAACTAAATTAAATTGCTGTAAATGTTATATGTAGAAATATATATTTAAATTGTTTTATAAATATGTGGCATATTTTATAGTCAGATACATCTTATCGTTAAAAGAAGAGAATACTTTCCAAAATTTTAAATGATATTACTTCTTAAAAGTTAAAAACAAAATAATTAAAGCAATTAGTTTCAATTGCAAGCATCGATTAACCTGAGGAAGAGAGAAAGAAATACTGAGTAAATGAAACAATAGATCATTTTGTAGAAATGTTGTTTTAGACAGGAGAGAAAAAAGGTAGTTAAAAATTTGCGGTCACAATTTTATAAAATTACGGACACATATGAAAGTGAAGACGACTCCGTGTCGAAACTGAAGACATTGTCCATTGTCTCAAATGCACTGCACTGTGACAAACGCCTAGTATAAATAGTAACATGCGGCATAGCTTCTACATCATTTCCGAATATCTCGTCTATTCAAAATCACCTCACAAAACAAATATGAATACTATGTACGTTTTCATGTTCTGCTGTATCGTTGGAGTTCTCGGCTCGCCGAAGAAGTATTTACCTGAGGAAGGGTAAGTTTTGAGTAATTAACTAGAACAAAAATCAAATTTTAATTTTAATCAATTTCAGTGGATTCCAACCGAGTCAATTAAGGTATTACGAGTCACAATTACCCTCCTCCGCTCCAAACGTCTCAGAGAAGCAAGCTAAAGAAGCGAAGGAATCCAGGTTTGGAATTAGTTCTTTCGGGAACACTGGAAGCGGTGTGCAGTTCGGAAATAGTAATGGAGTTGGATATGGAATGACTCCGATGAAAATCGACATCGGTGGTATTGCTTTAGGTGCCTTGATTGGTCTTGGTGCTATCCTCATTGTACCCAAATTAGCACATGTGTTTTCATCTGGAGGATACGGCTACAGAAGTAAATATAATTGTAAATTAAAACAAATCATACTTAACATTTTCTTCAATAGGTCTCGAAAATGACATGTCCTCAATCACTGACATTTTGGCTAGGGTCGATAACTCTTTAGAACAACACAACATCGACAGCAGTTCTTGTATGCAAAGGATAATTTGTTCTTACGTGCACGAGGCTCAGAACAACATGCAGAAAGGAGAGGCGAATACTGTAGATCAATTGGTATATGCGATATCAAAGCAAGTTTCATTTTCATATGATTTTTGAACCTAAAATGTAATAAGTAATTAATTTCAGTAATTCGCTGTTTTCATATCTTCTGGATGGTTCATCAATCAAACAAGCCATTGATATGGGAAAGCAAACTGATCTACAAAAGTGCGCTGCTCTTTACATGAAGTGTCCTGTTAGCAAAGAAAACGTTATGCAAATTATTGGAACTCTGCTGCCAGCTTAGAAATTACCAAATTATATATATATATATCTGTAATAGAAAATTTTCTGAAATAAACACTGATTATATTCTGTAAATTCTCGAATCATGATTTGAATATGTATTGTTGATAAATAAATTTTATTTGTATTTCATATTTATTTTGATTCATTTATTATGTTGAAATGTATAATAAAATAACTAACGTATACTATTCATTTATAAAATAATATACTATTTATTATTTAAATGTATATGCCATTCATGCATTCCATTTTAAAAGTACCATTTCTTCATCGCACTAAGCTCTCATCTAAGAGAGCGCTCATACATTTAGCTTTGTCTTGTCGATGCCGTACGCCAGTTACATGTGCGGTAACTATACGAATTGGACGTAAGCGAGTCCAGGCTGAGGTCTCTGCAAAACCAGTGGCTCATAAAGGATTCATGAGTCTGGAAAACTTCGGCCTGATATCTCTTTAGTGGTAATGGTGCTGGGAGTAAAGTAAATGAACTGAGCGAGGACACAAATATAGATGCACTTAAACAAATAACACTTCACTGCACGAAAAAGCGTAGGAAGAATGTTTTACATCACTGAGGGGTTGCGTAGGAATGTTTTTTAAAGTCTTGGAGAAGTTGTGTTAATGTGGGGTCGTTGGAGTTAGCGTAGTACGCCAGCACGGCAGGGGGGTGAGTGATTTTTTCCTTTGAAACTTTGGAAAATGTTGCCCCTAAAGGGTGTTTGAAGAGTGAGAGGGTGGGGTGATCTTGAAGGGCTATGCGTGAAACAAGTCGGCCTTGGAGTTTTTGTTTATGTATTCAAGGATGTTTGGGAAGGTGACCAGGTTATAGAGGGTGGAAGAGAGGTGTCGCTAGTGAAGGCGAAGGATTTTGCGGATGCATTTGCGTTCAAACTGAAGAATTCTTTTTAGTTGTCTGAGGGGAGCAATGGTGTAGTATGTTATGGGGTAAGTGAGGATAGGGCGGATGAAAACATGGTGATGGCGAGGGGTTGGGAGGAGCGGATTCTGGGGTGGTGGAATGTGATGAGTTGGGATTTGGAGGGATTGGGTTTGATCTGCCTCATCCAGGACTCCAAGGTGCGGCTGCAGACTTGGAGCTTCCTGATAGCGATGGGGGCAAATCGGTGAGAGGACCAGATGACAGGCCAAGCCTTTTTGGCCAAGTAAAGGTATGCCCTTTCTGATCGAAGCATACAACATAATGAACCGATGGGAATACCTGATATATAATTCGTCGATTCAAGACTATTTTAATTTGTCTGTAAATGTTTGTTTTAAAAAGTGGAACAGGGTCGATTTTATGAAAACATGTAATGATAATATCCCAATGCAACAAATCACTCTAAGTTTCCTTTTATTTGTATATCTGAGTGTGGGTACATTTCATCATTGTCCTCAATATTTTTTTCGCCAGAGTTATACGCCATTTATAGGGCTATGATCTTTTGGATTCAAAAAGTGCGATGGATGAAATTGAATCCACACTGAATTCAGAGAAGAATAATTTTATTATATTTAAATTTAAGGCTTACTGGGTATAATGGAAATACCAAGCACGAAAACTTCATTCTGCTGGATACCGGGACTCTAGCCAGTGAGAAGTATAATGATGCAGTTTACTGGATATACCGATTTCTATCCAATTGTTATCAAGGATATATGCGAAAAGTGGCAATACATATACAATAACGGATCAACTAATAAAGGGAAAAGATACTGTCGTGTACCGGGATGGAATATCTCTGGACACCGTGGAATAATTTGTAGTATTGTCGATGTGTCCTAGTGGGTTTTATGGAAGAGTCTAGATTAAAGTCAGTGTAATAATAGTATTTATTTAACATTTAGATGCTTCAGTGTCGTGATCTAGCTTTCAGTTGCTACAAGCATAGGTTGCTGGTCAAGAGTATTATCAAATTAGAACTATTACTCGTCGTCTTATATATAAGAAGACGTACTGGATGCGGAGTAATATTCTAAGGGGCTAATTTGCCAAGTGTAATGTTTTATTAGCGTAAAGTAAATATTTGAAAAAGTTTGAAAATATTCCGATTGGTTTCCGATTTTATACGAAATCTTCTTCTCTCCTAACTGTGGTGATTATGGTACTGCCAACTCTCTTGAGAAATATTCTATCCACTTAACCCCTCCCTGGTGGTCCAGCATATGAGTAGTCCGTCATATGCATATTCCTAACATATCCACTTAACCCCCCTCCTAGACCGACTCAGACCCAGACCTGAATTTAATATGGGTGTATGCAACCATACACTCATGTGGTTATTTTGTAAATAACTTTAATTAGCACAGTATAATGATTCTTAGTGGTCATTTTGAAATATTTATGAAGTATAATATGTAATTAATATATTGAATTAGCAATTCTTCACAGTTGACAGCTTAATTGGAGCATAAGTATTGGATCTGGCTGGGGTATAAGTCACTAGTTAATAAATTCGCCACTTTTTCACACTGCTTTCACAACAACTGACTGACCATACCAAATTAACAAAAATAAATATTGCTGTCAGATACGTGTCCGCCTGCATATCAAATAAACAAAAATTTTTGTTATATTTTTTAAAATTGTTTTAGGTAGACAAAATGGGTCTGTGCAAGTGTCCCAAAAGACGCGTCACGAATCAATTTTGCTTCGAGCACAGGGTGAACGTTTGCGAACATTGCATGGTATCAAATCATGCAAAAGTAAGTCAAATATTGTATGTCTAATTGAATTTGATTAATGTAAGCAATGTAACGTTTTAGTGCATCATTCAATCCTACCTTCACTGGCTGCAAGATAGTGATTACAATCCAATTTGTGAATTGTGCTCCAAAGAATTACATTCTGAAGATTGCATCAGGCTGAGCTGTTATCGTAAGCATTTTGAATTAGTTATATTGTTAAATTTGATTGATTGTTGAATTGCAGATGTTTTCCATTGGGCTTGTTTGGATAAGTATTCAAGGCAGCTGCCTGCCACAACAGCTCCAGCAGGGTATAGATGCCCTAGTTGTGGGACTCCACTCTTTCCACCATCAAATATGGTTAGCCCAGTTGCTGATGTCCTTAGGGAAAAGTTAGCTGGTGTGAATTGGGCTAGAGCTGGACTAGGTTTACCATTGGTAAATAAAATTACAAAACCTTTTACATAGCAAGATTTTTTTTTTAATTTTTAGTTATCTGAAGATAGAGAAATTAAACCGATTTTATCAAATAACGCTAATAACCATACAGCCGTTTCAACGCAAAATGCGCCTCCTCCTTATTCAGTTGTTCATTTTGAAGATCAAGTTATAAATAGGGATAAAACTGAGGTGTATCAGACTGCTAGAAGAGTGTTCCAGGATATAAGAGAAAACAGGGGCACGACATTTGATCATGACGATGATAAATATAAACGTAGACCCGCTTCAGAGTGGATTAGGCGTTGGTGGAAGTAAGATAAAAGCTTAATCTGTTTTATATTGAACTTTAATTTGTAATGAGTGATTGCATGTTTATAGGAATTCTATGGGCCATCCACAGAAGCATAGGTCTCCATTTAGACGTTACTTCATGTTAATATTTATTATTGTTATGGGAATCCTAGTCCTGTTGGTGACTATGTCAAGATTAGGACACCATTATACTGATAACGATGCATCTTTAGACATTATGAACGAGCCGAACATCCACGTCCAAGCCGATACGAAATTATAATAATAATCATTGGAAAATAATAGCATTGTAAATATACACATGATTATTTTATCAAATCGAGGAATATTTATATTACTTCTAGAATGCTTCTCGGTTGATGCAAAACGAAATATGTAATAATCACTAAGCGACATAACTAAAATTGTTTTTTTTATAGTCAACTAAGTTAATTCAAAATGAAAACCCATTCCTGTTTGTATTGTATATTATATTAATGTAAGAATTAAAATGAATGTCTTTGAATTTTAGAAGATTATTTATTTTCAGTCGTTTTTATTTTTTCATTTCAGAGATGAGATCAATAGAGATCGTATTCGGTGTAGTCTTCAGGCCTTTCGAAAGCCGGCATCATTATAAATTTATTTACAAGATAATCCCTAATGAAGTACGGACTGTATTTGAAGAAGAAATGGTAATATTTGTATCTCATGGGTTCAACTATGTACAGTGCTTTGGGATGTTGAGCGATCAGCGCGTTCTCGAAATTCTCGTATAAGTCTTTCATGTAAATTTTCCCTGGTTGCTTTATCATAGCTGATATTGCACATAGGTAAGAGTTGTACTTTTTAAAGTAAATTCCGTAAAACTTTTCTTGCTCTGACGTGAACGCACTTCGCATTTCTTCAGAATGATCATGTTGCTTCAGCATAATATTGCTTTGGAACGGAAATGATCCGGGCACGAATGAAACAACCCGAACCCCGTATTTGGCTAATTCAACTCGGATCCCATCGCTGAAAGCGTAAATTCCCGCCTTTGTGGCACCATACACTGCTAATCCAGGAAGGGTGGCAAGAGCGCAATGACTAACAACATTTATTAGACGACCTGCAAGAAAACTCACGTAACATCACAATTGAATAAAGTAAACAAGTAACACATACTTTTATGTTTTCGTAATAGTGGAGAAATAGCTTTAGTGACTTGCATTGTTCCCAATAAGTTCACATTGATTTGTTGTTGAATTAGGTTGTTAGTCAACCATTCAAATTCTCCAAATATCATAACACCAGCATTATTAATAACACACCAAAGCTCTAAAATGTAATACATTTAAATTGTAATCAATATTAAGTTTTAAAAAAACTCACCATTATTTTTATCTTCTGTTAAAACGTCGTGAATGAATTGCATCGCATTTTCAATGCTCTGATTCTGAGTCACATCAAGTTTAAAACAAATTAAGCCCTGCTTCTGATGTGAGGCCAAAATGCATGCACCCTCCGATTCCAAATTTAAACATCCTGCAAGAACACTGAAACCCATCTCACTAGCATGCAGTGCCAATGAGAATCCCAATCCAGAATCACATCCTGTTATAACAATAAATTTCTTTCTATCTGGCATGCATAGCTCATTTGTTCGGAAAGCAAATAGAAGACTAGCTATAGTTAAAGATACAATAATCGATGTACCAAAGAATCTATTGTGCTTCAGTCCATGATTTGCCAATATTGCAATGCCCCAAATGCCAGATCCTACAGCTATAAACAGCTCATTGGTGATTTCGAACGCTGTCCGCGCGGCCTTCGTCAGAGTTACCCCCATCGTTTATTTTATGCAATTAACAAAATTTCATGCTAGTTCTTAAACAAAATTTTAAATTAATAAACTTATCAAATATCTGTCATGTCTGACAACTTTGCTTACCTTTTCGACGCGTAAATTGATGATTATGTAAAAATTCTATAATAGATTTTGGTGAAATATTACTTAACCTATTGGGGGTTTGATCATGGTAATGCGAGGTAATAATTTCGAATTCCAATAGCTGTTATATGCAATCACAAAACCATTGTATTAGATCCGGCTCAAGGAAAACGTTCTTTAAACATTGCGATTTAATGTTTTAAATAAAAAAGAAGCAACTTGTTGAGGACCTACAACAACAAACCAACCAAAATATGTGACCTCTAAAGAATGATAAAGATTATTATCGGAAATAATACTAACGAAATCGTAGGAGTGGGAAGAAGATACTTTCCAATGAATTTTTGTGTTCATTTCAAAGTTTTATCAGTACGCATAATACAAATATAAATATATTTGTATCATCATCATTATGGATACATTATCATTTATACTTATTTATGAATACTAGAACAACTGACTGGAAAAGCGCTTAATGTGAATATTTTTATTATGTGAACATTTCCAGGAAAACAACCAATCATATAGATTGTATGTTTACTCGGTACCTGATTTTTTTTCTTCCCTGTCTGATATGGAAATGGTCTAAATCTAAAAACCATACTTATTGGTTTGCAATCTTTCTGTATCTACACGAAATTATCGCTACAGATGACAATTTCGTTGATTCGATAGAACAAAATTAGTTTATATTTTTAGGAAATAGTTTATAAAAATTCGGTTTGAACGTCCTAAAATAGCAATTAAACAAAAGAAAATACAACTACATTATAATTTATTTCTCTAAATGAATTAGTAACAATCACTAATTATTCAATTATGTGACAGTGACCATGGTATTATTTTTTTATAAATCTAAACTATGAATTGAATTAATCTAGCGATTGGGAATCGCTACTGTCGTAGTCTTGTTTCGCTAACACGCATTGATTTGATTCTACCTTCTTTCTCTTATGTTTGCTTTGTTGATTATCTTTAACGTTATTATATTTCTCCAGATTTTGACTCTTTGAATTCTCTTCCAAAATCGAATCGTTCGAACATTTACAGTCCATTGACATGCTGGAACTATTCTTATTCAAGTCAATTCTACTTTTGTATCTGAAGACTTGCTTGAGCTTCACATACCCTTTCTTCCCGAGGAAATTTAAACCCGTCTTGGTTCGGATCACAGGTAGCTTTACGTCTTCTTCAGGCGTCGATTTTAAAGTCAAACAGTTATCTGTCGTTTGCGATGGGAGCTTGGGCAAACTTTCAATTTGACTTGGCATGTCCGGCTCTGCAATTGATTCATCTAAAGTCTCTTCAGTTTTGGCTTCTTCGTCCAGGTTATTATCCTCTTCGACAATGTTTGATAAATCTTCAAATTTCTCTTGCTGAATGCATTGAGGTATTATTGGTATGACGGGCAAATAGTCCAACAGATTTACGTCGTCAAAATTGTTCAGACTACAACCACATTTAGACTTCTTCTCGTCTTCCTCTTTAATATTATCTAAAATTGGTTTATAATTTGGACTAGCAGTGTACGAAGAATCTTTCATTACTGAACTAGAACCTGAGACGTATCCAGAGCTTATGCTACTTACTTTATCGAAGCAATGGGACGTCTGAGCCTGGGAATTGTCTTTAATTTTGATATTATACGATTCATCATTGGACGATTCACTTATTGGCGATGCGTCACTATGTTTGGAACTGTTAACTGTTGGGAATTGGACAGATTCGTCCATTAGATTATTTACAATTTGTGCGGCTTCAACAAGTCCGTCATTTGTATTATATTTGCAATTGCAAGGACTCTTGCTAGCGTTATCTAGCATTTTTTCTAAATCTTCCAACGTGTATTTACCTAATATATTTCCAATATTTGAGAATATCTTATCGGTTGTGCTGTTCTCATTATCCGGCACTGATTCAGACGTAGGTTCCACTGTTGTTTCATCGACAGGTACAGTTTTTTTGCTGCACTTACCTTTCCTGCAAGCGCTTTTAGTCACTGATTTCTCTGTAGTTATTAAGCTCTCACTTTCAGATGTACTAGGTAATTCATCCAGATGGTTTATTGTAAATGGATTTTTATGAAACGTTCCACTTGTGTGAGTGCATTGACTGTTTTCAATGACTGATTTATCAAGTGTATCAAACATAGCTGAGAATTCTTTACTATTGGTAGGTATTTTGGTTGGTTTTAAATCATCCATATAATCTGAAAGTTGTTTACAGTTGGTACATTTTTCTTTTATTTGGTAATCATTCTGAAGCACTTTCGGCACAATATTATATTTTTTCCCGGTCAATGGACTGCTGAATATAGGATCCAAAAATAATGGACTCGGATTTATCTGGCCGTAAAGAACATTGTACATTTGTTCTTTAGGACAACTTTGCTCGTGCTGCGTAGATGAGCTTTTATAAATTTTAGTTTTTTCCCCTACTTGGCTCTTAGTCGAGTGATTGTTGGGAATTCGTGATTGTTGATATAATTGCTGTTTCCTCTTTTTACAACAGCGGCAACGACATTTACATTTTTCTGTTTGCGTTCCATTTGTCTTCATGTCATTAGCATTTTGAACAGTTTGGGCAAACGTCGAGTTGCAACATTTTTTAGGGTCTTTGTTTTCACAGCAGCAGCAACAGCAGCAACAATCCTCTTCATCTTCAGTGATATATTCCATCGGGTAATATTCTTCCGGCATAAAACTTGGCAGTTTACCTGATACGACTGGAAATTGTCTATCATCTTCGTTCATTACTTCAATAGGAAACTGAACCTCATAGGGATATGTTTGTTGACCAAAATCTGATCTACGAAAGCTATTTATTCTCCTGCGGATGTAACAATAAGCCCGGTTTGCCCAGGATCTGCGCCTTCTTCGACCATATTTACAGCAATAATTCCGTGCTCTACAGCCGTGGCAACCATCGCATTCACAACAAGAACAATCATTCCTAAAGAATCCAAAGAGTGAGGAGAAATATTTGTTTCTTAAATAAATAATTTACGTGTGATGTTGATGCGGGCACGGACATTCACCATATCTCCAATCTCTTGGATATTGCCTGTCTTGATGCCAGTATCTTGCATTATTTGGTGGATACGCTGAATCTGGATGAGATTGTACATACAAATTGTCTAACACTTTAGCAGGATGGTGGTTTCGTTCATAATGAGTACGGTATTGCGGTTCATTGATGACCCTCGGATGTCCCTGTCTGGAAAATTCTTGATCTATTCTGGAACCTTCGTTCCTTCTACGAACTCTGCTCATCCACTCCGTATTGCTGTATTCCCGTATTGGAGCCATTCTGCTACCATTGGCATTTACTCTGTTTACATACTGATCTTCGAATCTGTTCATGATTATATAGCCTGGATCTAGGGTTTGAACACTTTGGCACCTAAACACCGGTAAAGTATTTGAGCACTTCTGGCAGACGCGTTTCGATCTTAAACGCTCCAAAATTGGTTCAGTCTGATTTTTAATTTTTTCTAGAGATGTACTGGTCAGGTGAGAAATCCCTTTCAAAACGGTCTCGAACGGATGGAAATTGTAATTGAAAACCTTATAATTTTCGTAACTAAAATTTTGACTGTACCACTGTTTATCAACGGTGTCACTGGAAACTTTCAAATTCGAATGTTTACTTTTATTATACTTAATTATTGTCCTCGAAGGGTCTATTATGACCATCAAACCAAAACCAAAATGTTCCGAAGAATTTTGAAAGTGAGCCCATCCAAAAGAAGAAAATTATTCTAGGACTAATGCTCTCGACCCCACCCCCAATATTGACAGTGACATAACAAGTTGATTTTGATATGATACCCATTATTTATTGTTTATTATTATATTTCCGAACAGTTTTTGTGTTTGAACCTTCCAATCTTATTGGATTATCGTGCTACCAGTGTGACTCGAAATTGAATAAAAGCTGTTATTTTGACATTGCCAAAGAAGAGGAAAAACTTGATATGCTATTGCAGTGTCCCACAGATTGCGATTATTGTTTGAAGAAAGTAACAAGTTTGGATGAAAGTATAGTTCGAATGGAAAGAGCATGTTCAACAGGATTTGATGATAATAACGATTCCATCAGACCTGGCTGTATGATTACAGATAATGTAGCTATATGCGCATGCAAAGATAACTTATGTAATTTAGTTGATAGTAACACAATATCTAGAACAATATTAATAATTATAATAATATTACATTCAATCGAACTGTTCAAAAATTTATTCATGTTTGATTTCTTTCTATGTTAATAAAACAAAATAGGGTTTAAAATATTTTTGTTAAAGTTGAATAAAAAAAACAAACAATAACAATGTAGTTGATGTGGTGCTTATTACATGTATCTAAAGTTATCTACCCATTATCTACTTAGAAAAGTTGCTACCAACATAATAAGCATATACAACAAAATCTAGCATTTCAATATTATTATTTTAGGTTAGAGTGTTTGGAGGTTAATTTTTTAGATTAAAATAAAGGATTTTGAATTGGAATCGAAATGTCGAAAGCAGGAGCCAAGTTGAAGGCTGTAAAAAAGGTCGTGGATAAGATCCAACACGGCCATCTTCGGACAAATATAGCGGCTGGTTTAGCTGCTGCTGGTCCCCCATTGGGTCCAATGTTGGGACAAGTAATTTACTATAAATTAGTATTTAAATTTACAATAAGAATGTGTATTTTTAGCGGGGTATCAATATAGCTGCTTTCTGTAAGGATTTTAATGAGAGGACAAAAGACATTAAAGAAGGTATTCCCTTACCTTGTCGAGCTGTAGTGAATCCTGACAGAAGTTATGATATTTCTATAAATAAACCCCCAGTAATATTTTTCTTGAAACAAGCAGCAGGTATACAAAGAGCAGCCATGAATCCAGGTAGACCACTTATATACTTCTTTGTTACCAATTAATATATAATAACTTGTTATTCTAGGCAATGAAGTTGCTGGTAAAGTCACCTTAAGGCATATTTATGAAATAGCTGCAATTAAGAAGGAAGATCCTTCTCTTGAGATAAAATCCATGGAAGAACTATGCAACATGATTATTGGTGTAGCCAATTCGTGTGGGATTAAAGTAGTAAAGGACTTGGATGCAAATGAATATGGAGAATTCTTAGCTGAAAGGAAACTTATAGTTGAGCAACAGAAGAAGGAACTGCAAGAAAAGAAAGAAGCTAAAATGTTGAGGACAGGATAATTGTTTATGGTAAGTATAAATTTAATTTAAACAAAAATTACATGTTAACATTCATATTCATATTTTTTCTATCTTTTGATAATTGCTTCTTAGTTTTCTTCTCAATATGTTTCTGGAGCTTATTTGTCTTCTTCAAGTTTTCATATTTCTCAACTAAACTTTCAACGCGTTTTTCAGCTATAACAAAGAAAACATTTTAAATACAAACTTCTTTATGTTACTCAATTTTAACTTACATTTCTTTTTGTAGATTGGTTTCTCTCCTTTTTGTATTTTATCTTGATTTTCTAATTTTTGTTGCCACAATTTTTCCTTTTCTCTATTTTCATGTTCCCTTGCTCTCACTTGGTTATCCTAAATAACAAAAAATATAATAATTTAATATAGAATGGATTAAAATTATATGTAAATAACATACCAATCTCTCAATTAATAATTTGATTGTTTTTCTTCTTTTAGGATCTTCAGTGTCTTCTAACTCCTTCACCAGTGTATCTTTTTCATTTTTCTTAATTTCATTAACAAATTCATAATTGCTCTTAAAGTGTTCCTTGTTAAACTCTCCACACAGTGGATCAAATCTTGGATCTCTAAAAGTCACATCTTTGGCTTTAGCTGTGACTGGTTTAGATCTTGGTTTAATTTTTGAGCTCATCTCTGAGGGTCGATTCTTGTTTCCTCTACTGAAAGTTTTCTTCTTTCTTCCTGAACCACCTTCAAAAATCGTTTTATTGTATAACTTTGATCCCATCTCCTCTTTCAGCTTCAGCAAATCTGCAAAGCTCATTGTTGACAATTCCTCTTTTATCTTTTCCTGTAAGTTTTACTTTAACATTTTTATATAAAATTAATTAATTGTTACTTACTCTATCCTTAGTTTCGGATTCGTTTTCGCTGGCTTCTTGCATAACTTCATTTTCTGAATGCTCCGATTCAGAACTTGTTCCTTCGTTGTCAGACATCGTGAATGTATGTTGATTTTATTTTGAGGTTATGTTATGTTTGATTTAAAGCTCATGCTTTTCTTGCCGATAATGAAGAAATCTTTAATTCGAATTTTGAAAGAAGTTTTCTTAATTATTAGAAATGAAACAATGTTATTGTTGTAAGATGCTGAACAATATTTATATTTAATTGTATTTAAATAATTGTTTCCTTGTAAATGTTTATTTAAATTCGTAATTAACTATTTATAGTAGTCGTCCTTGCACTTGACAGATAGTCCTGACATAACCTCAAATTGTTTAATTTACACTTGCTCTACCATGGATAAACCGACTGTACTTCAAAGATTTGTTAAGTTCTGTAATAGCAATGTTGTATTGATAAGTGGCGGTGCTTTGATAGTTTCGATACATTGGACTTGGTACATGATACAGAATACAAAACTGGTGTCGGAAGAGAAGAGGAAGGATTTCCCATTTATAATTGTATTTTTATATAATAGTTGCTTCATTGAATGTAATAGCACTTATGGTTTTTCTGTTGCAGGCCGCCAAGTACCTTAAAAACAGATTTATTGGAGATGTATCACTTTTCCAAAATACATCAACCACATCTATAACTGATATTAAGGACAAGAAACCTGCCTAACCAGAAACAGTTTGTAGTGATTTGTACATAATTTAAGTAGACATCTTTGAATAAATGTTTAGAAATGCTTTATGTCTATTTATTATAAAGTTAATTAGAAAGTAAAGAAAATGCTGACTTAACTAAATAATCTTAATAAATTTTATTTGATAAAAGTAAAATATTCAAGCATGTGTTTTTTAAGGAGCTGGATTTCGTTGTTTTTTTTTGACAAATTAATGATAATGATTTCTTAAAAACATTAAAATTTTATTTACACACCAAATTACTTTTTGTTCTCTCATTTTTGTTTCTTTCATATATAAATATAACACTTTAAGACATTATAATAATTTGTTAAGGCTTATAGACTAGTCATTTGAATAGGGAAAATTTTTGTCATATGGTCGGTAAATGCTCAATTTTGTTCGACTTCTGTGATTGTTGCTGAGACGTTTTGAATGGACTGATCGGTTTTGTGAGTTGCGGAAGAGTCATGCTATTGCTAGAATTCTAAAAATTGTTTTGAATTAAAGAAACAGGTCCTAAGACTGAGTATATAAAAAAATACCCTTGACTTTTCTCGCGTTATTTTCTCAAAGTGTTGTATTTCATCCTCATCTATTTTGAAGTGGAAACCATCAAAATACTTGTGAGTGAGAAGTTGATCGCACGTCCAACGTTTTCCTGGATCTTTGTCTACGCATCTCTAATGAAGCAGATTAAAAAAATGAACGAAATTAATTAATTATATTACCCTGAGGAAATCTAATGTTGTTGGTGTACACATTGGAAGTTTCACTTCTAATGGGTACATTTGTTGAGGTACTGGTAGGACAACTCCTCGGAAGAAGTCGTTTGTTTTGAAGGCTTGCATGTGTCTAGGTAATAGGTCTCCCACTGTACACCTGATAAGGTATAGTTGGTCTACATCTGATTTTCCAGGCCACAGAGCTTCGCCTTTGATGAGTTCCGCCAAAACGCATCCAATGGCCCAAACGTCGACCGGTGTACTATACTGGGTGTCTCCAACCAAAAGCTCAGGTGACCTGTACCATCTAGTTGCCACGTAATCGGTATAATTTTCACCAGGACCTAAGGAAAAGTAAATAATTCCATGACTTCCTATATATTATTGTTTATTTAAACGTACTCAACATCCTTGCAAATCCGAAATCGCACAGTTTCACTACACCATTCCCTGTCAGTAATATATTTTCCGGTTTTATATCTCTGTGGATGCAACCCCGTTGGTGGCAATATGCAACCGCCTGAAGAGTTTGCCAAACGATTTGTTGCGTCAACAATTCAGGACAACCTCTTGGATATCTAAAAGCAAACTATAGTATCAGAACTGTTCTATTCCTTGAATAAAAAAAGCTAATACTGCCCAGAATGTTGTATATGGCTTTTCGGTTTACGGTCAACTATTCCGTAACGTATCTAGGCCGTACAGCGAGGTATGGGTGTATTATTGTTTGTTTATATGTTACCTTTCCAGTTCGTTCAAAACAGTCCGTTCACAGTATTCGAATACCAAATGTAGTCTTCGTTTTCTTCTAAACACTTCAAGTAGATTTACTAAATTTGGATGCTTCAAATTCTATCCCAAAATTAAGTATTAATATTGATGGTTTAGATATTTGTTTGCATCTGCAGGTAATTATAACTTACCTTCAGCAATCTGATTTCCCTGAGCGCGATTTTCCTGATCAACGGGTCGTCCTCACTCTCCGCGAATTTTTTGATTGCGACAATTTCGCCTGTGTCGCGATTTCTGCACTTGTAGACCAACCCGTAACTTCCTTCGCCCAGTTTGCTTAGCTTCTCGTACCTTTCCATGGTCTTCGAAGGAGTCCTCTGCCTTAAATCATCAATACAAATTATTAATCAACTAAGTAGGCTTTAAACTATTTTGAGTTTTTGTCAAATTTGTCACTTTAGTTGAATTTGCGATAGTACCGTCTGTTTGCACGTAGGATCAATCCTAATTCCGAGCCGTCCTTTTTCCAGTTTCTTGCCATCATCAAGTGTCCGAAACATTGCCTCTTTCAAAATCCCGAACAGATATGCGAAATTTAGCCCACCGAATGTTAATTAAAGATAACAATCACGACCCTCCCTCACAGCTTGTTTACTTCAATCACGCGCATTGTTTTTTTATGTTAATATGTGGTAAGGTTAGATTTTGCCCTTCACCCGTTTAATGGTTTTTGAATTGCAAACGGTGCTGGGGTGTTGGGGCTCATAAGCGATGATAACATCGCTTTTAGTGATTCCACTTCGTAATGCCAAGTTATTTATATGACACGGAATGTGCCATACTATCGATTGATTAATTACAGAAATCGTATCTAATATATCATGCATCGGACCCTTGAATGTTACAAATGGATAATGTTAGGAAAGGGAATGGAAATCAATCATATGTTTGAGTTGGTCGTGTTTTGATATAATTGTATAGCAACGGACATATTAATAATACAACAAAATTGTAACTTGCATTTATATACGACGATACATTATTGAGACATTAAGGGGCCTTGACCCTTTCATTATTAAATATGTTCTTCCTATTAACTGATACAAATCTCTTTGAATTTTAAAAATAATTCAGTTATAAGTCCATTTTTGTGACAAAATATAAGGTATATTTATTAGGATAAATAAACACAAAATAAAAAAAGAAAGGCAGTTAGAGTTAATGATGACCTTTTCCGAGGCGTAATAAAATATGTTTTTATCTAGTAGACATTCTTTATTACTACGCATCAAAAAACACATACATGCACGAAGAATCATGTAGTTGGAAAATTACTAACAGCGCAGCAAATTATCAAAGAATTTACATAATTACTGAAATAAATAAAATAAATTCGTATTTTAGAGCTAAATGAATATATTTTTAGTTTTTATATTCGAGGCATTAAAATATATTTGAAATAAATATTTCAAAATAATCAGTTTTAATAGTAATAGAGTTTGTTGAATTTGTAATGAACTTCTTCTGTTTTCTTCCCCACTGCTGAGAGTGGAAGTATGTAACTTAGCTCGCACCTTGTGGTCATATAGCCTGTTTATGCCTAATTAAAGACCAGATCTTGTATTTTAATTTTGCAAGTAATATGAAAATGGCGTTAATCGTGTCATTGTCATTGCGACGAACGCGTTTATTTTAAGACTGTTCTGTATCCTCTACTTAGACAGTGGAGTTATGCAACTTAGCCTGTGTTGTCTTGCTTTAACTGGGATGATTTGCATTTCCTGCTCTCCATGCTTGTTTTCCGGGTCGTACTTATAGAATCAATATTCATCACTTGTTACAATTATCTCCAATTTCAAAATTTTTCAAGAAATATTCGGCAGAAAGAACACGAAAATCGTGGAACCCATTGAGCGGATGGGCTTCTTGTAGCCCATATGATGATTTAATATATGCGACAAAGCTATCATGTCACAAAACACAGTCTGGAGATTTCAATTTGTAATGAAACTAATTATGTTTTAAAATTAAACACATATTCTACTTCTGAGCAATTACATATAAATGTAGTTTAAAGACTAATTATTCTATGAATATTGAATGTGCATGAGGAAAAGTTCTCAAAGTTTCAATACAGGTCAAACAATTCCGTAATTTTGATTTGAAGCAAATCATTATTTATATAATTATACGATTTTTTACTAATATTGTCTGTTAACAACATACAAATGATATTGTTATTAAGTTTTATTCATCGTGTATTTTTCTAGGCAGTAGTTTTTGTGAACATTCGAATCGATATAAAAAAGTATACAAAAAAAAGTGTAAAAGTGTACAATATTAAAGTAAAATAATATTAATGTATACATAACTTATTTCTTTTATTTATCACAATTATTAACTGTTGTATTTCAACGGTATTATTACTATTTAACTAAAATTACTAGAGGGTACCGTACACCCATTTAATGATTATCATTGATACACGTTGCTTAACTTTAGTAAACAAAAGATTGAAGTTCCATTTAATGAAATATGGGTACTATTTGCTGAAATTTAAAACATCTGTGTGAACATATGAATACAATAATTATTTATTAATTCCGAATCAATATCGCGCACATTGGAAAGTGAAACAAAAATATACTAGAAAACAAACGAAATTGGAGTAAATCGTTTCAACTTTCTTCGTACAATGTACAGGCGAGATTACAGCGCTTTCGCGTGAGATAAGAACTTTTTTCCTGTTTTTCTGCGGGAGTTCCGGTTTTTCTATATTATTCTATTTTTTTTTACTTCTGTTGCTTCTTTTTATTTCGACCGACTTAAATTATGTGACCTCTGGCCTTTCTCGGCGCCTTTCTATTTGCAATGGCACTGTGACATAAGATCGATCGATATCGGAGCAATTATTTTTATTTGAATCGATTTCCGACTCGATGCTCGTAATGACACGATTATTGCCATTACAAATGTATGCCAAAATTAACTCGTTTGATTTATTTTGACTCAATTTTATTTTTTTTATAATTAGTTTACACATTCTAGACTGTAATCATCTTAAGTATACATATGTTTATGATAGATTAACTTTATTCATTACCTAAATATGAACAATAAATAATTAGTATAAGACTACTACATAGTTTTCTCTTGTGATATTCATTATTTTAAGATTTGATACTACACCAATTAATTACATTATATAAATATATACAATTAAATTATGTATAGTTATATCATTTTAAATTAAAAACCTTTATTATATAAAAAAAAAATGTATAAATGATTTTATTTATTTAATATTAGGGTACATTTTTTATATTGTTACAGTTAAATTGAATATTTTTTAAATAATAATTACTATTTAATGTAATGCATTAATGTATCGAATATAAACAAAAACAAGTAAATTAATTTATTTTGTATAATATAAAGAAGAGTGTACGTACCTTTTCGGTAAAAGTTGCAGTTGGTTTCCAAGTAACCAGAGTTTACTTCCATTAAACCATTTCTCCATTCGTTCGGTGCACCTAACCAGTAGGCACTGAGCGTGTAGCCACCAGTTTCTTAGCCTCTGAACACCGTACATTTGTTTATTTCCATGATTTCCATGGCAACCGTCGCCCCATATCACCAGGCGGGGCGAGGGAATTGCCCACCCTGAAACGTTTATTGAATATTTCATGGACAGATGATATTATCATTAGATAAAAAGTCACTTTTCAACTTGAATAAAGAACAAACAGAGAACAATTACAATTAGTGGAAATATAAGTATAATTATCTAATGCATGTTGATTAAAAAAAAAACACGCAATATTTTGCAGTTACTTTGAAATAATTTTAATACTAATATGTTCCGAGGATTCCGGTTTATCTTTGTTAGTTAATAAAAAAAGCAAAGATTGAACAAAAAACAATTTTTAATATCTCAACAGAAAAAAAACAAAACAGTATTTACATAACAGGACTAACAATTTTTTTCTTTCGTTAACAAACGTAGATTTTTTCTTATTTTCACAAATTAACAATTTACCACTCTACGAAAAACCACTAATTTATTAGTAACAATACATTTGGAAATTTATTTTTTTATATAAAAAATATGTATATATTTTATTTTAAAATAATGAAGAATAAGACTCTTTCGGTAATAATGTTATCTATATCTTAATTATAGTGATACTTTTTTAGACGTTAGGTCACGAACCTAATGTATGCCATGAGCTACATAAAGGTTATTCTTCGAGATGTATGTACGTTAATTAAATTAATTGTGCTAATAAATATTCAAATGCGGTTTAGAAATTATCAGTTTACTCGTATTAGTTTTATTGCAGATTTTAAAATTGTATTTGGAAGCGAAAGAGTCAAATCCATACAAAAACAATAAAAATAATTTCATTTTGAAAATAGTTTTGTTGTTGCATTTTGCAGTTGATTAACCATTTGAAGAGGAATGAATTCTATGTAGGTATATTATTGTTGGTCTGCAACTTTTTTTTCCATAATTTGATGATGTTTTATGATCTCATACGCTTTTTGAATGTCTGTGACCTTCTTCGCCATCTTTTGCTGAGCTCTCCGGTTGACCCTTCACGGTGAAGGTCACGTAATACCTTTTGTTTTGGTCCAGTCGATCAGTGGGCAGTGATATGACTTGTTTATCGTTCCCATGGCATAGTTCCAAAGTGACAGCCTTCTTGCCATTTATGTCCGGCAGAAATGTGCTTTGAGGCTTACACGAATTGAAGCCAATCTTTGGAATGCTGTGATGGTCCATTTTGGGCACTGAAAATAACGTAATTTTCATTAATTTAAAGTTTTAATAGTACGATGGAATTGTTAAATTACAGTACGCAGCGCATGGGACTCCTGTGTACGCATGAGTTGCGTGCATGCACCGATTAGTGCTTTGTGTGCAGAGCAGAGGATGCTCGACGACGTTTTCCGGTAAACCTTTGAGGTATTCGGGAGCTGATGTCTTCTGGATCTTCCTCAACGATTCATACAGGAACTGTTCGAAGCTCTTAAAGGAGAAGTCTTTGGGAACGTATTGCCCAGCACCGACAGTCGAAGCACAAGACTTATGGTAGGTGTCTATAGCTCGTTTTACAAGCATAGCCTCATTGTGTTGCCCAGATCGAATCTGAAGCCGTTTCAGATCGAGCAAATGTTGAAATATTTTTCGCTCCAAATGATATCTAGAATAACAAATAAAAAAAGAAACGAACGAGTTTCGTGGAGTTCCGATCGATAACCATTTTACCTCCTAATATTTCCTTGAATTGATTGCGTAACTGATGTCATGTTAACCCCTCGTTCCGAAACGTTTTTCCATTTAGGAATCCTGCTGCTCCTTGGACTAGGCTCGAAACCCGAATCTATTAAATTGCTGCTTTCGTAGTCGCTCCCCGCGTTCTTCGATCCTCTGGCCTTCCTCCTTTTCACCTTCTTCTTTCTGGTCTGCGACCGTTCTTCTTCCGAAGCCTCCTCATTATCACTATAATCTCTAGCTAAATTACTCTCTGACTTAGTTTTGTACTTATTATCCTGGAGTTCCGGTAACACAGGAATTCTTGACTCCAAATTAGATTTTGCGCGTTCGTTGTTTAAAGGTGTTGGAATCCTAGTCTTTTGGGGTGATTTTTCCTCCGATCTCGGTCGTGTTTTTCGGTTGTTCTTCCTTTTCGGTAATCGCGTGACTTCCTCGAGAATCGTGAAACTTTTGTGCTTTCGTTTGGAAGCGGAAATGGAAGAAGATTCATCCGAATGACTGCGGTCTTCTTCACTGGACTTGGCGTCTACACTACTATCAGGTAAATCCCGTGGTATGTGCAGATGATGGCCACGTTTCTTAGACTTCAGGAAGCGATTATTTTTCTCTGAACTATCTGCATCGGCAATACCTTTCTCCAAATCCTCATCTTTCTGTCGTTTACTTTCAACTTCTGTTTTCTTGTCCGCCTCGACAGTTTCTTCCACCTTTTCTATCAGATTGTTAAACGTTTCTAAAGATATCTTATCATTACTAACTTCCTCACCGAAAGGTTCTTTAGCTTTATTTTTCTGCATCGTTTTAATAGCTTCTTCAACCATATTCGTCACCGACTCATCTTTGATTTGTTCCATTATCTCTAATTGTATATTTTCTATTTTAGTTGGATCAGCTATCTTCAAACTTTCTACTCCTGCATTTTTTATTTGCTGCAAGTTATCAAGTACAATAGTTTTTATATTTTCATCAATTTCCTTTTTAAACACAGCTTCTGATTGTCCTTCGATTTGTTTGCATATCTCTTCAGAAGTTATCTTAAAAAGTTTATCATTAACCACATCACTAATTTCAGTTTTCAGAGACTCTAATAGTAATTTATTCTTATCATATGTTAATTCTAAAATTTCCAACTCTTTAAATGCATTTTTTTGAAGCTCAGTGACATTTCTAGAAGTTGTTGCTGCTATTAATTTTGTTAATGTCTCCAATGATATAGATTTAATCTTATTTTCTTCTTCCATTTTCTTAATTTCTTCTTCTATTTTGGCATGATCTTCCTCCAAACGTTTACTATCAACATCCTTTCTTGTTTTATCTTCGCTAACAGTTTGATCTACAACATCCTCATTATCAGCAATTACACTTTCCTTAACAACTTGAATTTTATCGTTGTTATTTTCCCCGCTTTGTAAATATTTTATAGTGTTCAAGAACATATTTTCAGCATTTTCTCCAAGTTGATTTGCCAATGTTTGTATTTGCTGAAAAAGTTTTTTTTCATTATCTTCCTTTAAATTAATTACTGTTTCACTACTGTCTTCAACCTGTGCTTCGATTTGATCATTAATTTTATCGGAATTTTTAATTTGGTTTAGTGTGTTTAATAAAATTTGTTCAGAATTTTCATCTAATTGACTCACCAATGATTTAATTTGATCAATCACGTTATTATCATCAAGTTTTTCTTCCTTGCTCTCCTTGAGTAACTCATGTACAACAACTTTATCAACTAGTTCATCAACAATTTCTATTGTATCGAGTACAGCTGAGCTCTCTTGAATATTTTTTTTATCTTCAACTTTAGTTTCGACATCTGCAGCTACTTTTAAATCAGTACTATTTGAACCTGTTTGGATATTGGCATTGCGCGAGTAATCTGTTAATTTTGTGGTGTTATCTTTGATCGTTGATTTCAACATTTCTATTTCATCCTTCAGTTGCTTTAAATGCTGTTCACTGCTTTCATTCAGATTATTATCGTTTGGTTTGGTTAGCAGCGATTTTTTTATATCTTCGATGTTCTTCTTCAGTTCCTGTAAATCCGTGTTGGCCGATTCATGCTGTTCTTGCGGGATACTTTTTAGCGTTTTGATTTCATTGCGTAAAATCGTTAATTCTTCTTGAAGCGATTGGATTACCTCTTTGTAAGTGTCTTTTGGTGGGGGATGAACAGAAGCTTCGACTACTAAATTCTGCACGGGCGATTCTTCAACGCTTGTTAACGATTGTATGTCCGGCTTGAAATCAGAAATGTTGCTTTCCATTATGGTAACTTCTTTGCAAATATTTTTGGCTTTTTGCTCGATCGTTTGAGCCAAAGACTCGATTTCCTTAATGTTATCGTTAATATTAGGCAACTTTGTTTCCTCCTTTCTTCTGGGATCCGGAGTATCGACTTTTTCCTTTCGTTTATGGGGTATTGTGCTTTTGGGTCTAGATTCAGAGGTTTTGCTGTCACTGAAGTTGAAAGTTTGACTGTGACCAAGGATTTTCACTTCGTTATTGTAAATGAGTTTCTCTTTAGGACTTTTAGTTTCACTTTTCTCGCTTTCCTCCGGTTTTCTCTCATATTTGTAGGCGACCTTGCGTTTGATGGATCGTTTTTTTCGTTTGCCTTCAGTTTTCTCATCTTCGCTTCCGGATGTATCACCCCAGAAGGTGATGTCATCTCGAATGTGAAGACTGACACCGCTCGTTGGTTGTGGTGCTGGATTCGGTATTTTGCTGGCTGGAAGACCGCCTTGTAGTTGGAGGTATTTGGCAGTGGATCTAAAACCTCGCTGCATGGCGCAATCAAGAGGTGTCATGAAGGCATTTTTCGATGTGCGTAATACAGGATTCACTATAGCTCCGCTGTCTAGAAGGATCTGAAATCAGATGAATTTGATTGTGTTTTTCTCGTGTTTAAGATCTTACTTTGCACATGTCCGAATTATCGTTGATTGCAGCCAAATGTAGCGGACATCGGCCGTCGTTGTTTCTGGCGTTCACTTGGCTAGGTCTCTGTTCTAGTAACCATTTGACTAGGTCTCTGCGACCGGAAGCTGCCGCCTCGTGCAATGGAAGATCTCCTCGAGCATTCCTCAACCATAAATTTGCGCCGTGTGAGCCTAACATTTTGACTGTTTCGAATTGCCCCTTGGCGCAGCCACAGTGGGCCGGACTTCTCCCTTTCCGATCTTGCCTATTGGAATTGGCACCGTGCGCTAAAGACTATCATCAGTTTATGAGTTAGAGATGAGACTGTCTTACCTAGTAACAAAGACGTTGAATCGGCATGACCCAAGGTGACTGCATAGTGCAAAGCTGTACATCCATTACTGTCGATGACATCAACGGAAGCCCCGCAAAGTGTTAGTAAGGTATCCAAGCAATCGGTATGACCTCTAGAAGCAGCACAGTGGAGTGCCGTTAAACCATCTTTATCGGATGCTTCGACTTCGGAGCCGGCACGAATCAAAGCCAACATAGCTCTAGATGAGCCAGCGCTGGCCGCCCACAACAAAGGTTGTCTTCCATCCCCATCTTCAACGGATATTATAATTTCTTCGTGCCCCAGTAAAGTCTGTAACACCTGATGCCCGAGATGATGATCCTTTTCCTGAATTCAATTTATCAAAACTAATTAATATTATATCCATATTAATAGCGTGTCTAATAAAGTACCCCTCCACACATTTGGGCTGCATAATGCAGCGGATATCCTCCATGAACATCCGGAGTAGATACAGGGGCTCCAGCCGCTAACACTGCTCGTAAAGCTTCGGTCTCTCCACAAACTGAAAAAAGAGTTAAAAATAGCAATGACCAAATTATAGAATATTATCCTTGACTTATAGCGGTTTCCTCTTTCAACAAACGGTCAAGGCTTATGGATTATTCAATACTGAATCCGATCGAAATTACAAATTCCTCTTCCCATGTCGTGCATATTGCAATTGCTTTTTTTTCCATGTATCCTCGTTAATAATTTCTATTTTGTATTGTAAATTCCGTGCGTTTTTCTGACCATTTTGTATTTCATGTGTTGTTGTCGCCCTTTTTTTTATATATATAATTATTCAAGGTTTTATAAATATTCATGCGGGCTTGGGCAGCGTAGTTTTTGTACGTCACGAGGGTCATTTTCTGCCGACCCCCAAGGTTAATCAGCAATCGATTATACGTCCAATACCCCATCGGGCTAAGAACAAAACAGAAACGCCTACACGTGCAAGCAAACATTCCTTTCTTCGGACAATTACGAGGACATTGCACAAACAACATTCATTAATTTCGATTTCCCTGAATCAATACAGAAACACTTGACTTTTGTATGATTATAATTACTTAAGATATTACGTCCAATCTTCTTTTTTAATTTATCAAAAAAAATGAAAGCTTTTCTATATAATTTTCAAGGCGATAAATACTCAAATCATTGATTATATACTAGAGCTAATTATTTGCTACTTGAAAGATATAATTACATTATTTCAGAAGTAATCCAAAGTTTTATACTATAATTTTATATAATTATATATAATTTTATCAAATATTCTATATTGAAACTAATCTTTAAGCGAATTTATCTATATTCCAGAAGAAAGAAAGCATTCAAAGATTACTATTTCAAAGGCGATTAAATGCACTAATACTATATAAAAACAGCATTTGACATGACTATATAATTCCTTCAGTTCAAACTTTAAACATTGATTGTATACTTCTTGAACCAAATGTGGAGAATTTGGTTCAAGAAGTATACAAAGAAATTTTACAAATAATTTATGAGATTCCGTTTGTTGAAAATTACCTAGGAAATTGTTGTCGTTATTTGGGGTAACTGTGGTGCAGAGATTTAATGAAATCCAGGCCGAAGTTTTTTAAGCGCAATGAAAAAGCGATGGAAATATTTCAGCAGTTGGAAAGTGGACCGCTGACCCCAATAGCCAGTCCAGTCCGAGATACACACACACATGTATATACAGCATATCGTGTAGCTACACTAATACCATTAACAATTGTTGCGTGTCGCAATCTATAAATCTGCATAAAAACAACGTTTCTAAATGGGTTAAGTTCACATAACTAATTCTGTCCAATTGCAACGCATGGTGATTTCGCGTTCCATATATAGTTCCATTTTTTTATATGCACGCTCTTAAAATGTTACAGCATTGAGTATGTCATCAGTTATTTTTGGATTTTTTTTTTCTTGTGGAATATTTTTCGAAAATCAGGAAATTGTGGATGCGCCGGGCATCCCTTTAAATACGGTTTTCAAATTTCGTGTTTTAAATTAAATAAATTACTGAATCTAATACTCTAATAATTATAGTCATACCTCGATTAGCGAATAGAACACGTTTCACAAAATTACTTTGTTTTCAGAGGTAAAAACAACAACGTTTCGAACAAAGAAAAGTTTTATTAAATAAACTACCAACTTACATATAAACTGATTTTACATTTTGAAACATGACTTTGATTGTTTGTGTTTTTTCTCTTTTTCTTAACAACTGTATATGCGGAGTTATTGCATTTAACACTGATTGCTTAGCAATTACATTTCTTCCTATAATCAGCATTATTGTCATTAAAAAATAAAACGTTTTCAATGTTCCTTTTTATATGCTTGGTTATTTTTTTTCGGCAAGAACTTCACATTCTGTTTAAGCAAAATTTAGAAAGAATTTTTAATGAAATATTGAGTGTATGAAAATTGTATTAAATGCAAGTAATATTGATTAGATTTTCCATCAAGAATTTGTATTTGTAGTTTACTTTTCATAATTATGAGAATTTGTAAAAGTGTTTTCAAAATACTAGTGGATTTACAAGTAAGAAAGAAGCTGCGGTTACTATGAAGAAGACTATTCTTCAAGATAATACTAATCACTTGATTTTATGTTTATACCAAATATAACATACAAGTTGTAAATGTTTTACGTAATGAATAGTAAACAAATTATATTTATCATATCAGATTGAAAAAAAAATCTTAATACGAGACGTACATTATCAAACCACAATTAAAATTTAATTAAAATTGTTGTCTGCAAGCCCATTCATTGGAATTCCTTGAAATAAAACACGTATACTATCCATAAAACGTATGACTGAATGTCACAACAAATATCAACTTGTTGCTTTAACAACGCTTTAAATTTTTATAATATAATTGCTATTGATTGTGTACACCATATAATTCCTTTCAATTTGATCAGTTGACATTGCGTTTCTACCGCAATATAGTAAAACCAAATGGCACGCAGCCTGTAATATAAAAAGCGCTTTCAAAAGTGCAAGGTCGAAACACTTCTACTAAATAATTAAATGTTTGTTTTAAATTTTATTTCATTTTTAACTGTTAGTTCTTAAAGTGTTTTATCTATTATTTCTTATAAATTTTTCAAAATCCAAATGCTTAATTTGTTAATGATTACATTTTAATTTTTTTTATTGGAAAATTTTAATCAAAAAGATAATTTTGTGTTCATTATTTACAATTCATTGATTGTTTATTATATAAATTATGCTTAGAGAATTGACCAAAATTACATATACAATTGGATTATGCAATGTGATTTTAAGAATAATACTCGTGCGTCGGTTAACGAAGACCTCAACTTCAAATTTTATTTCCATTTTAGAACTACACTCCACAATCATTCGACAAAATAAAAGGCTGAAAGTTCTATAAGATACAGGAAGGAAGAAACTTATCTGGTCATATTATTTTCTACCACTAAATTGCTTAACCCTTTCAGGACAACTGGTTGCTGCTGCTAACCATAAATTTAAAATTCATTTGCAAAGTTCCTACCAGTTTCTAGTAAATACCATTGTGTCTCCCTATGTATCAGAAATGGTGGCATCGCATTTATTGGTATTTTCTTGATGCTTCCATTGTGAATGCATATGCTTTATTTCGAGAAAGTAATACTAATGAGATGCCATCAAAGATGTTGCTACTGGACTGATTGGTGCTGCACCAGAAAATGTAAAACGTGGTAGAAAGTCAAAGGAAACTGAAGGAAACAAATACAAAAAATGTGTGCCACAAGAAGTTAGATATGATAAATCAGCACATATGCCTGAACGGGTAAGCTCCTTTTGATGTGCACACTGCAGCACTTCAAAAGAAGTGCATAGAATTATTTGGAAATACTTGACTTGTAATGTGGGCTTGTGTCTTAATAAAGACAGGAACTGTTTTTTATTGTTCCACAAAAAGTAATTCGGTGTTGCAAATGTCTACAAATCCTGGAGGATAATCAGGACATCCTATTCACATTTTCTTACCATAATTTTATTTAAACATTTATTTGTTAATAATTTGTAGAAATAAAAATGTGTAAAGTCAAAAAAAAAATTCTGTTCTCAAAGGGTTTAGGAATTAATTTCGTAAAACCAAAAATAATATAGCATATTGCAAATTCGAATGTGATTTCGGTTGATGTAGCAATTATTTGGATAGTACAATTACAGTCGATTTCGCTTAATTGGGACACCGGTTAATCAGGGCAGCCGCTTATTAGGGACAAATCCTAAAGAACGGAAACAATTCTAAAGAAATAACACAAATTTACTTCCAGGAAAATATTCCGTTTAATCTTTAACCGGATCAATAATCGTGTGTGAATCGGGACAAAATTTTCTTGGAATCAACTGTATTTAAAAATTATATATAATTTTTTAATTTTCATTATTATCTTAATCTGGTTTCTATTGCAATCTTATCATTAGTCTAAGAGACGACAGAAGTTGGAAATTATGATCATTTAAATCACATATTATGAATTCAACATTATTTTTATAATCTTACCAGTAGCCCAATGAACAACAGTATGTTTTTCAGCATCTACTGCGTTCACGTCTGCATTGGAAGCCAGAAGGAAGGTGACCAAAGGCATGTTTCCTGCGATGACGGCCAGATGAAGAGGTGTAAAGCCATCTTCATCGCGACCATCCACCAGATCTGGGGCTGCCATCAGCAGTAGATCCGCCGCTTGGCGATGCAGAGATGCCTTACGTTTATCCCCTGTGCAGCAATAATGCAATGATGACTTTCCAGTTCGGTCCAGGAAATAAGCAGATTCTGCCTAAATAATAAAAAAATACTATTCAAAATTAAATTATTTAATTAAAAAAATAACAATTATATAAAAATTAAATATAAAATATTTCATTTCCATATAGATAAATTATACTATTTATTTGAGAATTAATCGAGATTTTCTAAAAAAGGCTATTATCCAAAATATTTATACCAATTTTCTCCAATTGTATCAAAAAATGTAACAAACAAAACTGTTGTAAAAGTAGTTAATAAATTACTGCCTTTTGTAGCTTGTATCAGAAAACATCAAATTTCTATTAAAAATGTAACAATGCATTAATAGAATCATATATTAAATGTTCATAAACCTTATAATTTATGTATATCTACTTTTGTTTATTACTATTTTTAAGGATGTACTATATTTTTATTATTATGATAAGAATAATGTAAAGAATTGGAATTATTTTTAAATAAGAAAATACCTGGCATAGATTCAGTTGATTGCACCTTCAATATTTGTGTAAGAATTACCATCAAATGTAAATATAAGTGGATATATTTGTTTGGTTTAACCTGATTGTGTGGTATAGCACTGTGGTAAATTGTCGAAAGTAATTTAGTCCACGTTGTTGATGGTAACGAGTCTTTCCACAAACTGCACCCCTTCAGGCGTTTCAAGGTTGCTAAGACACTGTAGAATCGTTATTGTTGTCGCCGTACATTCAACCCCCCCGTACACAAAAATAAAAAGTGAATCACCAGACAGAGCACACGTGCTTTTGAAAGTCTACCGTATTTTATCGATTTTTGAAATAGTTGTTAGTTTTATTTAGCTTTTAGGTGAAGTACCAATAACATTTAATTCTCTTTAAAAGCGTATATTGCATGTCTAGCGTTAAATTACCTATAACATTTGAATGCAAAATAAATGTAGCGGTATTTTTACATTTTTATAGATTTTAGTAAACGTAGAAACAAGATTGTAAAATTTTAAACTTTTATTTTAGTTAACAATGAAACGTTATAAATTTAATGTAGTAATATTATTTTTATTAACTTAATTAAAATTTGGTTTATAAATTATATTATAATTGAAATATTTAAGTAATGAAACACTGAACAATATTTTTAAAGTCATATTAATAGTATTTATTGTTTGGAGATACTATTAATATTATTAATACAGCTATATTTTATTACTATTTTAAATTGCGGAAAGTTAGTAATCAGATTGTTGTAAGACTGAATGAATGAAATATTGAAATCAATAAGTTTATTTTAAAGTTACTGACTTAAAAATAATATTATTAATACACGGGACTGCACTATAAATTAAATAAGATTCTACCATATAACTTTTATAAAATAATGCATTCATATTTAACTGGAAGATTATTTCAAGTGAAAGTGTACGATACAGTGATGAATTTCTATCCAATCACGTCAGGTGTACCGCAAGGTAAAGTGCTAGGACCAGTCCTGTATATACAATATACGGCAGATATACCCTTAACGGACAAAACAATGGCTGCAACGTTTGGCAACGATACTGCAATATCATCTGATGCAGACCCAGCAGTTGCATCACCTGCAAGTGAAACTGAACCTAATGCAGGATTGGATACAAAAATGGAGAATGAAAGTCAATGAATAGAAATCAGTGCATATCACCTTCACCATGAGAAAGAACTCCTTCTCACCAGAAAAGAGTCTCTGAAATAATACCGGCGGCTAATAAAGTGAAATATCTAAGTGTGCATCTGGATAGAAGATTAACGTGGAAGGATCACATCAAAGCAAAAGATAACAACTCGAAATTAAGTTCAGGAAATTCTACTGGCTATTACGGGAAGATTTGTCAATTTCGAAAGAAAACTAGTTGCTGATCTATAAGGTAATTTTAAAACCTGACTGGACATACGGAATAGAGCTATGGGTAGTAAGCAGCAGATATAATATTGCGACCATACAAAGATTCCAGTCAAAGAGCCTAAGAAGGATCATTGGTGATATTATTACGAACAGGAGAATTCATGAGGACCTTCAAATGGAAATAGTAGAGGAAACAATTACGAAAAACAGTAGCCGATACCAAAATATACTAGACAGACATCCAAACGTACTAGCTGTCAATCTTCTAGACAATAGCCTAACAACACAGCGACTGAAGCGACACATGCCACTAAATCTACCATTGAGATTAAACAAATAACTAATAAGTAAAGGATAATCGCCAATGTGCGATGTCCATTTAAAATCTTGTCAACCACCAGATCATTTACTGAATGTTTTTATTATAGAACAGTGGTTAATAAAAAGGATGATAAAAAAATATTTTCTTATTATTGCCTTGATTAATCGTTAATGAAATTGTATAAACGGTCTTTTTATTATTAAAGTATTTCAGAAAAATATTTAAAAAATAAATTGTATTTAATTAAAAATAAAATTATATTAAAAATGAAAGATCTTCAATTACGTTTACAGTTTACAAATCGTATTATAAAATGAACATGTTTTAACTTAAAAAAAATGTCTAACAAAAGTGCAAGAAATAATAAATTGTATACTTGGTTTGAGTTTGAATTTTCTAACTATGAATGCAAGTGACAAAATTATAGTAAAAAAAAGTTTTATTTGAAATGATGTATTTTCTGCAAGTTTATTATTTTGAATTATTTTGATGTTACTAAAAAGAAATTAAAAGTTAAACTTTTAAATTATAGTAATGCTCATATAAATTGTTTAATTCAAAATAATGATATAAAAATAACAGCTAAAAATGTTCTGTAACTAAATGCGATAATTATATGTAATAATAATTATAATGCATAATAATTAATTGGGTACTAAGTAACATATTGACAGAGTCGAAGTTTTGTGGACTTACCGAATGTGTATTTCGGTGGTCGAGGTACGATTGTGTTTTTTTTTTTGGGGAAAAATTGGGTAAGTGTGTTTAGGGGCTGATCGGAGGTAACACACTGACCTGCACATGTAGTCCGCGTCGCACCGCCTCCACGTCCCCCTGCTGGCACGCGTACATAAGCGTTGAGACGCCGCGACGCCCCACCACACTCGCCGCCTCAAGCCGACGCGGACGTCCCGTTGCGTCATCGGCCACCGGCGGCGGAACGCTAGACATCACCATTCACATTTGTACGATGTCCATTCCCACTGTCAACAAATAATAAACACATGTCAATTAAAACATTTACATAAGTAATTGCTATACTCACTAAATGTATTCTTTTGTTTAGAATATATTAGTACAAAGAAAAGTGTAAGTGAATGATACACAAGGATACAATTATACTGAATATTTGCAGGTGATTTTGAGATATCTTCATGGAGAAATGACCATACCCTGAAAGACTTCATTTATATTGTTTTTATTAATAGTATTTCCTCTAGGCACATTTACATTAATATGTTACATATATATTATATGCTTAAATTATCTATAATATTATACATTTGTGTCCAAACATTGTAGTAATGTGAAATTATATTACTACAATAATTTTTTAACTATAACAATTTCTCATTTGAACTCATTAATAACTCATTTGAAGTTACCTCTGATAACGAATCTTCGATATATCGAAGTCCACAATTTCTTAGAGCAAATACAACTTCCTTGATTCAGCCATTAGATCAGAGAGTCACATTACGAGTTTAACTTCGAACATTAAGGAAACTTGGTTAACAAAGAAAATTATGAAGAAAAACGTGTGAAATGTTAGCGATGTTGACTTAAAGCTTAAATGATATTTTCAAAATTATATGTAATACGTATTCCAAAAATAATTTCTTATAATTGTTCATCAGGAAATTGTGATTTTTTAAAATCTTTAAATAGAAATATAATAAAATAATTTATCAACATTTTACCATTTACTTAAATTTAATAATAAATTGAAACATTCTGATGAATTATGATACTATACCTCATTATCTTTCGATCAATGTTCAAATTTTCTAAATGAAAATCGAATTAATTCATAGTCATTTCAGATTGAAAATTTCATTTATTAATTGCTAAAATGTTACATGTTTTGTTATATAGTTGGTGGGAGGCTATTGATTAAAGTTAAAACCAAAATATACGTTTTACCTTGCAATACACACAACATTAAAATAATGCAAAAAATATATAAACAAAATATACTGTTGCATCTCTAATATAACATTATGTCCGATTATATAACGAAACGAGCTATTGTAATCTAGACGGGTGGAACTATTGACCAAGAACGAAAAAGGATGTAAATATAACGTAAAAAAAAACATTGTTTATAATGCCATATTATCTCCTTCGAATGAATTTATTGAACCCATAAAGAATACTCCAGATTTGCATGATGAAATTTTGGTCAAAGAATATTGCAAGGAAAATAAGATAATATTTTCGTCATTTTACTTACCAAACATTTTCTTGTGTGTATGTTTTATTATTTCCTTCTTAACTTTGGAATTGTCTGCCGCAGGAAAACTATGTAAAATACGATGGTTTTGTGGTACTCCAGGGCACGGACACTTTTTCTTATACCGCTTCAAATTTGAGCTTCATATTTGAGAATTTGGATAAGACTGTTATAGTCACTGGACCACAGGTATAAAAAAAACACCATGATACAAATCCAATAATAATTTCTCATAATTTTCTTTTCGTAAGATTCTTATTTTTGAGGAGTAAAGCGATGACATTGTTTTGTCATTGAAATTTGCAGCGGTTCTTTTGATAAATTAATTATTGATTTTTATCTTCAGTTAGAATTGCGTCTGAAGTCTAATATATACGGTGTCATTATAATTACCTATGGAGCTGGTAACATTCCCACAAACGATAACAAAATCATCTAAATCCTCAAGGATAATGTTACCGAATGTGTTCATGGTACCGTGAATTCCACATAAGAAACAGGAATGGTAACAACAATAAATAATTACAAACTGTAACGTATATGTTATATCAATGATATTATAGATTTGCAATGATATTGGAATTTTGCCGGCTTATAAAAATTGATTTACGTTTTGGATATCCACATGGATATGATTATAATTATTAATATTTGTAGATGATGATGTCAAATCTTTGTGGAGAAATAACCAAATGTTGATAGTCTTAATTCATAAGTAAATATGTTTGCATATGTTAAATTATTGAATGTGTTATAAGTCTACTTGAAGCTAAAAAACATATATTTTTTTTAGCAATTTTATTAATTATTATTGCATAATAAAAATTAAATTGATTAACGTTTGTCAATATTTTTAAAATGATTCAAATGCAAACTCTTAAATATCTCGATATATTAAAAAATGGACTTATACCATAGTCAAAGGAAATAGTGTAATCGCAGAGCATCAATATACTACTGAAGTTAACCGACAAGATGACAGCCAACCTACAAATTAAAAAAAAATCATTATAATGGTAACTATCCACCGGGAAAGATTACCTACCTAATGTCAACCACGATCTTAAATTTACTCAATGTTCACATTCATGAACAGATTGTAAATAACATTACACGACATAAAAAAAAAAAATTCCATTTGATCATATTTTACTTGTAAATTAATATGTAAAGTTCTTAATATTATTTTTTATGTACGATTATTATTTTCATTACAAAAGTAATTAACATACATATATTAATAACAATATAAATAAATATTAGATTATAGCATCAAATAAAATTATTTGTTTTTATATATAATATAAACCTATTGATTTTTTTGATTTCATCCGTGTTGCGTGATAATAACAGAGTGCAATGTAATAACGTTGGGTCAATGGTCGATTAATAAGTAATTGCTTGCTACTTCTTCCATTATGAAAACCTGTATTGACTAAATACTTCAAGGCTAATCTAATAGGTGTCAATAACCGCAAGTATTAATAAAAACGAACACATATATGACTGATAATTTGTCAAGAAAATTTAAATCTAATATTAATTAATATTACTAATACAATAAGATTATATTCAAAGTAATCATATTTTTAAACATACATAAACTATGGTCTGTTTGAAATGGTGGATGCGCCGGGACAAATATGTTTTCTTCAACAACGTTTCTTAACAATTTTGCTATGCGACCCCACATATTTGTTTGTTGTGGTACAAGGACCAAATTTATAAGTGTATTTCATATATTTCCTCGCTTTGACTGTATTAACTGTGATCATTCACTGTATTTCAATAGAAGATTAAAGTCTCGTAATTTTTGACATATTTAGATTATGCATTTATGTTGTTTTGATTTTAAAATATTAATACTGGAAATTAATAAAAATTATATAATAAGAACGATTATTTTAACATCTAAAAACGAAGGAAAATTAAAATAAATTTATAATTCCAATTACTGTTTAAAGGTTTTTCTGTCTCAAATAAATAATATTAAATAAAGTATTCAAAGGGTGAAAATTATGATTTACTTTTAAATGCCTCCTTTTCTATTTAATAGCTCTTATTAAAAGAAAGTTAGTGAAATTAAGTGCTTTTTTTAATAATTAAAATATACCTGTCGTAGTGTTTCTTTTAAAGATTTCGTACCAGGTACTGAAAACAATAGCTCTGTGCAAAATACAGGTAATTTTCAGTTATTTCCTGTTTGAACCAGCGTGATGCACTCAATTATATAATTCAAATAAGAGTTGAAAATAAAATTGTATTTCTTATATAGAAGTACATGGACTAACCTTAATGGTTTTTCTGCTAAAATCGTACATATTTCGATAATAAAATGTGATTTACATAAACTATTTTTATACTATTTCAGCTTCAAGGGAATTTCTTTATCCAAGGTCAAGAATTGAGCGCGAAACACTTTCTAAAAGTTCGTAATCTTATCAACATCTCAGATCTACTATAATATTTATATTATGCCTATTTTTTTTATATTTTCTAGTTAATTTATGTGTTCAACATTTACAACAATCATAAAGATTATATGTTAGAATTAAATAAAGTATTTATTCAAATGGAGAAAGACAGAGAGAAATGTGAGCATTAGGTTGTATTGTCTATCAGAAATATTAATGATTATGGACATGTACCAGGAGTAAGGATCCGTGTTCGATCCCTATTAAAAACTTTACTTCGCGCTGTCTTTACGCCTTCCGTGTGGTTCCGAAGACTTCGCCAAGTGTTCCAGTAAACGGTTTTCGTGATGCCACTGTCAGATCCTTACCGATTATCGCACGCGAATGAGTAAGCATTCGCACAATGCTAAGAACGACCCAGGTCCTTCGGCATCCACGAATTAGGTCAGATTGTATAGTATACACCTTTAATGTAGGATACACTATGCATATTTGGTGGGTATTTTTTTTTTGCTATTGTTTCCATTCCACGTTTATCGACTGACGCCCTTGAAAATCGAATTATGAAAATTGCGTGCTCACAAATCATGATTTATCTACAACACAATGAATCACACCGCCAGAAACCATAAAAAGAAAAAAATATAATATATGCTCAAAACGAATGGAAATTAATGGACTCAATGGATTTTAATGTATTTACATATTCATGTTCACTCGACGAAAAGAAGTAATAGATGTACTTTAACTTTGATTTAACTTATGATTAGGTAATTCGCATTGTTCTCATGCCAAACATACATTGTACATCAAATATCACATATTTTTTTATTTTAAATTACCGCTTTATTAATTATTATATCATCAGCAAATAAAATTGAAATCAAATCTAATATAAAAAATGATTCGGAACGATATATCAACTGTAAGGTTTATAATAAAACATTTATTTTATATTAACTGTAATTAGTAGGTTAATTATAGTTATAAATCAAATGAAATATAAATCTTCTATGTACTTATAATTTTTAAAATAATTGTAATTGCGATATGTTAGTTCTTTACTGCTATATTTTATCATTCATTTCCGCAATATAATAAAGGATAAATTTTGATTCTTTAACTTTGCTTTCTTATATATAAAACTTTAATATAAAAAACTTAAAGAACATAATTCTATAATTGTAATGTTTCATAATTTTAAAACAAGTACAGGTATCCCCCGACTTACGAACTAGTTCCGTTGAGTTGTTCGTAAGTTGGGGGAATTTAAAAAAATTCAAAATATACTTATCTTACTACTGCATCAATTTGAAAAAAAATATATTACAATAAACAAAATACTTACTTACAAATACTTTTCAATGTAGACATTACAATTATTTAATAAAAAAACGAAAAAAGAAACAAATGCAAAAAAACACAGTACATCTACCAAAAATATTATATTTTATTAAAGTAATTATCAATTTTTGTTTGGACAGTTATTTTTTATCACTATATATCTCCTTGTAACAAGTTAGAGATTTTTGAATTTTGTTCGTATGTCCGCGCAAAAAAAGCACGCCGACAAAAGCGCGCAGTAAACAACCACTTCAAATGTACACACGACATTTACTCTAGTGCAGTGGTTCCCAAACTTTTTTTTGCCATGTCCCACCAAAGCCTGTCTAAAATACGTATGCCCTCTATGTAATACATACATAATATGCCGTACGGTTAAACTCTAAATGTGTCCATTTTTAAATTTCCCTCCTTAATAATAAAATTGCTTGGAAAACACTGCTCTAGTGCTTTAGATTCTTAGAGTTTGGTTTTGGATGTATTTTAAAAATACATACAAAATTTCGTGCATTTTTGTTGTGTTTTTTTTCCTGCGCGTTTATAATAACGGAGTTAGTAATTTTGTCTGTATATTATATAATACACTTTAATTGTTAATAATCGTATAGCAGTACAATGATACATGAATTTTCTATATTGTACATTTTTTAGGCTGTAATTACTTATTTTATTTTATTGTTATTAAAATAAACGTTGTTATTATTGTTAATTCATAATATATCAATTAAAATCTATTATTCTAAATTAAATGTATCGATTCGTTTTCAATAATAAATCATCAATCGTAGGTCTGATTAAAATGATTGATTGAAAATGAGGACACGGACGGGAATTGGTAATTTAGACAATCACCCATTGAAAAGTTCACTTAAATTGCGTCAATCAATACCACATGAATAATTTTCTTAGGAAAAAAAAAGACGGCATATCCAGATTTCGTAATCAATATTTGTACTTGGTATTGGGTATTATATTTGTAGCTATTATTTGTCAGAAACAATGTCGATATTCGGTTCAATTGGTTGAATGGTAGAGTTTGCAAATATCTAAATCAATCTTGTTTATTGTAACAGTTGTAAATTTAATGTAATTGTGTATTGTTATTGGATTATAAGATTTAAAGTGTTACACGCAGTGTACTATCTTTCGAACATGGTTAGTGGGGCATTATTAGAATTTTCTAGAAAATGTACAGGACAGAGGAATTACTATTTAATTTGGTTGGTATGTCAAGGGATAAATCTTGATAGTCCATACCATCCGATGTTGATTCAGTTGACGTAGTTGTCTGATTCAGTTGTCTATTTATGAATTTCCGGCTTCTCAAAGAGTTACGAAATAATCTTCATTCAATATTTTACTATATGTGGTTTTATAGAATACTGGTGTTTGTTAAAACTGGAAGCAAAATAAAAATGCAATACAAAAAATAAATATAAAATGATGTACAACGTTACTATTAGTAAATTTCAAATTATCAAAGTTATAAAAAAGTCATCAATTAGAACTTTTATAGATCCCAAGTTAAAAAGTAATAAAATTGTTTTTATATAATTTTGGATGTTTTCGATACTTAAAGTTTTCCATAAATTTTCAACCATAAGAAATTAATTCTAAATAACACAGAACATTAAACAAAAAAATCAAATTTATTTCATAAAAAAATGTATTACGTATGAAAATAAAGTTCAGAATATTTATAAAGGCGGAAATAGCTCTTTGGTTAGACTAAATGTTATTTATTTATAATATTGATTTTTCTGTGAGTTTTTTTATTTTTTTGTATATTAAAGTTTATTTTACCATACAGTAACGATAATATTTAGAAGTTTACAACATTAGAACATTACCTTCTGTTATAGGTAACATTTGAATCGTGTTTATTAATTATATTAATATAATTAAATATATTTGCATATTATGTACGATAATTATCTTAATGATATATGAATTATTCTTTTTTTTTAATCATTTGAGATTTTTAATACTTATATTTATTGCAACAATAAATTACCAAAATATAAATTTAATTCAATAATATAGCAATAAAAATTCTTGCTCTCGAAGATTGTTTAATGATCTATATTCTAACAATAAGTTTTAATATAGTAATTATCATTAAAGATCTTTTATAACAAAGAATATTAAGGCAAGTTTTTTGAAAAATACATTAATTAAATTAATTATAAATTAAAAATCAAACAAAGTTGTATTACAATAGGACATACAAATTTAGACATAGCAATTTTGAAATAAGTACATCACGCACACATATACTACTATACGAAGAGACTTCAAATACTTTATGAATAATAAACGAAACATGGATATTTCACTGGGGAGGATAATATTTTACGTTGTTATTTACATTAATAAATTACGAACAGTTTGACATGAACCTGGATGGAATCCGTTACAGTTCGTCAATTCCATGTAACTTTTATTAGATAATTTCATTGTAATACAATTCTCATTTTTGATGTCATTTTATTACTGTAATTATATTCAATGAAATATTTATATAAACTTTAAATAGGTGTAAATATCAATGATTAACAGTTATGAATAGTTACAATTATCATTGGTGTATATGTTTTTGATTAGATTCTGTTATTTATAATAATTTAAATTTATAATGTAGTTGTTATTAAGTAATCATTATTTTTATCATTTACTTTACTTAAAATATTGATATTAAAGCTATTAATTGACTGCGGCAATAATCAGTGTAAATTTAAACTGAAATCATAGTGCGTACAGGAATGGCTCATCAATTGTTCGGTGTAAATTGCTTTGCTGATACCTTTTCTCTTTTGGAAATGGAATTTGGGGAGTCCCAATCCGCGTTCATCTGTGGTCCGCACGAAAATCTGGCACTTTGGCACGCAACAACATCATTCTACTCCAACAACACGGAGCACTGGAAAAACGTGTCGGGAAAATTGGCCGTACATTTCAACACAAAACCCTCGGATGGTTTGTGCCGCGCTTCGTAACCCATGGCAACAGATTAGGGGTTGATGAACATTGTTTTCCTTTGAGATGTCCGTTTGGTTGCCTATAGTCAACATCTATGATTGTAATTTTATTGGAACTTTTGTATGCTAATTTAGTTGCAGTTTTTGTTGAAGAATATATAATAAATTGTTATATTCGATTTAAATTATTTTTAACGTTTTAATTGTTTGATTGGTATAAGGTAATTTGATCGTGGTGTAAACATGACGAGGTGGCCGAGTGGTTAAGGCGTTGGACTGCTAATCCAATGGGCTCTGCCCGCGTGGGTTCGAATCCCATCCTCGTCGGTTGATTCTTTTGAAACATTCAACTACGTAATTTTAATAACTATTTCTTTATATTTGAATATATTATTAACAAATCATATTTGATAAATGTATGTAAAATTTTTCATCATTTGAAATATGTTATTTTGATTAAGAATATGCTGATTTACTCACTAATCTTCAAATGTATACTAAAAAATATCTATTACTTAAGATTTTACTTCTAGATGTAGATCAGTGTGTTAATTACAAGTTAAACTAGTGGTCGGCAACCCTCGGCTCCGGAGCCGCATGCGGCTCTTAAAATGAGAAATAAGTAACGTAATAACAAAACATGAAAAACTAACTTAATTATTTCAAATAGTTTATTTATTAAAATTTGTATAGAAGAAAAGACTATATGATAAAATTAAATAAATAAGAAAATTATTAATAAAAATCTTTACAAAAAAATATAGTTTTTCTTTTTATTGCAAAAACCACGACGGGTAAATCACCAGTCAAAAACAAAAGGAAACATTTCTATTCACAACAATGACAATAATTTTTATAATTTTGATGTAATGTAAAACTTTGTTATTTTTAAATATATTTATTCTATTTCTTCAGGTGCACCAACCACAAAATTTAAACTGAGTTATATTGACCAATAACATTTTTTTATTTGTAAAAACAGTGAATAACTGAATAACATCCACGTAATAAGTACTTTTTAAATAATTAATATGAATAACAGTCTTTATTAGTAAATGATTTCGTGGGTGCGCACTTACGTCAGACAGAAAGCCCATTCGATCAATATATTCGCGCAACGTGCAGCAGAAACTAAACTCCTGCTATTCCGCAGACACCGGGTTTTGTTTTGTGCTCATGATGGATGGATCAGTGGACAAAAACGATGGTTATGGTATTACCAAAAATGGAACCGATTACAAGCAGAGGAGTCAGAAGGAATTTAAAATGAACTCAGATAAATACAAGTATGTACAATAGACAATAACAACATTACATAGGACGTTTATAGACATTTACATTATTTATTTAGACGTTTACAAGTGCGTACAAAAGATTAGGTCAATAAAGTAGCGGAATTAAAGTATTATTATTCTTTATATAGATACATTAATGATAAATATTATAAAAGTTGACTATATTTTCCAATATATTTTGAATTATAATCATTTGAGTCTTTGGTAATTTGTATATATTCTTCAGTTGCCTTATCATATAATAGTAATTATACTTTCAGACGGTATGATTATATATTTGTCGATATAATCTTAAAATAATAGATATAAATTAATGATTGTTATTTAAAGTAATATTGGTTATTATATGGTTTAAATAGGCTAAATTCAACCGATAATCTCTATAGTAACCAAAGTAATAAATAATATCGGAATGGCTATGATTTTATGGAAATTGTTGAAATTTATAAATTAATTTGCCGAATTTAATCAGTAAAGTTGTGATCACTTTGACAGACAACAATATAACTTTCAAAATATTGTATATTGCTTATTTTATCGTATACTATATAACAATTTTTTTTAGTGAATATGGTTCTGCACAAGTAGTGGCTGTAACTCGATCAAATCACGATGATTACGGCCATCATCAAAGCGAGGAAGCAGGTCTATATTCAGTCTCACAGAGAGTTCCAAATGTAAGCACAAGTTACTCCAATCTATGCCAACAAGAAGGAAACTACAGTTCCTTGACGGAATGGGATAGGACGACGTCGACGACCACAGATGCCAAGGATTCTACGACGTCGGATGCACTGAGCGATAAGCAAACTAGCGGTGAGACTTTTTAAACTGCATCTCTGCTCTCCATTTCCTGTTTGCTAGAAGACTCTTCGCCCTTGCTATGGGTCTTAGTCGTAGAGGTGGAGTTGTTTTGGATGCTTCTACGCCTCCTCCTAATTGATCCCCATGTCTTCTTCACAAACTCTCTGAATCCCTTATGCCACCACGCGTAAATCACCGGGTTTATCAAGCAGTTGAAGAAGCCCAAAATCGCAAGTGGGCTTGCTACTAGTATTGACAAATTCTTGCATCTGTCTCCATCGCTTTCGCCGCAGTACACATACAGCAGCGATGCTATGAAGTACGGACCCCATGTTATTAGGAAGCTTCCTGATGTAAAGAACACAACTTTAATAGCCCTCCACTTGTTGGGACCCTTGACTTTAGATGTAGGCTTTCTCATGAACATGCGTTTGAAGACGTTCTGAACCGGTTGTCCCGGCTCGGTTTGTACAACGGAATCCACGGATTCCACCGATTTACCACGAAAGATTCGTAGACCGTTTGGGTCCGTTTCGTTGGTCTGCTCTGCTCTTTGCAATCTGTAGATGTTTTTGATTGCGTGATAGAGTATTATCGAGTAGAGAACCATCACTGTGAGTAGAGGAATTCCTCCTGCGATTACGGTTAACTTTATCAGATCTTTTGGTGCTAATAGTATGAACCAACATTTCCTTCCATTATTCGTATCTCCATACCATCCAAACAAAGGGAGAAAACCTATTACCAAGCCTGACAACAATCACCTTTTTATCAAACAAACATCATTTACTTTTTGTAATTTCTTACCTATGAACCAGGATATTGCAATGCAAACTCTAGCACGTGTCGGATACACCCATCTTTGATAATTTAAACCATGCAGGATGTATAGAAATCTGTCTATCGCAATTAATCCAACGGAGAACACAGATGCTAACGTACTTGACACGATCATACCTTCAGATTAAAATAATAAGATTAGTGAATACCATTATTTTAAGTACTTACCAATTTGTAAAGCGCATATGTAGTGATCCCGATTACTCTTAGGATAAACTTCTCCAAAGACTACCGAAACTGCTGTGACAAAATCTGTCATAGCCACATTGCCTAAGAATAGATAGGTAGATCGTGGTTGTTGTCCTAAATCGTAAAATATTTAGTTGAAAATAATTTTATTCAAATAGACATTGTGTATTATTGAAGTCAAAGAAAATGAAAATGAATATAAAAAAAATAAGGACCTTTTTGAGAAATAACTCATTTACATAATCTTCGTATAACCCGAATGAATCGAAAGTAGTTCAAAAACTGAGTTAGAAAATAAATATATAAATTATGTTAATAATTCTTTGAAAAAATAATGGAAAGTATAAAACTACAGTTTCATTATCTTAGATTGTAATTGGTCAAATATTTTGTTTTAATGCATTTATAATGTGCCAACTTACCTTTCTTTAAAATCAACCCACTGGAAATGATTACAGCGAAATTCAAGATAATGGCCAAACTTCCAATCGCCGGAATCAGAATGTCGTATAATCTTAAAGTTGAGACGAATTTCGTAGGTTCAGTTGCATTTAAAGTAGACACGTTCCCTTCTAGTGATACGAATTAATTTATGTAAAAAAAATATGTAAAAACAAGTTAATCTACACACTATAATATTGTTTGTTTAATCATTACTAAATAGTTATTTCTATGATTCAAAAACATTAGTTTTATATAAAAAAAAATCAATCAATATTCTCACCATAATAACTTCTGCTGTACCAGAACTCTGGGTAATGTAACGTGACGTTCTCCATGCCTTCAGCGAATGAAAATTACATGACCCGATCCAAGATGATTCCAAACAAATTCTTAACAAAACATTTAGTTAATATCACTGTTAGAACTTAATATACGTATGGTATGGATGTATTTGCTTTACTAGCGCGCGTCTTGAGTGAACTCATCAAGGACTGCGGCATTTAAATAATCCGCGGATTCTTTACGTACGATGGGAATTTTTCTCTGGAATTTCCGCCTCTATCGGAACCGGTAGGAAGTTGCGGAGGGTTTCACGATAAGAACTTATCAACTTTTCATTGTAAAAAGCGCAATGACCGGAAACAAAATTTCGAAAGGCAGAGCAACAATAACAAAAAATGATGAGACCGCTACGGAGATTCGCGGAAATCCGGATTTACATATCTATGCTAATAGACGACCTTCGACTCTGTGCAGTTGTAGTAACAAATACTACATTCTTTGGATTTCTTTTCTCTGCAATATATTAATATTGCTCGAATAGCGTTCGAACTTCGACTGCTTCTTGTACACTCGTTAACGTTTACCTTTTCGCTTCGCTCCCATTCGGCTTCACTGTTGTGTGCATTACAATATGTAAATGATGCGGTTTACCCCCGTTTGTTTACATTTTTTTTAGCGCTCGAACTTGAATAGAATGCATATGAATATATACAAATATGTGCTGGAAAATTATTTAAAAAAATATATTTTTTAAAAATTTCCATTTCTTAATCGATGCATTCATTCATTATATAATTTCGTTCTCGATGTATTTTAGTTGATGGAAAGCAGATTAATAAAGAAAAGAAATGGACAAAAATAAATATTAAAAAAAAAACAATTCTGAATCAATTTACGAAATTTATATGAGTGTAGAAAAAATAAATATATTTTTAGAATTTTTCATTTTTAAATCGATGAATTATATCATTTATAATTATTTAATATAATTATAAATATACACAAATTTGTCCAGAAAATGTATATTTTTATTTACTTTTCCAATTCTCAGTTGATTAATTATACATTTTTTATCTTTATTTTTGAGTTGTGGACAAGTCCGAGAAAAATACATTTAAATTTTCCAATTCTTAATCAATTTATTGAAATATATATATTCATATATTCTCGTGAGATGTAAACAAGACGACCGCAAATGTTACAAATGTTTCGATTCGTTTTTTCATGTTTTCATTGTACATTTCAATTTATATTATGCAACTTTTTTTCGAGGTTAAATCTGTTTCGTAAATAAATTGTTGGTGAATTACAAATTACCGGTACAAAAAAATCACTTCTTTATTGTTAAGTATTTGCAGAATTTTTACAAACACGTTGATAAAATGTTCAAAGATAATTTTGATCTAAAATCCAATTTTTATCATAACATAACGTCTATGCAAATTAAATTAGTTTTGTCTAATCCAGTGATTCTCAAAATGTTCGTCGCATCCCCCAGTGGCGTCACATAAAATATTAGGGGGTCACAAAAAAATAATGACAGATGCTTTTCTACACAGTGGGTTCTTTGGGAGGACGCAGAACCTTTTTATTTCTAAAAGGGGGTCGCAGATACTTTTTAAGTCCAAAAGAGGGTTTGAGAATCACTGGTCTAGTCCATTCCTTTAATTAGTGATATAGGCGTATTCATACTTTCTTGTGGTAAAACAAATGACATTTCTAGAAAAAGCAAGCTTATTTATACGTTTTGCTAATATTTATATTTGTTAAAATACACACATAGTCCGGATTCACTATAGTCCAGCATAAAAATTTAAAAAAGTAAAAATAAATTTTAAGAAATTAGTAAATTTTTCGTAATATTTCTTCACTGTACAATCAAGTTTCTTTTTGTGCGGTTTATTTTTATAAAAATTGGCGGAACCTATTTTCCGCACTATACTAGTATTGCTGTACGTATAATATTTTACTTAAGTCAACAAAATAATTATTGCTAAAAAATGTTCAGTTTAATTTTTCTAATATTTATTGAAAAAAGCAATACAAAAACGAAATAAATAGATATCTAATATTACTCAACATACGTTTCAATATAATCAAGTGATTCATAAAGAAACCAATTTTGTTTTCGTTCGATTTAATTTGTTTTTTTTTTATTATTTCAAGGCGTAAATTATTAATTAATTTATTTAATTGTAGATCGTTTTATTTTTCTAATTATTCTACATAATACTTGGGTTCTGAAAGTCCTACCTGTAATTTAGTAATTACGTCGTTCACGTGCTTTCAAAATGAGTTTAAATAATTACAGAAAAATAAAATCTTTTCAAATTTATTAACCAAAGCATATAAACATTAATAAATAATAATAATTATGTCAATACTAACAATGCAAAATATGTTTTCTTGTTTATAATGGATTAAATTTCATATTTACAATTTCAAGTTTCAAAATATTCTTTTATTTTCTTGCACTTTCACCTTGAATAATTTCTGGAAAACCCTGACGCCGTGGGTACGGAGAGCAATTTCGTGAAGATGTTTAAGACACGATTAAATGAGACTTTATTAATGAATAGTTATTACTTTTTGCAATATATTCAAGTCCGTTACATTCTTAGTAAATACAATGCAATTGACATTGATGTTTAACAAACCGTTAAAAAAAATAATAAATTAGGTATTTTATGCAAGTCATATAGAAAGAATTATTCTATTTATTGATTTGTCGTAAAATGTTATTATTAAAACTATTTTATGATTATATTCAATGTTTTAGAACAGCGTTTTGTAACTTTTTTGCTGCGCGTTCCAAACACATTTGTTCATAGTTGTACAGTAAGACCTCGTTAGCGCTTTAGATGCGTTCCTGAAGCCAGGGCGCTAAACGAAACAACGTTATAGGTCATTTTAACACATAGCAAATAGGGGACCAAACGCCACCAAAAATAAACAAATTTTACTTAAATTTTAAGTTGCATTTATTGTAATTTGCATTATATGTATATAACATTTGCACACATAAATATTAAGTTTATTTTTGTAATGAAGGTTCTTCGGATATTTTTTAGCGATAAAATCGTCTAGTTATTTGCCACTTTCTTTTTCTTTCATTAAGCAAATGTTGGTAGCAAGCGATCGCACCTAAAACTCATCATCTTGCTTTTGCATTCCTGTCAAAATTTGGATCATTTGCTACAATTTGATCAACGATTTCGGTTATAGTTTCTAAAATATTTCTAAGAAAATCTGTAGCAAGTTATTTTGGTTCATCGTGTTCAGAATCACTATTTTCGCGTTCTACCAGTTCAATTCCTTGTTCTGCCAGTTCTTGAAGGTCATCGTTGGAAAGGCCCTGCAGTAACTCCTCAATATCCTCATCTACATCTCATACAAGCATATATTCTGGGAAAGTAGAACGTTACGTATTCGTGAATAATCGTATTATATACGAATCAATGAAATGCCGCGATAATTTTAATAACGATAAATTTTGAGTTTTTTTTTTAAGTTTCTTTTAAAACAAATCGTTTTATAGCAAATCAGCGTTAATAGAGGCAGCGCTAAACGAGGTCTCAACTCAACTTAATTCAATTCAGTACAATCCTTGAAAAACACGATATTTCAGTTACACGTCTCGAATAACACGGTCAAAAATTTCGACAACCAACCATTTTTTTCGCTGTTAAGTCTTGTTCAATGAAAAAAAATATTTAAAACCAAATATCTATTTATATATAGATTTGAAGTATTTTATAAGACGATTTTGAATAGGACACCAATTAATGGTGTCATTCAAGGTTTGATTCATTTTATAAACATTTCTATGATTTGCATTAGGCTTTTCAATTGAAACTGTTGTTAATAACTATGTTTAACTTGAAAATTAACTGACAATTTTTATTATAAAACAAAATTCCAAATGGATCATCTTCTGATTGATGCATTAACAAACATTTAACTGCTTCATGTAATTGAATTAATGTCTGATTAGTTTAAGTAACATTATTAATTATATTAAGATTTCCTAAACAAAATCACTTAGCACATGACATTCTATTGTGATTTTTGATTAACTAAAACTCGCACGAACGTACTGAACTTCACATAAACGTACGATTTGTTTTTATAAGACAGTCATAAATAATCGTGCATGTGTTATTGAATGTACATTAAGTGAGCGCAGACTGTATTTAGTTTTGAATTGTACTTGTATGTATAAACCGTATAAATTTACTTAATCTATTAACACAATATGTTATCAATTAAGTAAGAGTATAGAAAAATAACCTACTAAGAATTTTATTTACTTATTTCAAGGTGATAATGTATTAATAAGTCCTTATTTCCTCATTTCCCATGACAGCTTTTAGCAAAGTCATAAATCAAGATTACTTAAATAACATTGTAAACCTCTTAATTGTATTTGTACGTTTCAGTATATTTGTTAAATTTTGAAAAGAGTATAATTAAATCGATTAATTACATAATTACACATTAAATACACAATACAATAATGAGTAATTTATTTTTTCACGGAATCCTGAGCACATTAATTATCGCCTTCGCTGCTTCAAATCATCGATATAAATTTTCGTCGAGTGAGAATGATACAATGAAACGTCGAATGCAACGATAAATAACATTTACAATGTAAATAGATAATTATCGTTAGAGGAATTCCCCCAATTACATCACGGTTAACTTACCGAGGAAGCAATTTGTCGTTGCCGTTGCATATTATTATTTCGTTACGGTATGGGAGAGAAGGATGCACGAACCTTTCGCTAACAGAACTCGCCGATAAAGTCGCATGAGCACAGATTGTACAGGGACTAATTAATTATCGAATCCTCTAATCCCCTTTATTCATGCATGTATCCTCTTCACTCCCTCCTCCTATCCTCATGAACGACCTCACGATAGGAATCCGCCAGGATTTATTTGCAATCGCGTTATAAATACAAACCAAACTGTAACTGCTGTTATTATCATCATCATCATCATACGACGCGAGAGATGTGACTACACTGACTGTAAATTACTTGAAGATTCCCATATTTGTTTATTTCCCTACTGTATTATTATATTTATAGTATTCGTTTATTTCAGACGTTTCGCACAAATCGTTATTAATAGCTCGATGGAATTGTAAACAAAGCTTCGGATTTATACTCGACGAAACCAAAGATTACTTATACATATTATATTTGCAATAGAGTAATAACTGCTATCTGTTATCAATTGATTTTTATTGGTTCCTGTATTGCTATAATGACAGACTGCTCTTTCCAGTAGTTTATTACATTTCGCGCATAAAGGAATGTCATAGATTTGTATTGTTTTATTCATAAATATGAAGTATTTTTCAGATAATTAACATGTGGATATAATTTATGTTATCAATGCATTTCCCAGTATATTCACTACCTTTTTGATACCATTTGATATTCTTTTCATTCTTTTCTCTTGTTATAAAATACTTAATTTCAACAAGTATTTTTCACTTATAATTGAGTAAATTTAAGATTGCGGTGGATCCTTACCATTATGATGATTTTTTTTTAATTTTTAATTTATAGGTTGGCTGTCGTCTTGTAGGTTAACTTCAGTAGTAAATTGATGCTCTGCGATTCCACTATTTTCTTTGACTGTGCATCTGCTGCTATCCTTAACATGCTATCCTTAACATGCTAGCCATGCTGAATCAATTTTATTTTTAATTTTCATCCTTTTGTAATTTATCTACATAATTTCCATTTATTTCAATATATTTCTTTAATTTCAAAACATTAATCAAAATCGGCTTTTTGGAACTTTTAAACTTATAATTAATAATCTCTTCATCGAGACTGAAGACTCTTTACTTATTTTTTTTTAATTTTCGGAAACAGCCAGAAATCACAGCTAGATCAGTAGAATAAGGTGCTGAGCGAATTTCATTGATGCCATAGAGCGCAAGAAAGTTGTTGGTTATTTCAGTAGTGTGTTATGATCGTTATGTATAAAGTAGCGACGAAGTTCCCCTTACTTGTGGTTAGGAAGTTTCAATGTATTACTTAACAGTTACCCTATGACCAGTTTCGAGTGAGATAGCAGCTACCACTTTTATTCTGGTAAAGTAAATCGACAACATCACTTTTGTTGCTGATTTTTGTTGTCTTGCTTTAACTGGGGGATTTGCATTTTCTGCACTCCATACAATGAACTACTACTGGGTTTCCAGGTCATACTTATAGAAACAAGATTCATCACCTGTTACGATTTTACTAAATGTGTTAGAAACTACATTTTCAAAATTTTCCAAGAAATATTCGGCAAAATGAACACGTGCCTTTATTTGGTCGTCATTTAAAAATCGTGGAACCCATCGAGCGGATTTATTCGTGTAGCCCAAGTGATGATTTCATATTTGCGACAAAGCCATGGTATTCAAGCCTAGTTTATCAACTACCATTTCCTGTGTTCTTCGTCAATTTTTACCTTTATCAGAGCATTTGTTTCATCGGTGGAAGATTTCGGCAACCTTCACAAGTGATGATGCATTCACTTCATATACATTTTGGCATTTCTGGAAAATTTGCATAAATCCGTAGAGAATGGGAAATCAAATTTTTGCTGAGTTCTTGGTAGAATTTGATATATTGTTAGACATTAACAAATTGACAAACAACTTTTGAACTTACCGAACATTTGTTAGACCCCTTGTATAGATTGCACTAATTTACATATTTATTTAACGAAATATGAACAGACGACAAAGAAAATATAAAATAAATAATTATAATAAAATATAAGATATTAGTAGTAATATCAATTTATTATCCATATATATATTTAATATAAGTTGCGCTTTAACACATTTTCAAATCTTCATAACGATAATTTAAATAAAAAGTTTTAGTTTTTTATTAACATTTTTCCACATTATAAATATCAAATGAATATATTTAAACAGGAAGACAGTTTTAAACAGTAAACAGAAAAAGTTTCTCATAATCAGTTGAATTATGGCGAAATGCTGAAAATATTTGAATAAGTCACGAAAGTTTGCTGATAATCACATAGGAAATGTGCGGGGATTTTTTTGTTGCTGATAAAGGCAAACATCGTGTGTCGAGAAAATAATGTAAGAAGAATTGTTAAAGCAACAAGTTTTGCTAATTATATACAAACATTTTCAACGTTTCAACGTATTGTACATTTTGTTAATAATAAAATCTAAAATCAATGTTTGTTTTTTAAACAGTTTAAGACTACACGTATTTAAACATGAGCATTACTAAATTTTCCATTTTCGCATATTTCCATTATCATCTTTTTCAATAATTTTCTTGCTTGAACTTTTTTTAATTTTATAGTTGAAATTTTACAAAAATAAAGGTGAATATCAGTAGTGAATAAAGTAGTAATATCAGTAAATTTTTCATTTTTGTAAAAAAAAAACGAAAGTTTAGAAATTTAGAAAATCGTAGCTAACTTGAAACATTTTTCACTTAAAAATCGCTTAAGAAAATCATTAAGTCAATATTTAAATTAGAATTAAATTTATTTGAACAATATTTACATTCCTTTGAAAATATCATAATAGATACAAAGACTTTGGTTGTCAGCTTTTTAGCCCAAATTAAGGCTAACAATTTTTTAATCGTAAATACAAGAGAAACAGTATTAAATTAAACTAAACGTTATTATGTAAGCTATGATATTTTTAAATAGTTTTATATCTAAAATAAGTAGTGTTTACCCCAATATTAGTCCATTTAGTGTTCCTTTTGAATCTTTGTATTCATGGTACATCAGTGACATATCGTATTTTCTTTTGAAAACATTAGAAAATTATGTTCGATATCCATTTATACGCATTACAAAAATGAATAATTCTCATATAAACTGTTATATACACTAACTACACTAGAATGAATCACATTGAAACTAAATTATGATATAGTTGATGAATGTTCTACAGAAAAGCTTATAAAACCAAAAAGCGATAACACAGCTTTATCGCATCTCTTTCTGCATCAGTTGCGACAGATTTTTATTCGGAATTATGGCATTGACCGACAACATTAAAAAAGCGAGAAAAACTGAAAGATATTGTTTAAAAATTGCAATGCAGTTAACTTTCTAACGAAATGAAACAAATTTAAAAATTTAGATTTAATTATTTGCTTCAATGCATACCTTGAGAAATTATTTGGTGTTCTTAACGTAGAGGATTGTTCAGAGAAACTAAAGAACAAGTTGTTTTTACGGTCGAAGTGATATGACTAATTTAATTCCTTTCACTCTGAATTTGCAATTATTTAGATCCTCCCATTGAATGTGTTTATGTCATTCTGATATATTTAAGCAAATAAAATAAATAATCTAACATTATACAATTAATATTTTTTTTAGACTTAAATTATTTTGTATATCTATTAAAATCCAATAAAATTTTATATTATTTTCTTTATGATTTGAGCAAAGTCTGTATTAAATACATGTAGTAAATTAGGAGAGAACATCTGCTTCGGCAAACAACATAGATTTTCCATAAAGAGGAACTGTACGGAACTGTGTAACAATCGTCATTAAACTGTTGCAGAAACAAATACAAATTCCGGTCCGAGTTCAGTAATATCCGGTTCCACGGCGGCAGCCAGCAACTGCGAAAGTTTGCAGGGACCAATAATTCCGACGTGCGTTTACTTGCACAGCAACATCGCCATCATGCTGGAAGTTGAGGATACACCAACGGCCACCACAGATTTGCTTCTCCAGTCCATCATCAACTCCGACGAGTTGGGACTGAATAAACAGTTGTCCTCGCAGATATTCTCTCTTTGGATGTGTAGCCCTTTGTTAGGTAATCATAAATATATGATATATTTTAAGAACATTTTAGTAAAAAAAGTAGAATCATAAATGATAGTTTAGTAACATCAACACTGCAACGTCAAATCACAGATTACCGCGACGTAGGTCAATTTTATTAACAAATCAGTTCATTTCTACTATAATTGTTATTTCAGTCTGTAAATCCTCTAACTGATATGTTAATAATAAGAGTTACAGTTGAAGCCAACGCATAAACCGTATGAGATTCGAAGGTCCTGGAGATCCTTGGTACATCAGTTCAGTCACGACGCGCTCGAAAGACAACAGCAGGATGAGCCGGTCGTTTACTTTCAGAGAAACGTCTTCTTTCCGCAACTTCTAGAGGAGAAAATCAAGTAAGTTTTATGTACAAGTATAACTTGTATAACACGGTAGATACATGAACTTTGAAAATTGTGTGTAATGCGAAATCGTGTTACATGAGACTATACTTTGAGAAATGCATTCCAATACCTAAATATGACAGAAATGATGTATATAATGCATTTTTATTGGACTTAAAAAAAATATGCTCAGTAAACCAAATTATTAAGTTCAATAAACTTTGAATCTTTATTACCATACTGTGGTAAGGATGCACCGTGTTATGGAAGGTTTGTGGTCAATTTTCTAATTGTGTTTAAATAAAATAGTTTTGTAAAAGTACACTATTATACGATTAATATCAGTATATATTATTGTCCAGGGAATTTATATAATTTTAATATTTAGGGACCAGAAGATATTAGAGCTGCTATACGAGGAGGCTAGGTACAATGTGCTCGAGGGACGTTACCCATGCGAAGTCGGTCATTACATAATGCTCGGCGGAATCCAGGCCAGAATCGACTTAGGTCCTTACAATCCCCAGGTGCATTCCACCCACTACTTTCGAGAGGAACAGTGCAAATACCTACCGACGCACGTGCGGAAGAGTTCCACGTGGACATGGCTACCGATCAGCTCAAAGAATTCCGCCGAAGTAAGACTTCTGGAGCAATTCAAGCGCATTCCAGCATCCGCGACGAATAGAAAACTGATGCGAAAATATTTAGAATTCTGCTGGTCTCTACCGTTCTACGGGTCTGTATTATAAACGATGTGATCTCTATATAAGAAGATAACACAAATTATAATATCCGCAATCCATGCAGATCTGCGTTTTTCGAAGGACAAGTCGAGCAGCCCGTGCGCGGATTGACCAGTTTGATGATTCACCAAGACATTCCCGTTCTGGTTGCGATCAACGCCAAAGGGGTGTACGTTATTGACGACGTCCAATGCGTAATGAATCACGTTCTTCATTAGCAGCGGTTGCGATCCTCATGCCTGGACCTGCTTTCAGACCGTCCTGGTTGGATTGAGGTACGACGAGCTGAGCTGGGACTTCGCGCGACCTTCGAAGGAGGACGATCCCAACTGTCTACCGTGTCTGTTCCTCCAGTTCGTCGTCGTTGAGAATGGGGCTAGAGTCTCGAAGATATTGCAGGTCTTCTCGCGGCAGGCAAGCTTAATGGACACCTTAATTTCGGGTTTCATTCACCAAATCAAAGAGAAAGCCGCAGACGAGACGGACGGCGGCGCACCCTATATGCAGCAAGTCAACGGTGAAGGAGGTATATCTACAATCTTATTAAGAGAGAAAGAGACAGAAAAAAAAACAAATAAATCGCGTTTTTATGAAATGATCCGCGAGTATATAAACCTTGGTTAATTATGTTTCAGAGAACCACCAAGCATATACAGCGAACAATGCAATATACAGCACGGCCAATTTACCGACTTTATCGAATAAATTGAGTAAACTCACGTTAGCGACATTCGATGACGAGGGTCACTGCATTGGACAGATGGGATCTTGGTCGTTCAGTTATTAATTTATTAAGAGTATAAGTGTAAAATTTATTGAAAACAAGTGTATATAAAGAATGTCTAAGCTTTGGAAGGCGAAGGTTTTCTTCTCTTTAAAATACCCAACTTCGGATGGTCTTCCAGGTAATCCACCAAAAGCTGATATCTATAAAAATAAACGTAGCTGGTATACATAATAAATAGTTTTATTTGTCGACCTTACTTCATTGGAACTAAGTCTCTATGTCGCAGAAGCCTTATAAACAAGGTGTGCAGAAAGAATTTGCCTTCGTTCATCTCTCTGAAATATTCCTGTTCCTCCTCGAATACCAAGTTCTCTAATTCCAAGTTGTACCATTCATGTTTACTTTTCAGCCATGCCATTTGCTTTAAAAATAATTTCACAAATTAAATAGGGGTAATCAGATTTGATAATATCGTCATATTTGTCTTATTCGATAATTGATAAGCTCAAATTATTACCTTATGGATTTGGGATTGCAAATCGTTTTGTCTAGCAACCAAAAGATCTCGATATTCTTTAATACAAGCCTCTTTAACACGAACGGCTTGTTTGAACGTTAATTTATCTAGTTTATTGATGCGAATTAAGTAGGGTTGCAGGAAATCCATATCCTCTTCAATTTCCCTCTCTTTCTTAGTCTTCTCAAATATCTCCTTCTCGATCATACCTTTACGATGCTCTTCGTTCTGTTCACGATTAAACAAACCCACGTCTAACTTAGGACTCATCAGTTCGAACGCTCGTAAACGAAGAAACTCAGAGATCTAGATATAAACAATCAATATTTATTATTTATAACATAACAGTATTCTTGCCTGATCCTCGACGTATCGGATTTTAAGTTGGCTTTCTTCCTCTTCTTTACACTGATGCTCAAGTAAACTGTAAAGATTTGAGTGTTTTGGTGGTTTGGCTCCAATTTCCGCTTGGTAACCGTAGGTAAGTTCTGGCTTGAAGCTTACACCATCCACCATGTCCGTCAGTGGAGGCTTTAGGAAAGTTCTTGTACTGGCGGTAATCTTGCCGCGGTCATAGTGGAACTTTAAGTGCATCTGTCGTCCAATAAAATCAAATTCTCTTTGAGAGATGTCATCTGACGCTTTCTTCTTCTCATCCCGATCGAACCGTTCGATAACATTCTAGAATTAATAAGTAAAATATTCTAATTAAATTTAATTGTTTCCCTATTATTAACCATGATAATTCTTCTAGGACCTTCCAAAAACCCTGGAGGAGGTTCACCTCGTTTCGCATACTGCACTTGTCGATAATAAAATCTGCAAAAATATATTTATTAAATATAAAATATATATTAAAATTAAGAACTCACTTATCTGCTCTATTGATGTATTTTTCAACCAAACAAAGTGTATCGTGGTCTATCTTTTCCAAGCAATCAAATCGACTTTGATAGTAAAACTCTATTTTCCGCCATGACTCGATTAAATTATCATATTTATAAAACACGTGAACTAAGAAAATAAATTTACCGTATTATATAAGAATCACTAAGAAACCCTCACTTGCTTTTAGCATTATCCTCTCTTCCTCGATCGAAGTATTCAGTTATCAATTGAGTTGCATATATTTCAATTCTTTTAATCATCTTGTCGTTTCTATAAAATATAAATAATATTTACAAAGCTGATACTTAATTATCTAATTGACCTATTTTCATAACGTTCTTCGATGGTAATCAGATCTGTGCATTCTAAATCAGTGTAACGAAAAATCCTGATGACCAAGCCATCTTCTTGTACGTATGCTGAATATTCTTCTACTATAGTGCGCTTATACTGAGTGCGCTTTTTACCATTAGGAAACCTAGTCACCTCATCTAATGTAATATAGGCAAATTAATAAACTGACCAATATATTCTATTAAGTGGTACCGTGATGTGAAACTGTGATTCGCAAACTCCACGGTTCCGGCATGTCTAAATGCTTCTCATCCATTGTCTCATTGAACTCTTTAATCTGCGCTAAATCGTCCTCATCCATTTGCACATGTTTGCCATGTCTTCTACCCTCGATGGGTTCACCAGCCAACAGATGTTCCCATTTCTCCAAATTGCTCAAGTTATAGTCTAAACCTCCAACGCCCAAAGAATCATCTTGAAGGTTTACCTGCATAATTGTACAATATTTTATTGAAAAATCAATTAAGGATTATTAGAAGAAAAATATTTAAATAAAATTATTTAAAACTGTATTTTTATAAGAATAATTAAAATCAATCAAATGTTGTATAGAAATAAAAAAATAAAATTATTTTTTTTTATGCAAGTATGAAATTTGGAACCACATCCGTTTATGGGGTTGCCTAGATTGAGATATTACGTTCAAAATTAAAAATGCAATTACCCAATAATTAACATTGTTCCACACGCTCTGGATGCTGCAGTAGAGTGCTGAATTGACCTCGTGCCGCATACCGGTGGAAGGTTCGATGAAGAACGGCTGGACATCCTCCTTATCCTTGTCGCGATCGTGAGGCAGCATAAGTACCCAGCAGTGAATTCTCCTACCGTATAACTCATCAAACGGTGGCTTATCCAGTTCCTTATGAGATAAACATATAAATAACATTGCCGCACCGCGACTTTACACAACCTACGATCTGCTTAAGCCTCTCTATTTCCTTCTGCTTCTCTATTTTCTTTTTAGCCTTCTCTATTTCCTTCTGCTCCATAGCCAGCAAGAATTTGCTGCGTAGATCGCGCGGTGGCTTCAGCGCGTATTTGCTGATGATTGCTTCCTCGACCTTCTCCTCTACCTACAGTGGAAATAAAATTTCGTGACCCTTTCGTCTCCGTCTCTACTTTTGTTCATTAGATACTATACTTTTTCTTCTTGTTCCACGAATTCTTCCGGGCATTCGACGCGACACATGATCCTTTCCGTCACGTCTTTGGTAGCGAAGCCGTAAACGTTGTACGCGTTATAGTTTCTACCCAAAAGAAGTGAGCACAGAGAGTTGGACATCTCGAAGGAATGTCCGATCTTCTTACTGAAGACGGTGGCTGGTGCATATAGCCTTGTACTCTGTAATTTAATATATGGTTGATCATAAAGAACTCCTTATCGTCACCATATATTCAGATTTCACTAGTTTATATGCAATAATGTTGTTTAGAACAATTAAATTATCATACAAATCGAATTTCGGACTAAATCTATAGCTACCACTACCGTCATACAAATTACTGAAAATTGTATAACAATTTTCTATAGAATTTTATTTAAAATATTATATTTATAATATAATTAAGAAATTATTTACGATAAAGCTGAAATGTGGTTTTCAATATTATTATATTTAGAAATACTGATTTATTGATAACTTTAGAAGAGTTTTGGGAAAGTTATCAACGTAATTTCTTAATACGCCTAATTGATATCATGGCGCGCGGTGTTCGAAGTAGAGAAAACAATGAAAACGAGAGATTAATGGGGGTAAGAAATTAAATATAAACTAGACAAACATGAGTCAATGAGATTTTCCCTCCAATTTTCTCCCCCCAGTAGTCGATTGTTATTTAAGAGGTTTTAAAACTGCGTCGTTATTAGGGCGAATAAACGGAAGACGGAGTGATCAAGAGAGGGAAGGTCGCACGGAGAAGGAGTGAAAGAGAGACAAATAGAGTGAGGTAATATGGAAAGAGCATGCGTTAGAGGAGGATGGAGATAGGGGAAAAGGTTTTTAAACCGAGTAGTCCCGGACGCGCAACAAGTGTCCATAAAAATCTGATATGCTCGGGAATTTGTAAAGAATGTGCACGGCAGGTCCTGCGAATGCCCTTCCCCCCACCGTTGACGCCCCCGCCAGACCGGCTCACAATCGCCCCCATCGTCATCCCCCCACCGCCTTCATTGTCGGACGGCCGCCCCCGCCGTTTTCATCCACAGACCGTGTTTGTTTTATTACTTTTATTAGGTCAGACGAAACGTAACAGGTGGCCAAATATATATAGATATATAAGTACCTTGTGTAATGAATGTAAGTTGAGTCAGGTGAACCGAGTTCCACATTCATCCCACTAATCCGAACATTATTGACCTTATTCATATCTGCCCTCGAACGGTTCTCCATCGCAATACATCGCTTCCATTATAATTTCCGAGAACTAATTGGTCCCCTTTTCTCTGCGATGAGCGAGTTTCAGTAAGGATTAATAGGACCCACGAACTTCAAGCAACAAAAAAAGAACAACAAGAAGAAAACGTCGATGGAAAACACATGTTGTGGAATCCTTCGAGTCGACGTCAAAAAAAAAAGAATGCGCCAAACCACTTCTGGCATTTTTCAAAGCTATGCGATAGTCGAGCACAGTTAAAAATCAGATTTAGTATGAATTAAGTTTAATTAATAAATAATTTTCGGTCCATAAGACGCATCCTTTTAAATAAAGTAATTAAGTTTTTTGATCTTTTATATTATATATTTGGGATGAACGACTGCGATGAATTGCTCATTTTAGATGTATTTTCATGGGTATAATTGTATATAACTCCATAATGTATCTGTAAATTTTCCATATTAACAATAGTGATCTTATAAACATAATCTAGTCATTCTGTAGAATACCGAATTATACACTTTGCCGGTAACATATGCAACAAATGATTGTTGTTATAATATACATTCTTGTTAAATTATCAGTTAAATTGTGCGCATTTTATAATTCGATACATTTTATCATCCGAAAAATACAAAAAATTTGCACCAATTAAATAACAATAAGATATTTTAGGATATAATAATTTGTCAGATTGACAAATCCGACAGATGGATTTGCAATTCAGTGGATCGAGGCGTCTCCCTTGTCTGCGTCTGGTTTTTCCGTGTGTTGATATTCGCACAACAAGACCGCATAAATAGTCGGCAGCGATGAATATTAATATCGCAACTAGGAAATTAAATTTCCACCTGAAATCCGGCTTTCATTTACTAATTGGCGACGATCCGTATGACATTTTAAAACGAAAATAACATGGTTACATCAACACGATATGCACCGAATTTATTCTGCGAATTGACAGATAAGCCATATGTTGACAGATTTATTGAAATATTGTTCAGTGAAAACTATTTGCCATCGAACATTCCAATAATTGACAAGTTATGTGTAGCTTATATATAAAAGAAGTAAAAACAATTAAATTTTATAAAATTTTACATCTCAAAAATAAATTTTCCACTTAAAATCAATTATAATTTTCAATTTTGATGAAAATTGACAACAGTTTTCTGTTAATATATGAAATATTAGGAAGCACTATTTATTTTATTTAGGATATATTAATTGAACTTATATAATATGTATAAAACAACGTATTTATAACTAGTTTATCCCAATATAAACCGGTATACATGAAAAATCTGGATTAATTAAACCTAACCCAACCCTACTTAACCTGAATCTACTATAAATACACTGAATGTAATTAAATATTCATAAACTCTAAACTACTTTAAAATACATATAATTAAGTTGCGCATGACTTAAGTCATAATTATTAAATCCATTTATGTAACTTGTTCTTGAGAAATAACAAATAAGCAAAATGAGAAATAATATAATAAAGTCAGAACTAATTTGTCACTAGTTAGCCAACAGAAGGTATGGCTTTTTTTGAGGTTTGAAGAATTCGCAGGTACGAATTGAAGGTGTTTTGGGTGTATAAAAATGTCATTGAGATGAGTCAGCTTTTGGGGGAATCCGTGATCTGTCTGCGGACTCGTGTTGTTTGAGTTATGCCCAAATGCAAAGTGATTTAGTGCAATAAGTATTTGCCGTTACAGAAAGAGGATGAGGATGAGGCGCCCACCGTGCGACACAAAACCCTGCAATAAAAAGTATTCACGGCTGTGTGAAATTCTCTCTTTTCGGAGAATTTAAATTAAGGGGGGCGGAATCGGCAGGTCCAGTCTTGGTCAAACTCGGAGCCCATTAGCGCGCGAGATCACTATCTCTCGCATACAACAGCATCTGCAGAGAACCCTCAGAAACCCCCCCGCAATTCGCCCCAGACCCCTCCGCCTCCACAGACTGCGACTCGGCCGTCGTTCCACAGTGCTTGGGGTCGCGGCGCTAATTAATATTACTCGGGGATTGATTAAATCCTGGGGTCGGGGAGAATCCACGAAATTTGCCGTCGTCGCAGCCGCCTCCAAAACGAGACAATGCAGACACAGAGGAGGTGAAGGGTGAAAAAGAAGACGATGTATAAAAGGAAGAGCATTAAAGGAGAAGAGAAATTTGTGTGTTCGTTCGTCCTTGGGCCGCGCATTTTTACCTGCAATTGCACCGGGTCGAACCGCGGAACTGTTCCATCCCATTCTAACTCTCGCACTTTCCAAACAACAATCCTTGTTTAAGCCCCCGCGTTGTCGAACAAAGATTGCCTCTTTTCTCTTTTCCGCTTCATCCTCTTTTTTTGTGTATTTTGTGGAAAAAGGGCGACCGTTTCGAAAGCAAGGAAAATTTGCCGTCCTATTCTAGTTTACTTAACCCCCTTCGATAGAAACCAATCCATAATGTTTAAATCGCCAGATGGACCGCATGTTCCAAAAACCAATTATTAGAAAAATACAATGCGCTCTCTGCGAGGGACGTAACGGATGATTCTCTTAAAGCAAACGTAGACGAATAAAGGCAGGAAATGGTTGAGATTGTTTGATACAGTGAATACACGTAAATGTGCACGTACGATCTTCGCTAATGCTCTAAACTTATTCAATATCACAATGAAAACTCAGCTGTTGCGTATTTCTTTAAGAGGGGAAAATAGTTGTATAAATTATTATTTGTAACTAACGTCTACTAATCATAATTACACGAGAATACTATTGTTGATTTAATTGTAATATTTTAACATATAAATGTGTATTTAAGAGTATATACATAAAATAAGTAAGTTAAAATGCACTAAAAATATATGAACATTTTTAAATTAAAGTAATAGTAAATTCTTCTATACACTACGGATTAATAACAAACTATAATAAATACATTATTTGATAACTCTTGTCACAGATAAATAACAAAAACATTTGTATTTGTCATTTACTTGGTTGATTTAAAGAGAGGCAAAATGAACATGAATAGAAACTGAGATACTAAAAGTGAGATAAGAGTGGATATAAAAAAGCACAACAATGATAAACAGTCTCGTAAAGTCCGTTGTCTCAATTTGGACAATATGAAGCCACGTGCATTAAGGCGCACCCTTAATGCACGTGGAAACGATTCCTAACTACATAGAAGGTGTTATGAATACCAAATCCGTAATTGTGCTTTGAAATCATTGTTCGAATCTATCTAATTCCGTAACAATTGAATCACAGGATGCGAGTATCCCGTATAATCCACAAGTGGATTTGCGCGGCTTACCGCTGATTGGCGCATAACTAACATTTTTAGCCACCATATATAATTGTCGGCGAGCTTTTGTCCTCCCTATTCGAAAAATGTTTTAATTAGCGCGATGGTAATTAAAGGTTTTAAGTGGTGGCCGTGTTTAAGCCTTTGCCGGTTTCCAACGGCGGAAGATGAGATGGGGATGAGGGTGGGGTTTTGGGCGTTGTGTGCGACACTTGGGCCTGCTTGATTTATGAGGGGAACGGCGGCGGTGGCGAGGGAAAGCGGCGTCGCGACGCCAAGCCGTTTCCCGCACGGTGTCCTCTCCCTCGTACTCTTAGCTCGTCGTCCTTTCCGACCCTTCGCGCTCCGGTCCCTAAGACCCGCCATCAATCGTGCCGCGCGGACTTTCGGCCACATCAGATAGCCCACGGGTCCGCAGGGAGGAGGCGGGAAAAGCAGGGGCGGCGCGGATTTTGCACCACTGGTCGAATAATGAATGGATATAATGCGAGAATATCACGTGGATGGCCCCCTTTTGTACAGTTACGGTCATAAGAAGAGAAACAAATATATTTGCTCATATATTTCTGAAATATATTGAAACTGAAAAAATCCATTTGGAGATGTTATTAAATAATGTTATTCAAATTATGAAAAATA